ATCTGTCTGTCTATCTGTATTTCTTTCTGTCTATCTATGTATTTGTCTGTATATCTCTTTTTTTATTTATCTGTCTGTCTATAACTCTGTCTGTCTGTCTCACTTTCTGTCTGTATATCACTGTCTGTCTATCTATTTATTTATCTTTCTGTCTGTCTGTCTATATATCTCTGTCTGTATTTCTGTCTGTCTATCTATCTGTCGTCCTCTCCTGTCGTCCTCACCTGTCGCCCCTCCTGTCGTCCTCACCTGTCGCCCGCTCCTTTCGCTCGCTCTTGTCGTTCGCTCCTGTCGCCGCTCCTGCTGTTAGTGAGAGCTGGAGTGTCTTTGTGAGCTGTGAAAGAGATCTCTCTTTAGAGTCCCCATCACACAAACCCTCTTAAGATCTTAAAAAAGACAGATGAGATCCGTGTGTTGGGGATTTGCTGGAGTCAGCGTGAATATGAATGACGCACGGACAGATAGATGATAGATGAAATAGACGTTTATTCAGAGATGAAGGATCCTTGAAGAAGTGTGTGAAGACCAGAATAACCAGTCATCTCTTGTGTCATTACCTGTTTAGTCCAGAATAATGGTGGATTAAAAACATGTATTAATATCTCCCATATAGAAGAAGCAGAGACATCTGTCCTCACTCATATACTCTCTATGTAAAGGTATATTCATGTGCTTCTTTTTCATTCTATTTCCTTCTTTTCCTGAGATCAGAACGAGAGATCATATACACACACATTTAAATTCTTTAAATTAAACTATTAAATTATTATTATTAAATTATTTGAATTAAAAGATAAGCATATATCATGGCATAATTGTTCTTATATAGTCCGCAAATCTGCAGGCCTCTTACACACAGCTTGTGCTCATGGCCTAAACTAGCAAAAATAAGGGCAAGAACTTTACAAGAATAGCCAAAGTCATTGAGGACATTGTACCATGGTTGATGTTTCAGCAGGTTTGAAGCATAGCAGATGTCCATGTAAGCATCCAAAGAGCAACCGATTTCTATTATTGTCACGGCTTTGGTGTGTTCATTAATTACAACTATGTCAGGTGAATTTGGAAAGGGATTTATGGCAGTTTCCAGTGTAGTGCACTGTTCGTGAGGATCCAGTCTATCTTGATCTTTTCGTTGCAATGGATTGTGGTAAAGTTGACATTGTCTGTGAGCTTCACGATACGGGCATGGCGGCGATGCACAGTCCTCTTTGCCCCAGATGTAGTAGAAGTGAGGCTGCGTCGTCATTGTTTAACATCCGTCACAGGGGGCTTATTCTGGCGCCCAGCCCTCCCTCTCTAGACCTGTGAAACAGGACATCTATGTCGAGTGTGCATTTAATCCTATCCAGCGTCTCACCAGGCCTGCGGTCTTATTATTCAGCTCATTTAAGGTGCATTTGGGGATATGCAAGTTTGCAAAGAGATGCTGTATTTTGGAAAGAGCAATCTCTCTTCTGGCCTGTAGAGTCATCATGACAGGGAGGGGGGATGAGTCCACCATGTCCAGCCGTGTGCAGTATTCACTGCTAAGTTCATGCGTTTGCTCTTCCCATTCGTCCGCGATGTTGAACCGATGTCCAAGGTAGCAGTAGTACCGCACACACACTTTAGTTTAGCAATGAGCCCATGATGGAAAAGGAGGGTTGCTTGTGCTTCTTTGCTTGATCCCACCTGTTGCCTCCACTGCGTCTCTCTTAAAACACAGCACACTTGGTGTTGCATCGCGGAAGTCTAGGAAGACTGCATAAAACTCGCTGGATTCGTGCTTAAAATCATCGACTGCTGTTTTCAAGCAGAAGACCTGCTCATTTGAGTTATTCTGACAATATGTTCATTTGGCAGAGCCATGGCAGGATGCGATTCAGGATACACTTCTTTTTGCATGAAATTTGGTATTTTCTCATTGGTCAGAAAGACGTTAAATATTTCCGTTAGTGCGATACATGTCCACTGATCCCACGCTCTCACTGATTAACACAGTCTCATCCCAAAAAGTCATATAACTGACGTCTTGGGACGTTTTTTGACCGTACGTCAATATCCGCCTTTTTAGGGCCCCCTTAAACGTCGGTAGATGGCGATCCCGGGCCGTCATACAACTGACGCTTTACCTTTAACGTCAGTTAGGTGACGGGTTAGGTGACGGGTTAGGTTTAGGTCTGGGGTAGAGTTAGGATCCCATAACCTCATCTACCGACGTTTAAGGGGGCCCTAAAAAGGCGAATATTTACGTATGGTCAAAAGACGTCCCAAAACGTCAGTTATATGACATCTTGGGATGAGACCGGGTTGCACTGATACACAAGCCTGAGTTTCTCTTCTCAGTTCTTCTCCTTCTTTGAAACGCATTTGAAAAACCATCATGAAATTGATTCCTGGCTCTTTTGTGTGTGTGTGTGCGTGTGTGTGTGTGTGTGTGTGTGTGTGTGTGTGTGCGTGTGCGTGTGTGCGTGTGTGCGTGTGTGTGCGAGTGAGAGAACACCTCGTCCTGACTGATGACTGTTGTATTGTGTGTGTTTGACAGTAATTTCCGGTCAGTCGGGCTGGTTGACCCATTTCAAGACCCGCCAGAACTGCAGCTTCAGACTCACACACACACACACACACACACGCACACACACACACACAGTCTGAATGTCAGCTTTTGTGTCGTCTGGTAATTGGGTGAATCTATTGTAAAGTTTGTCCTCTTTTTCAGCATAATATCACAAATATATATATTTTAATGACAATTAATTCCATTTAGCCCCATTTCTCATCTCGATCAAAGTCAGTCATCTTGATCTGGTCATTTATTCAATTTACTAAAACAAAAAATATCAAGATCAAGCTCCTTTTATCTATAAAGCACATGTTACAGAGATTAACAACACAACAACACAACACAAACAACACAACAACACAAAGAGTACAAGACAACACAAACAACACAACACAAATAACACAACAACACTACACAAACAACGCAACAACACAAACATTTTACAGCCGCACTGGCTGACCAAGGCAGAGTTAAAAGAGATTAACAACACAACACAACAACACTACACAAACAACACAACACAAACAACACAAACAACAAAACAAAAACAGCACAACACAACACAAACATGTTACAGCAAACAGTTTCACAGAGATGGGACAGAGGGGGTCTCGGGTTCAAAACTCTTTATCAATGAAAAACTTGAATATCACGATGTACAAAATCACCAATTTATACTGATAAACCTACAAGATTTACACATTTCTTTTAAATATTGTACTATATTTTTCACATTACAGTAAGGATAACTTATAAGGATGGGGTTCTTAAATATCTTGGAATTTCCTATAAAAAAATTGTTTTTATTAAAATGAACATTTGGGTGAGATATGATCTGGACATGAAGTGTGTGGTTTGCTGTAATAAGTGTGTGTTGTGTGTGTGTGTGTGTGTGTGTGTGTGTGAGCGAGTGGAGCATCACGCCCTCTAGAGGCAGCAGCGCAGAACTGCACCTGAAGATGAGGAGGATGATCATGATAAAGATGATGATCATAGTGAAGAGTGTGTGTGAGTGTGTGTGTGTGTGTGGGGGGGTTGGGGTCTAATCCTCCAGTCTGTGGCCGGAGTTGAGTGTGTGTGTGTGTGTGTGTGTGTGTGTGGGGGGGGGTCTTCTCCTCCAGTCTGTGGCCGGAGTTGAGTGTGTGTGCAGAGGTCTGACAGGCTGATATTAACCGCGGTGTTGGAGGTGTTCCTGCATTCAATCTCTCAGCTGTGAGTGAATCACACATGACTGAATAAGTGTTTCCCTACCTGTGCTTCCGCTGATGAGTAACACACACACACACACACACACACACACACTGTCCGAGAGTTTGCTGAAGTTCTTGCGTGACTGTGAGGGAATTCAGCGCAGATTCACGGGCTGGTGTAAGGATGGAAACACGTGTGCAGGACTACCGTGGAGATGTTGTGGAGATGTTGTGGAGATGTTGTGGTAATGTTGTGGAGATGTTGTGGAGATGTTGTAATGTTGGCGGGTCTGGAAGAATCCACCGACTCGCTCGCCCCCGCGAGGCTCTCCTGGCGAGAAGCGCGCGCACACCCACAGCCCGCGGGCACGCGCGTGTTCCAGGGCTTCGCATGACGAAGAGAAAAACAAATATCTAAGACTTCACTTGGCCACACACACACACACACACACACAAAACAAGTCAAAAACACGTGAGACATTGTCAAAGTTAAATGAGAAAAAAATCGGCCCCAATCCCCCGCGCACAAACACTCACTCTTACACACACACACACACACACACACACACACACACTCTCTCTCACACACACACTCACTCTTACACACACACATACACACTCTCTCACACACAAACACTGTAAAAGCAGATAAATGTGATATAATTATAATAATAATAATAATTAATAATTCATTACATTTATATCATCAAATAGTAATAATAATAATAATATAATTATTTTATTATTGAACTAATAATATATAATATATACTAATAATATATATATATATACTAATATATAATACATATACTACTAATAATATATATATACTAATATATACTATTATAAATTGCATTCTGACTTCATTGTGGTATTATTCTGTACTCGCGTTCTGGCATGTCTATGTAGTTGTGATATGTTAATTGTGTTCGTCAGTATCGCATTATTGTGCGGTTATTGTGCTATAATGTTGTTGACACGGTTTGATTGATCGCTGATCGTTTAATTAATGTCGTATTGATCAGTGTAGGCAAACAGGTGTAATGATGTAACGAGCGAGAGAAAGTCTCTTGTTCCGGTCCCGCGTTAATCTGTGCGCACTTTCTCTCGTCTCCCTGTATACGCACACACACACACACACACACACACACACACACGCACGCAATCGCACTCTCCCCCGCGCGCTGTCTCATTCAGCGGTGCGCGCGATCCACGCAGGGCGGAGGGGTTTATAAGGCAGCGCGAGGAGGCCACACGCCACTCCGACTGAACACACACTTCAGACCACAAGCAGCAAGACTCCGAAGCCGAGAGTACAAGTACCAACCGTGACAGGACAACCAGAACCAGAAGCAGAAGCAGAACCCTTGCGAGCTTACTCGCTCTCACTGGAATACAGCAGGAGCAACAGAAGAGGTTGGTAGTAAACTCTCTGGAGTTTGATCAGAGTCGCTTTGTGCAGTTGCGCTTGTGGAAGTGAAGTGCACCGAGACTTGGACATCCACCCCGGGACACCTGGACCCGTTCGGACCCGTTCCCGCGGAAGACTTTGAGACTGTCGGATGGAGCGCGCTTTTTTGACACGCTAGAGTAACTCACCCAGGTAACAGAAGCTAGTGTTTGCTTGATGCACATGTGGTCGAGGAGGTTTTGTTCAGTGGTGCTTGCATCCATGTACGGATGAAACGAATGCAATCATGTACTGTGTGCAATTATAGCGTGAAACTAGTTCTGAAACTAGTGCTGAAACTAGTGCTGAAGCGAGTGCTGAAGCGTGTCGCTGTCCGCGGTGCTGGAATGCCGCGTCTAGGAGCTGATCTTCCGCTATTGTGAAGAACTCTTGAGCTTCATAAACTTTTGCAAACGTTTTCTAATGTTAACAGTAGAACATATACGTATGCTTATTGCAGCAATGTTCTCTAAATGCAGTGCGAGTAAAGTACTGACACAATTCGAGAGTTTATTTAGCTGCTTTTATCAAATCCTGAACCCGTGTCGCTGTCCGCGGTGCTGAACCGCTCGCGTCGCGTCTGTGGGCTGGTCTGAGTCTGAGAATATCTCTTGAGCTTCATAAACCTTTGCAAACGTTTTCTTGTATTAACAGTAGAATATATACTTATGCTTACAGCAGCAATGTTTTAAAAATGCATTGTGAGTATGCCGAGAACTATACTGAGAACGAGTGAGAGTCATTTGTGATTGTTTGCATGTTGCAAAGATTTCTTATTTGATTGCATCTTACTGCAAACAGTTTGATTGGTTAATGTGTTGCAATTCACAGTTAAACTCATTCTGATTTCAGCATGTAGGTGAATGTTTTTGTCCTGCAAGTGTGTGTCTTAAATGAGTGATATTGTCAAAAAGTGTGTGTGTGTGGACACGCATTAATCAGAGCTCACAGATGGCTCCGCTGTGCTTGCCAAGCTCTGCATGTCTCAGACTTTCCCAGGATTACATACAAAGTCTCAGTGTTTGTTCAGATCAGTCACAATCTGATTCCAGGATGGGATCTTCACCAGGGGTTGAACTCTGTGCATCTTCCTCTCACTCTTCCTCATAACTCCCTCAAACATCAGCTGGTTCCATAACTACACATATTATGTGCAATTTCAGCCCCCTATTTGGGGCATGAAAAGAGGTTGAGTGGCAGAGCTGAAGTACCCTCATTTTCTGTGGAGTCAATGCTTTCCGGTCTCTCAGATTCAATGGGCTCTGATTCAGTGCATTAGAGGTGCATCTGACTCGCTCAACAGAGCAACACTTTATTTAATATTATACAACTGTTGAGCTTTAGTTTTTTTAGCCGCACATTAACAGTTCAGAACAATGTAGAAAGATGAAGGTGATGATGAAGACGATGGGGTCACAGGTGCACTCTCTCTCTCATCCCAATGCTGAAAGAGTGTCTTTGAGCGAAAGAGGGAGAAGTTCTGGAACAGAGCGAGGGATTGTGCTTGGAAAGAGACACACACACACACACACACACACAGCAGATCTGTGTCTCGAGCACCTGTAGCTATGGCAACAACACTAAAGTTCTGCAAACCCTGCATTCTGTCAGGGAGGGGCTGAAACATCCTCCCCTCTCCCTGTAAGAAGCCGAGCGGCGCTGAACTTCAGTGGGTGCGAGCTGAGTCTTCACGGACGTCAGTTTGACGCAATCGGCTCGGCCACGTGTGAAAGCGTGGGCAGGAGAGAACGAGAGAGCGATGCAGGGAGAGATTCCTGTGAAGGGCACTGCAATTATAGTCTGAGTGTAATGGCAGTGTGCGCATTAGCACTGACAGGTCTCATTTTCTTTCGAACGCACACTAATGGAGGGTGCAGCTCTCGACTACAGATATGATTCAGATGGCAGACAGTATGATCATTTCAATGCCTATGATTGACAAGTGCTAACTCTGAATCCCTTCTGTATGTTGTTTTCCCCACAGATATGTCCCTATCAGTCAAGTGAAGAATTAAACCCGTATTCGTGGTAGAGAACAGATCAAACCCTTTCAGATCAAAGAACCCCAGGCAAGTCGAAAGCACTCGAATCAAAGGATCCACCCGTCCCGAAGCAAGAACATGGAGCGGCGGCTTATCCCGTTGGCGCTGTGCGCGTGCATGTGTGTGATGTTCACCCCGGGCATCTCCACTCCCTCCGGCCCGGCCTCTGCCACCTGTGCCACCCTGGAGCAGAGTCGGTTCTTCGGTGTGTTCTCCTCTAAGACCGCCCTGCCGTCGTCCCCGTGCTCCTGGACCCTGCAGAACCCCGATCCCCGTCGCTACACCGTCTACATGAAGATCACCAAGCCTACTGAGACCTGCACCCCTCGACAGATCCGAACCTTCCAGTTTGACTCCTTCCTGGAGACCTCGCGCACGTACCTGGGCATGGAGAGCTTCGACGAGGTGGTGCGCCTGTGCGACGCTTCCTCCACCGTGGCCTACCTGGAGTCCAGCAAACAGTTCCTGCAGGTGCGGAAGGTGACGCCGAGTCTCGGTGTGGAGGAAGACGAGGGGAGCGACGAAGGCAGCCAGTTCGGCGCTGAGTTTCTGGTCGTGGGAAAGAGGAACCCCAGTATGCCTGCCTGCGAGATGCTGTGCCAATGGTTGGAAGATTGCCTGTCGACCAGCACCCACGGAAACCCCTGTGGCATCATGATGACCCCCTGCCAGTGCTGGGAACCGCCCAAGAGGAAGAACGGTGGCTGTTACAGAGGCGGAGTCTACACCGAGAAGTGCACGCCCAACACTAGAGACAGCGGCCGCGATGCAGAGATCATGCGTAAGTGTGTGAGAGAATACCATTTATTTGGTAAAGTGCAAGCAAAATTGAACGCACTCCTCAAAAACATAGTAAAAGTTTTCTGTTTTCAATTTAAGTGGTGTCGTGTAAGCTCCCCCAAGTTAATAACTATTTATCTTTCCAACGGAAGTTAAACTTGAGCTGGACAACAACTTTATTCTAGAGCTGCTGTAAAGGCAAAAACAATCTGTTCCTTTAATTTCATTTTATCAATGTAAATCTTCTTTGAAACAATCTATATAAGTTCTTTATAAATGAAGACGACTTGACTTGACTGGATGTGGTTCTCCTCTATAGTTGAGCTCCCCGAGCCTCCGCTAAACAAATCAATGCCTCAGTGCTTGAGGTTGTTATAGCAACCCACCGGGCTACAAAACACCACATCCAGAGAGCGTCTCGATTCCCTCTTTCAGATGGCCGTATCATGCAGCGTCCTGGCATTTGGCCTTCAAAGCTCCATTTTGTTTTGAAAAGGTTAAAAAGCATTTGTTTGTCTTTGAGACTGTTCCCCCTGCTGTTATAGAGCCAGCCTCTTTGAAATAAAAACCTTCAGTTATGAGAAAACAATGCTGCATCGATTGTCAATAAGGCAGATTTGACGCCTCTAAGGTGCAGTTTGAGTGTAGTAACCAGAGTTGGCCAGCAGGTGTCAGCACTGACGGCAGCATTATCATGACTCATCTGCAGTGAATCTTCTGTCCTCCTCCTCTTCAGCATTACTCATTGTATATATGTGTGTGTTGTGTTTGCAGGAGGCTGGAACGGATGGGGCCGCTGGTCCGAGTGCAGTAGCGAGTGTGGCGGTGGAGTCCAGGTGCGCAGTCGCGCCTGCCAGCCTGAGGATGGCGTGTGTGAGGGCGTTGTTGAGGAGGGACGCTCCTGCAACCCTCAGCCATGCATCGGTCAGTTCAATGTGCATTAATGTGCCTGCAGTCAATGCGAGAGCTGTCAGATCTTACACCTGGTTTGTGTTGATTTGTGCAGGTCAAGTGCGGCAGAGAAGTCAAGGTCTGCGTTCCATCATCGGCCAGCGGCGTGACTCTGATGGCACCATCATGGCTAATCAGGCCCCTCAGAAAGGTGTGTATGACAACACTAGAAAAGCAGTCTGGGATGGTGAAAGTGGTGTGCTGAATCAAACTCTTGTTATTCTCCTGTGCGTGAAGAAGAAACCCAGCAGGACACGTGGTCCTCATGGAGTGTGTGTTCTGTGAGCTGCGGTGAAGGCTGGCAAACTCGTGCACGCTCCTGCATGATGTCCGGTCACAGCAGCCAATGCACCGGCCCTTTGAGAGAGAATCGGCCATGCAACAACACTGCCGTCTGCCCAGGTAATTCAAATCACACACACTCAGAGTCATCAATATTCACTTGTCCGTATCACGGGATGAGCGTTTGACTAACGACTCTGCACACGCAGTGAATGGATTGTGGGACGAATGGGCTCCCTGGAGTTTGTGCTCATCCACATGTGGTCGTGGATACCGTGATCGCGTCCGTACCTGCAAACAACCCCGCAATGGTGGAGAACCCTGCCGCGGACCCACCAAACAAACCAAGTTCTGCAACATCGCCGTCTGCCCTGGTCAGTACTCTCAGCCGGATCACTATTCCAGATCTCAACACCAGATGGCACTGTACACTTCTATAATTCAAGCCCTTTCAATAACAGCTTTAATCTTCCCTGCTCTGTAGTGGATGGTTCTTGGAACGATTGGTCTGCATGGACTCCCTGCTCTTCCTCTTGCTCTAATGGAACGACGCAGAGAACCCGCGAGTGTAACGGCCCCTCGTACGGAGGCTCAGAGTGCAGAGGAGAATGGCTAGAAACCAACAACTGCTTCCTCAGAGACTGCCCAGGTACACTATTCCTCACATATGCCTATGAGTTCAAGTGTAGCATCAGTTCTGACAGGTCACGTTAGTCACGCTCGCATCAGTACCTCTTAGCTGATCCACATCTACCTATAGGAATACGACTCCCCTCACTGTATACATATATAAACTCCTTCAGCATTATCAGCAGCTTCTCTGGAGATAGTTCCCCTCCTCCATCCCCAGCTCCTCCTCTCGCCCAGTCAGCGTTCGGTATTCTGATTCCCCTTGAATCAGACTAAATTCTCAAATTATGTTGAACTTTAAAATATTGAATTAATGATATCTGCAAAAACATTCATGTTAGTTCTGTTCTGTTTACCCTAAGGGGGTGATTATTTCTCTTATTGCCCTGCTCTTATCCATGCAGGGAGTTCTTGCCCAGAACAGAACCATACCGCCAATCCAAACTGTATGCTAATTGTCAATCGTATTTGACAATAGTGGTTGTTTTTGCACCTAAATATCTCTCAACAAGTGTTTAAATGAGAGACGTGTTGTCGCCCTCTAGTGGACGGGAGGTGGCTGCTGTGGAGCTCGTGGGGCAGTTGCAGTAAGTCCTGTGGTGGAGGTCATCAGCTCAGACAGAGGGTGTGCGAAGGACCTTTCTTTGGCGGAGAATCTTGCAACGGTGATAAATCAGAAATGCGAAACTGCAACGAGAAGCGGTGCCCAGGTGAAACCTCAAACCTGATTTTACTCGCGGTAATGCATGCACTGATTTTGAGGCGGTGTTTTTAATTGCTTATAAATGTGTCGTCAGAACCTCACGAGATCTGCGGAGAGGAGAACTACGGAAGTGTGGTGTGGAAGAAGACGCCCGCGGGCGACACGGCTGCTGTGCCCTGCCCGTCCGATGCCACAGGTACTGATCTCAGATCTCACGTCCAGCGCTCTAGTTTCTCTATCCGATGTGGGTCGCTGGCCTGACTTTAGGGAAAGAGTCCGTCTTTAACCCTCCTCTCTTTGACTCCCGCAGGCCTGATCCTCCGCAGATGCACACTGGACGCCGTGGGTCTGGCCTTCTGGGAAAACCCAACTCACATCAAATGTGTTTCCAAAGAATTCCTGGACATCCAGACCCTGGTGAGCACCATCAGACAAATACTAGAACATTAGGGCCGTTCGCACCTCTTCATAGTTTCTAGAAATATAAGTTCCCGGGTATCGGCGTGTTCGCACTGGAGGAACTGGGAACGATTTAAGTTCTTGGGTCAACACCCTGGTGGCTAGTTCCTTCAAACCCTTTTGTGATAAATACTGGCTTAAATGTTTGAGGACTGGATTCCTAACCGTCCTTCTCTTCCCAGACGCGTGATCACGTGACCCGGTCTGAGAGCGGTCAGCTGGTGGACGGCGTGTCTGAGGTTCTGTCCAAACTGAGGATGGCATCGATCGACAGCACGAAGTACAGCGGAGACCTGCTGGCAGTGATGGAGGTCCTGAGGAACAGCACGGAGATCTTCAGAGGCTCCAAGATGAGCCTGAGCAATGCAGATGTGGAGGTGAACACCGTCCCGCTGAGCAACGCATGTCACGGTGATGGGAAAACTCTATATCTGATCTAATAGCGCTTCTATTGTTTGACCCGCAGAATTACGCTCACACCATTAGCAACTTACTGCAGGAGGCACACCGAGAGAAATGGGAGGAAGCTCAACTGGTGAGTGTGTGTGATTTCCACTGACGTACATGTTCTCACACATGCATGTTGTGTCTTCATACCAAATTAAGAAGCAGAGAAATCGAGTGCGCCCACGTGCCAATCTGTGCCAACACACACACCCACACACTAATGAATCAGTCAACAAGTCATTCATGCTGGTGTGTGTTGTGCTTCAGATGGGAGCAAACATTAAGGAGTTCTTCAGTCTGGTGGAGAACTTCATCGACATGATCGGGCGTCAGATGAGAGATTTCCAGGACATCTACGAGGTCACCGAGAATCTTGGTGAGTGTGAGACGGGTCACGAATACAAGAAGAAAGAAGTCTGTGTGTGTGTGTGTGTGTGTGTTTGACTGTTGTTTTCTGACGCCCCTTCAGAGCTGAGCATCCAGAAGCGACCCCGAACCATGACCTCTGACGTGACCTTCCCCCTGAAGGGCTGGCGCGGGATGATCGACTGGGTTCGCAATTCAGAAGAGAAAATCACAGTGTCCCGCAACGCCCTGAGTCTAGACGTGCCAGGTACACACTCACTCACTCACACACACACACTCACACACACACATCTGTGTACTGAGGCTAATGCAACTCTGAATGTGTGTGTAGATGCTGAGCAGAGCACAGGGTTCGTCACCGGTATCGTTCTCTACAGAAATCTGGGTCCCATCCTGTCCTTACAGAGGTACACACACACACACACACACACACACACACACACACACACACACACACACACACACTTGAAAATCTCATGATGTCTCAAATTATCAGTTCAGCATGAAGTGATAAAATGCATGATCTATGACAGTGATTCTGATCATCGATGTTCTTGATCTCCATAGCAACAGCACTCTGCTCAACTCAAAGGTTGTCACGGTAACGGTGAAGCCCAACCCTGGGTTCCTGTCGGCACCTGTCGAGATCGACTTCCCTCACCTGCACAACGTGAGTCACTGAGAGCATATCACTCGCTCTGTCCTGTGTGTGTGTGTGTGTGTTGAGAACATGGAGGAAGTGACATATGACACAGATTAAACACCGCCTAACTATCTCTCTCTCTCTCTCTCTCTCTCTCTCTGCAGGGCACTGTTAATGAGACCTGCATCGCCTGGGACGAGAGCGAGAGGTGGGTGGAACCTCTTGTGATGTGTGTGTGTGTGTGTGTGTGTTGTTCTAGCTCTAAAGGTCACACACACTCTTCTGCCCTCGTACACTGTGTCATCTCCTCACCTCCCTGACAGCCGCTAATCATATTCTAATGTGTCTCCGCCCCCACTCCACTCATCACTAATGACCTTATGAATATTCACAGCGCATTCAAAACCTTTCAATGGTTCTTTTCACCATCTCTGCCCACTCAAACACTGCCTGTCACACACTCACACATACACAAACACACACTCACACACACTTATGCACGCATACACTTACACATCTTACACAAACACACACTCACACGTTTAAACAGTTGAGTTTCTGTGTGATCAGATTCTGTGTGTGTGTGTGTGTGTGTGTGTGTGTGTGTGCATAAGTGTGCACAGCAGAACTGAATAGTGACAGGAAGGAATATGCAGTTTAATAATAATAGAGAATAAAATACAATTGCACTGGATTTATACATTAAGAATATATATATTTACAACAGTACTCACTCAATGTTCTGAGTGCAACATAAAATCACCAAAAAACATTTTAAAATCTTAAAATCTTCTGAATGCCTGTAGCATGTAAATATGGTGATCATCTAGTTGTCTGTAAGAGTGTCAAGTCAAGTCACAGTTATTTATATAGCGCTTTTCACAATACAGATTGTATCAAAGCAGCTTCACAGTGATAACATGAAAGTAGCACAACACAGATCAATAATATTAAATATTAAATAACCCCAACTAAGCAAGCCAAAAGCATAAGAGTGTGTGGGTCTGCATGAGCATGAGCTGCTCTGCTGTGTGTGTGTGAGCTTTATTTCAGAGTGTATCTAACGTGTGTGTGTTTGTGTGCGCGCAGCGCGTCCCTGCTCGGCTCCTGGTCCGCGCGCGCCTGCAGATCCGTGTCGCGCGACTCCAGAACCACATGTGTGTGTGACGGACTGTCCACCTTCGCCCTGCTCGCGCGACCCAACCCCGATCCGGTGAGTGTCCGACCATCACCCGTGTGTTGGTGTGTGTGTGTGTGTGTGTGTCTGTGCGCGCGCGTGTGTGCGTGTGAAAATTAAGCGATGCTTTCAATAACAGCGTTTATTAAAACCGTCGGTTGATCGGATGTGATTATCTTTAATGTCCGTTTGATTTCCTAAATGACGACGATTTGATCGACAGCTGATAGAGGGTATTCGATGATCGATCGGTTCTCTTCAGGACAATTAAATTCTCTTCAGGAATCTGATGATCGATAATAGACCTGATAGTATTTCATGCGTATATTTGTTTGCTTTGATGCATTTATAGATGTAATCCGATGTAATTTATGTTACGATGTATTTTTTATTTTTGGCGCAGAAGCAGTTGCCATGGCAACCTCATCCGCAGCCTCGCGCTGTAATTCGGTTATCAGCACGAGAGGAAAAAAACACCTCGCACTGCAACGCGACGCGTCCAAACAGAACGCTTACGTTTACGCACACTGTTCTGACGCGTCGTGCAGTTCAAAGCTGATTAAAAGACGTGCCTTCATCGTGTGTGTGTTGTGTGAAAATCGTCCACCTGCAGGACACTCACACACACACACACACACGTGTTTAAATGTGCTAATGTGGAGCAGCAGTGAGGGAATGTGGAGCGCCTCTCTCACCTTCACTTCTCCTTCACATGAGCTGCCCTGTTTCTGCCAGTCATTCTGTCCTGAGGGAGATGTGTGTGTGTGTGTGTGTGTGTTCAAACTGACGGTACTGTGTCTCTCCGCAGAACATGGATAGGTCTCTGTTACCGTCGGTTACGCTGATAGTGGGATGCGGGGTGTCGTCCCTCACCCTTCTCCTCCTCATCATCATCTATGTCTCCGTGTGGAAGTAAGAAACTTTTCACAATTGCTTGGTTTTATAGATGTGTAGATTGATTTTATTAATTTATTGATTGATTAATCATTTGGATTTTGGGTTTTCAAACTTTTTGGAGACTGGATTTCATTGATCGTCTTTTTCTTCTCAGGTACATTCGATCTGAACGTTCAGTGATCCTGATCAACTTCTGTCTGTCAATCATCTGCTCCAACGCCCTCATTCTGATCAGTCAGACGCAAGTGCGCAACAAGGTGAGCCGACCCTGATCCTGACCCCGATCCTGATCCCGATACCAAACCCGACCCCGATCCTGATCATCATCCTGATCCCAAACCCGATCCCAATCCTGATCCTGATCATCATCCCGATCCCAAACCCGATCCTGATCCCGACACCAATACCGACCCCTTTCCTGATCATCATCCTGATCCCGATACCAAACCCGATCCTGATCCCAAACCTGATCCCGATCCTGATCATCATCCCGATCCCGACACCAATACCGATACCAAACCCGATCCCGACCCTTGACCTTCGTCAGCTGTGACGGCCCGGCTCACCTCTCGTTCTCTCGCTCAGGTCATGTGTGCGCTGGTGGCGGCACTGCTGCACTTCTTCTTCTTGTCATCGTTCTGCTGGGTCCTGACCGAGGCGTGGCAGTCCTACATGGCCGTGACAGGCCGCCTGCGTAACCGCATCATCCGCAAGCGCTTCCTGTGCCTGGGCTGGGGTGAGTGTGTGTGTGTGTGTGTGTGTGTGTGTGTGTTCTGGTGTTCTGGTGTTGATTCTGCCGGATCTCTGTCGGGATGGTGTCTAACTCTCTCTCTCTCTCTCTGGATCTCTCTCAGGTCTGCCCGCTTTAGTCGTCGCCATTTCTGTCGGCTTCACCAAAGCCAAAGGCTACGGCACCGTCAACTAGTGAGTATTCCCCATCCCGATTCTCTCGTCTCTCTCTTTCCGAGTGTGTTTTAGTGTGTTTAACGCTGTGTGTGTTGTTCTCCGCAGCTGCTGGCTGTCTCTCGAGGGCGGGCTCTTGTACTCGTTCGTGGGTCCGGCGGCTGCTGTCGTTCTGGTGAGGAGACGCTCGCGGTCACTGCGTGAACATTTCATTTAATATTCAACAACATTATTGATCTCCTGCATTGACACATTTATATGAGAACTGAACCGTGTGATGACATCACAGTTTTCTCCAGAGCAACTATATATATATAAATGAACTAAATTAAAAACTTTTTTTAACAACAAATAGGAAGCATCACTGAACTTTCTAAAGCTTCTCCGAGAAACAAACTTTGTTGCATTATTTTCCTGTTATGGGCTGCTTTGAAACTATCTGTATTGTAAAAAGCGCTGTATAAGTAAAGGTGACTTGACTGTCTGATTATTGCATCGACGGCACATGCCTGTTCACTGTTCACAGAGCGTTCACTGACGTCTCCTGTGTGTTTCAGGTCAACATGGTGATTGGTATTCTGGTTTTCAACAAGCTCGTGTCCAAGGACGGCATCACGGACATCAAGCTGAAAGAGAGGGCTGGGTAAGAAACGCTGAACACACACCCAATTAAACACACGGTACATACCAGCCGAGTGTCTTATTAAAGGCGCTGTCCTGCAGGGCGTCGCTGTGGAGCTCCTGCGTGGTCCTGCCTCTCCTGGCTCTGACCTGGATGTCTGCGGTGTTGGCCATCACGGACCGACGCTCCGCTCTCTTCCAGATCCTCTTCGCTGTGTTCGACTCCCTCGAGGGATTCATCATCGTTATGGTGCACTGCATCCTGCGCCGAGAGGTCAGCACGCTCACGACCGCAGCACATGTGTGTGTTTGACGTGTGTTTGAGTGTGCCAGAGCTCATATATGTGTGTGTTTCAGGTTCAGGATGCGGTGAAATGCCGTGTGGTGGATCGTAAAGACGACGGGAACGGCGATTCCGGAAGCTCCCTGCAGAACGCCCACACACAGCTCATGGTGAGCGCACACACACGCAGTCTCCTGCTTTTTAAAAGCTGACATTGGCTAATATTTTTCAACTGTAAAGCTGCTTTAAAATGATCCATTGTGTTAAAAGTGCTTCATAAATGAAGGCAACTTGACTTGACTTTCAAATATTGAATTTCTCATCTTTCTCTCTTGTGCAGTCTGACTTTGAGAAGGATGGCAGCTCAAACCGACTAGGTAAGCAAACAAACCACAAAGTGCATGAAACTCTCCATGATAACTGTATTCCACATGCCTCGGTCTCACCTGTGTCTCCGCTTGCCTTCAGGTGGAACGAAGAGCTCCTCCGAGGAGAAGATGCCCCCGCCACAGCTTGCCCTGCCCCTCGGCCCAAACTTCCACACCCTTCCGTCCAACCCCAGCGGAAAGAGCCACTTTCCCCCCGTCCCCGAGTACTCCAGCCACACGCTCACCCTGCGGAGAGAGAAAGGTCGCGGGGTCGACCCGTCCTGCGGGAAACCCGTGTATGTGTGTGAGAGCGAGCTCTTCAAGCAGCTGGATGTGGATTTGGCCCTCGCTCAGTCCGAGAGCGCCTGTCCCGACGGCAGCGGTTACGTGCTCCTGCCCAACACCACCTCCACCCTCCGCGCCAAACCCAAAGACGACTCCAGCGGCTCCGGCAAGTACAACATCAGCACCGAGCTCCCGCAGGCCCGTCTCATGCATCTGGGCGGAACCTTCGCCGAACCGCAAGCCGCATACGCCGTCAAAACGCTCCCCGCCGACCGCGTCAGCGTATCGTACTCGGAGCGTGACTCGCCCATTCAGAACATCCACAACATCTCCAGCGAGAGTCACGTGACCAGCAGTCTGGGCGACACCTTCGACTCCATGAACTCCATGATGTCCAAGAGCGAAACCATCTCCACCCTGTCTATGAGCTCTTTGGAGGTCAGCGAGGGGGTAAGATGCACCATTAATTCTTGCTGATGCCACACCTAATGAACACCTCCTCTTATGAATGACATCATTATTGCAAGATGTAATACTAAAGTTTGCCTGTTTCACTCTTGCAGAGGCAGAAATCCCGGTACGCAGAACTGGATTTCGAGGTAATTGCTCATTTTCAGAGTTTTGTAGCGTTAATCAAATGCACATCAGCAATAGGAATGTATTAATCGTCCCTTTCTCTCTCACGTAGAAAATCATGCACACCCGAAAACGCCATCAGAACATGTTCCAGGACCTCAACAGAAAAATGCATCACGCTGAGAAGGACAGGGAGTCACCAGCGTCCGACAGCAAGGTGAGCCAGAGGAACTTTCCATGACTCTGAACTCTGAATACTTTCTGGAAACGAGAACATATGGGAACCTCTTGGCACGGACTTTGCATTAATGCCGTTTTCTCTCCGCAGTCTGTCCGATGGAGCGTCTCCTCTGCTGGAAGCGACAAGACAAACCACAGCGTAAGTGTCCCAGTCTTTTGACTGCCTGCGAAGTTTTCCCACTCCCTGCCGAGTACGCCAACTCTAACTCTGTTCCCAATGTCTCTCTCCAGGATAAGCAGCAGGGAGCCATGGATCGCTCCTGGGAGAGCATGAGCCGGACGCAGGCGTCTCCTCCGGCCTGGGTCAGAAAGGACATGGAGCCGCTTCAGGCGTCTCCTCTGGAGGGTGTGGAGTGGGAGAAGCCCGGAGCATCCATTCCCCTTGTGGGCCAAGACATCATTGACCTGCAGACAGAGGTGTGAGGGATCCACATCTAACCCTGAACACCTCGGTCTGCATTTTATTGGGGAAAGAGAGCGGAAATGAAGGGATGAGCATGTAGAGGGCGGAGAGGAACCCGAGAGGGGAGTGCTGTGCCCGTCTGTCATTTCAATACGTGTCTCTCCGGCTTCAGAAGTAGCTCTCGGCTCAAGATGATCATCAGAAGGCATCAGGAGAGATTCTGGTTGGTTCATCGAGAGCTTTTCCCAACACTCTTCCAGGAGGTGGACACCCGCCTGTGCCCGTTCATTTTTCCACAGCTCCGGTTTGGGATGGGCGACTCTTCCCAGAGGAGGCTCGACTGCTCGAGCTCAGGGGCCCCTTCCAGAGCGATCTCGTCGTCGTCTCCCATGAGCCTCCAGGGGTTGCGAGCTGTGCCGAATGGACACACATGAACTGCCGTCGCTGTGGTGTTCGTTTTTAGCGCTTTGCGTGGACGCTTCCATTAAACTTTGGGGGAATAATTGTACTGAAAACTTGAAAAAGACTATAAGAGCTTCATGATTCCTCTGTTATTAGTGTAGTGAGTTATTATTATCATTATTGTGATTCCTTTGTTCTTATGATCATGTTATGATTTTGAGCATATTTCAGTTTTAATCAAAGTTTCAAGAACTGTATGAAACTGTTCCGTCATTCCCAAGACAGCAGCAGGATGAAATATCCCAGCTTGAGCTCGGCATTCTGGGTAATGTAGGCGGAGTAGCAGTGACTGTGTAGCCTTGGACTCGCTGTTGTTTTCTCCTTCGCTCCATTGGATCAGATCACTGTGTTCCCGCCATTCCCACCAGCGGCTCTTTCTACGGCCTTGTGAAGGAATCCCCAGCGCACGTTACGGGAGAGACTCCCGGTGCAGGAGATCTGCCAAACCGTGACTGGCGTCAGTGCAATATGAGGACAGAGGCTTGATGCCCGAGCAGGACTGACATCGGAATCTTTTTAATCATTTTCAGAGTTTTATATCGCCTTTATAGAGCCTATAGAAACCTTTATGACAACACTGTTCTCGGACTATATTAGCCATCAAATGAAGGACAAAACAAGACGTTGTGTCTTGCTGCTAAAAGAACTTTCAGGAAAGAAAAATATGATATCTACACAGAGTAATAGCTTAGAGATACATCTGACTGTGCTTCGGGAAATGCCCTAGAGTTTTTTACTGATTTCTCCATATTGCTGAGACACTGAACCCTCGGTCGTCTTGTTTTTTAGACCTGCGTGTGTGCTGATATCCCTCGCGTCTCCTGTTAGCGTGAGCTTCCCGATGTCTGTCTGAATCTCCAGAGTCTGTGTGATTTACCTCCTCTTGTGATTGTACAGTTTTAAGAACAATAAGCTGAAAGTGTCTAGTTTCTAATAAAATAAAATTACTTAAAATTACGGACTGCCTGTTCTTCACTTGAAAGTGTGAAAAAATAATGAGTTTCAAACAGGTTTCCTGAAGACTCCCTGACGTTCCGCCATTGCTCAGTCCCGCTCCGAACTCACGTGATCACGGGTCAAGCAAACAAATCAATGTTCTGAAAGCACCAGTTGATCTGTACGACTGACACACATCACAGACTGCAGTCATGATGATGATCGTAGTTTCTGAGAAATGCTGCCGAAGTAAGACGTCTTGTTCTTTGCTTAATGTCTAATTTAGAGTCATCAATATCGTTTGCACTTATTTTCCACTATGGGCCTATTTCCATTTTGTTCTGAATATGAGCAAGAGATTGCACAACTAAACAGGATAAAACTAATGACTGTCTGTATTTTGCTCATTAGCATCGGGCTCCTTCTCTCAGGAAATATGTCCTTTGTTTACAGGAATCTATAAATGTAAGAGAGCAAAAACACGCCTGAACCTCTGGATATCCCGACTAACGCATTACATCAATCACAGTTCATTATTAAAACAAACACGACTGGTGAAGTTTAAAGGAACACCCTTAACACCGAATGGGACACAAGAATGATTGTCTGAGGTTTATTTCAGTTAGAAAAGTAAGAAGTAAAGTCCCATGAGAGCGAGTCAAGGCCACTGCAAAAACATTCAGATACATTTACTTGAGAAGCAAAACGACTGAACGTATTGAGTCTAAAATCTATGACATTGAAGTTTCTGCCAGTGGGGTCAGAACCATTATCTTAATTCAAAGGGAAAACTAGTTCAAGGCGGATATTTCTTGTTTTAAGCATAAACTCTATTTAGAAGATGAAAATACTGAAGTCAAACCATCTAGTGCTGGGGTTGATGATCATCGCTCGCTTCCCCTCACCATTCATTTCCGTCCTTTTGTTGGAGTCAAACCTCATGTGTGTCATGCAGTCAGTCGTGGCATTCACCCATAATGCACTGTGTCAGAGAGGCCTGGATGTAAGTGCAGAAACACTCTCGGTAATTGTGTGCTGGGGTGTTATTTAATTCCTCATGACGTGATGAATGTGCCACTCAAACCTTTGTGTGGGTTTTTGTCTTGCTTCATTCAAGCCCAGAGAAAGTAATTGCGCTGTTGAATATTGTGAGTCATGTGATCTGGCTGATGTGAATGTGAAAGTGGATTACAGCTGTGTTTCTGCGTCACGGCCAAATGCCAGGAGATTTAGAGAGCAATTCTTCTCCGCGGGGACCAGCTCTTGACGGAGGCCACTGGGACTCAATCCATTCTTCCACATCACTCAGCTGAGAAGAGGCTGGGGCCGACTCGCTCTCAGGTGTTCATGAGTCAGTCCTGGAGCCCTGTGTTGGAGTCCAGCGTGGGTGACTCACTCCTGCAGAGGAAAACAGTGGAAAATCCCACAGATGCACACTGATGGACCAGACCGACCAGTGGATCCCGGAGACCCGAGGCTGCAGGACTCACACACAAGCAACCCTAGCAACCGCATAGCAACTACTCAGAATACCTTAGCAACTGCATGCCAACATCCAAGAACATCTAAAAAGTTCTCATGCTATAGAAAATCAATAATATTGTTGAATATTAAGTGGGGATGCACTGATCTGAACGCTTTAGCTGATACCGATAACCGATAATTCTTTATACTTGAAAGCCGATAACCGATGTTTTGGCCGATAAATCTAAATCCAAATTTGTATACAATTTTTGAGAGCCTGATTACAAAAACAAAAGTCTCCTCATTGAAACACATGTCCCAAACACACACTTAGAAAGAAAGTTTTGAGTTGGGATAGTTTCAGAGTGAGTTCAGATCCGACTGCAGCTGCTCATGAGTCTGAGTCACACGCACCGGACCTGTGTTTAACAAGCTGAACGTGTGTGTGCCTGGTGTTGGACCGGGAGAACGACCTCAGTGTGTCGTCGCTCAGCAGATGCTGGTTGCCAGGAAACCGTTTCCATCGGCAACAGCAGCGGTGGAACCGAGCAGAAAGGAGAACATATAATGGAGGACAGCGAGCCGACGGAAGCCCATATAAAGAGGCCGGATGCTCTGCGAGTTCGGCACATTATCACACAGTTCCTGTGATTCACTCCAGGTGAGATGAGCAGATCTCTCTCATCTATTATGATGAAGGTCAGATAAAGAGCAGGAAAATAAGTTCTTAGGTAAGAGAACAACGCATTCTCAAAGATACTGCGATCGAGATGACCCCTGATGAGAGGTCACCCCAGGTCATCCGAGAGGTTCTCCTTAACCAGTTCCCAGAGCTGCCGACAGCAACATGTGGAGGTGTTTCAGGCTTTAGGACTCCCTCATCTCTGAGATTCTCCAGCTCTGACTCTTGGAGAGTGTTTGTTCACTGAAACTCTTGCATTAGCACCATATAACACACGTCCTCTCCCAGACAGATTCACTTCTGTAGTTGATTGGAACTTCTTAATTAATTCATTATTGCCCTGATGGTGGAAACGGGGTGCTTTTCAGTGCTTTAGTTGTTTTCTAAAGCTGTTTTTCTATTTTGCTCAACAATCTTTTGCTGCTCTTCAGAACTGTCTTCTTCATTGTGATGGATGATGAAGGGAATTTGGCCTTTGTGTTTCCTCATAATTATACTCCATAAGTCATAGCTGGAAAATGTCATGTTCCTAGTCACACTGGTGTGCAAAAGTTATTTATGTTAATGGGAATATACTTCAGAGACATTCTCTCATAAAACATATTAGGGCCGCCAATCATTTTGGCCAAAGTGTGTTTTGGAAAAAAAGACCCTAGTATACAGGAGAGACTAGTTAAGACGAGAGACTAGTATACAGGAGAGACTAGTTAAGACGAGAGACTAGTATACAGGAGAGACTAGTTAAGACGAGAGACTAGTATACAGGAGAGACTAGTTAAGACGAGAGACTAGTATACAGGAGAGACTAGTTAAGACGAGAGACTAGTCAACAGAAGAGACTAGTTAACAGGAGAGACTAGTATACAGGAGAGACTAGTCAACAGGAGAGACTAGTTAACAGGAGAGACTAGTATACAGTAGAGACTAGTTAACAGGAGAGACTAGTCAACAGGAGAGACTAGTATACAGGAGAGACTAGTTAACAGGGGAGACTGGTATACAGTAGAGACTAGTCAACAGAAGAGACTAGTCAACAGGAGAGACTAGTTAACAGAAGAGACTAGTCAACAACAGAGACTAGTCAACAGGAGAGACTAGAGGAATCTAGTTAACTGGACAGTCTAGTTAAGGGTATAGTCTAGTTAACTGAGCTCTTGAGTTTCTGAACATGAGGTGAGGTTAGTGCATCTCAGGACTGGATGTGTTTGGAAACGCTGCCCCCTGCTGACCACATCATCACTGTCATCAACAGACAGAGGGTTTGAGATCAACTGTTGGGAACATCACACATCTTTTGTAGCGCACCGGCTTGAGGACCTAAAAACATCCACTTTGCAACTCTGACTATTTTAACTAGTCCTTAACCCTGCAGACGTATGTAAAGTAGGCTAATCTGTGGCACAGGCAGTCTCTCTTTCTCTCTGAACAGTCAGTGCCTTTTAAAAACTTAATTCTGATGGATGAGTTGAATGAATCACAGGGTTTATTTTAGAGGTTTTTTTTATTGAATTCGAATGAATGAATGAATCAGAGTTTGAGCTGTACTCTGTTTTTAGTGACGTCACGGGTCTTTCCCGCTGATGATGATGATGACAGGTCAACTGCTTCCGGAACTCGTCGCCTTGACAACTCAATTCATATTGGGTGCGAGACAGTGAGTAATGATGCCACAGAATGTTCTGAACAGAGACAGAGCAAGAATAGAATAGAACAGTAATAATGTTTTAATCTATTATTCTTTGTATTTGATTGATTTCCACATTGATTTTTCAAATCACAGCTGAACAAAAAAAAATCTGTTATTCATAAAAGACAAATATGATCCTTTGCAAATCAGTTCAGTCAAACTTTCATTGTTACAATATTTGATTTAAAACGAGACACACTTTATAACTTGCGACCCACATTTGTGCTCATTTTGACGAAACGATCTTTTCACGCAGGAAGTTGGCTAATGTGGACATAAGGTAGTCAAATATAATATCGGTAACCTCCATAATTGGTGAACTGTCTTTTTTTTTTAAGTTCTCTTTTTTTAATGCTTTATTTAAACATTCAGTTTACAGAGTAAAAAACATAATAACAACAACAACAACAACAACATAATAGCACAAAAAAAGAAATTAGACAACGATAAACAGGAAAATAAAAAATAAAATAAAATATAAAAAGAGGGCAATACATAGATGAAAATAAATCTAAACATAAAGTAAAAAGTTTGTAGGAAGTTTGTATGACAAATTTTACATGTTTTGAGTGCTTTTGGGTTAAGAGAGGAAGAAATTGTAGTGAAGTAATGTTTTATCTCATGCAAGAACACCGGAAAAATTGGTTTACAATTTTAAAACTTACACTTGTGAATATAAAATCTACACAAGAAAATAAGTAGATTTATAATAAAGCAGGCATTTGAATCAGCTTAAATAAACGCACTAACATCTTTCCAAAGTTGCCGAGTAAAATTTCATGACCAAAATAAGTGAAGAACAGTTTCAGTGTCATTCTGACAGAAAGAGCAATTTGTGTCAAAATCAGATCTAAATTTTTCTTAAGGAAATTTTTAATTGGGTAAATATTATGAGTTAATTTAAAGGATATTTCTTTGATTTTGTTTGTGAGGAGAAACCTATGTTGCAGGACCATATTTTTTTAAATTATCAAATTTAAATTTAAATGATCAAAAAGTCCATTCCAATATGACATTGCAGGAGGGACAGAAATAATGTTCTCAAGGAATAGAACAAGGAACAATTTCTTCCTTTTTTTTCAGTGAAACATATCTCACCAATATGAGTATTGACAGGTTCAGGCAAAGATAATGAACTCAAAGAGACAGTATTATTTTTAAAAAGCATGAGTATGCCAGATGGAATAGCATCACTGTGGCAAACTCTTTGGGAGTTACAGGTATATTATATTCTGAAAGAAACTCTAATTGGTGAACTGTCTCATTCATATGCGCTTAGTGAACGTTGTCAATTCTCACGTGACCCTAATTCAGATTTACACTGGTGACATTCAAAAACTGGATTCATCATCTTCATCATTCATCTTTTTATTCCATCAGAGTTATAGAGAAAATCTTCTTGAAAACGAAACTTTTATTTGTGTAAGAAAACCCTAACATAAAACAAAATATGAAGAATACATTATTCTTTAGAATATTTTTTTTGGAATATATTGTTTGCTCCAAACAAAGCACGGCTTCAGCGGGCTGTGTCTGCGCATGCGCAATGCGTTGGTCTCCGGCCGCAAGGTGGCGCTGATGACGCTGTGATTTGATGGCGTCCAGTTTATTCTGTGGTCGGTTGTTTCCGTGTTCCGAACTTCTGCTTCTGCTCCAGGAAGGGCATAAACTCTGCTGTAGTGTGTGTGGTGTGTGTTCAGTCATGGCTCGTCTGCTGCTGAGGGCCAGTGTGAGAGGCTATTTCACCTCACCGCTGAGGAGAGGATCAGATCAGGTACTGGACACCGGCTTCCTGAGGAGAATGTCGAGTATGACTATCGTTACTGCATCATTCACATTCACATTATGTGTTCCCGGAAATAAACCACAGTGGTCATGAATTAATGACCGGTTTCTTTTCTGAGGTGAAATATTTTAGGGCTGCAGCACTGAAGTGAGGGATGTGTTAACTAAGTCACATTTACCTTCTTTTTTTTAATCTGTGGCGGAAACAAGCTTCCATACAATTATAATGTTTTATCTACTAATGCTGTAATGTGTGTGTTCCACTATTGGCGCATGCGCATCGCGAGCACTAACTCTAGCTAGACATTAATTTACATTTAAAATTCTACATGGAACTGAAGAATAATGGAATATAATGTAGTCGGATGAGTGAATGTGAGTTCTGCTTTTGTTTTTCTTTTCTAGAATTTTTAATTAGTGGTGCTTGCAAAGCAACACTATTGTTATTGTCCATACTTATTTTTCTTTTTCTTCTTCTTATTATTCCGTACAAAGTTTGGCTGCCCTTTTGCTGTAGGGCAGACCTCTCTCTCTCCCTAGGAGGATTTATTTAATCAAGCAGCCAATGAGTAATGGCCTAAAATCTTCATAGCCACACCATAGCAACCAGTTACAGCACCCTAGCAACCGTGTGCCATACTAAATTACTCATATACATACAAAACATACTAAAAACTCCTTTTAAAAACAAAATAGTAATCATCTGTTAAAAAATACACGCTGACATCACAGACCTCTGATTGAGGCGTCAAATTGTGTGTATTATTGAGGAGAGGTGTGCTGTGACTTTCCGTAGCGATCAGGGTACGATGTTCGTCTGGCGGGCGATAAATCGGCCGAAAAAAGTCCCATAGACTTAACATTGGCACAAAATTTGTGAGATCATATCTTTTGACCAGAAGGTCATAGAGACTTAGGGTTGGGCTCTTTTCACTCTGCCTATTATGCAGCCAACAAGTACTGACATAATAACTTCATATTCACGCCCTAGCAACCACTTAGGGCAGCCTAGCAACCATAAAACAACATATTCAAGCCATATCTCAACTCCAGAAAATAGTAGAAACATGGAGTTTGCCTTTTTTGACTTAGACTGTCAACTAGTCTTTAAATATTATCTCATAAACTGTATAAGCACACCATAGCAACCATATAGGGTACCCTAGTAACCCTACAAATACATGAATAAGCCACATCTCAGCACCAGAACATCGTACAGACATGGTTGTTGTCTCATATGCAATCATGTGCCACACTCTAGGAACCGAGCAGCGAATTTTGCCACTGCAAGCACCATTTCACATTTTCTTCTGGAAATGTACGTTCTAGTTTAATCTTAACTTTACATTTTCTTATCGTAAGCAATCAGGTTAAAGCTGCCGTCGGCAACACTTTTTTTTATCATATTCAGTGCAATTTACACTATAATTCGACAGAACAACATGAATAAAGTGGTTTTAGAAAAACAAAAAAACGAGCTTCTAACTCAGGGGTGACAACGCCGGTCCTCAAAGTTTAGCTCCAACCCTGACAAATTAGTTTTTAGTAATCCTGAAAACATTGATTAGCTTGTTCAGGTCTGTTTTATTAGGGTTGTCGCTAAACTCTGCAGGACAGTGGCCCTCGAGGACCGGAGTTGCCCAGTCTAACTCCACCTGGAGTGTGTTACTTGTTTTGCATAATTCCCCCGCTCCGGTTCATCGGGTCCAATCAGCGCAGGGGGGTGTGAGATCGGACTGCCAATCACAGGTCGTGCACACGCCACCCCTCGCGCAAGTTACTTAATCGTGATTTACGTGATTTAATTGGGTTCAAGCTGGATCCAGAGCTTGCAACACTTCTTCTCGACAGACAGGTGATTGTGCGTTATCAACCAGTTAATGTCTTAGTGTTACGTTAGTAAATCTAAGTAGCCTACGTTTGCCCAAATGTGTTGGCATGGATTTTAGCTTACGTTAGCACTTGTTTGGCAGGTTCCTTAGCTTTGTTTGCACTGAAATCCGTGTGAACGTAACGTTAAGGGCCGTACACACCAGGACGAATATCGGCGCACGTTATTTGCCAGCGTTTTTCAAAGCGATTTTCGCTGACGATGAGAGTGAACATGCAAATTCATTCCCTGACATTAGATGGCGCCCATTTGCTCTGCAATTCCACTCCATAACAGTTGTCTTTCATCAAGATGTTTGTAGTCGCGTTTGTCATATAGTTCTTTATGTTCCGACACCAACGAGACCAGCAGCTCTATGTTCATCTTGCCTTGCATCTTCCTCGTCTTATTTCTTCCTGGCGTGTTGACGGTGTAGATTTGGTGTAATCTTCGCTGGCGTAGAAGATTATTGACTTCCTATTGCACATTGTTTGAGGCCAATTTCACCTGATTAATTGAAATAATAAACAATCCCCCCCCCCTCCCTCAGCTGGGTGATCTGGGTTCGGGAGCTGGTAAAGGAGGAGGATCGGGCGGCTCGATTCGGGAAGCTGGAGGAGCGTTCGGGAAGAAACAGGCGGCCGACGAGGAGCGATACTTCAAGTGAGTTTCAACCTCATCGTTTCCGTCGTGTTTTCTGTTGGTCACGCGAGTAATACGGATGTGTTTGACAGGCAGAAGGAGAAGGAGCAGCTGGCGGCTCTGAAGAAACACCATGAAGAAGAGATCGACCATCATAAGAAGGAGGTCGAGCGTCTGCAGAGAGAGATCGACCGACACAAGGGCAAGATCCGCAAACTCAAACACGACGACTGAAACACCACGTCCATCGCCATCAATCACTCCCTGTGCCTGATCTCTCCGTCTGCATGGGCTTTAATCGACCTGTGCGGAAACATGTGCTTTAATAAACCTGTGCATTATCAATAAACCTGTGCAGAAACATCCAGACATCTGAAGTTGATGTGAAGCTCGAGTCGTGTGAACAAACTGCTGGAGAGATATTTTAAGACTGTTTGCATGAGGGACAACATGGGGAATTTTATCTTTTGGGGCAATATTTTGAGCATAGAATGTGTTTATAATTTTTCATAACTAAAAAACGTTGCTAAAATGGGTTTAAGGAGCGTCCTTTACTGATAAAACGATTCTGGGTGATGTTCAAATGTCTTTATATGATCCAAAGCAAACTACAGCTCAAAGCTCTCACAACAGCTGGACTCTCTGTATTAGAGTCATTAAACACCAAATGATGTCCTTATGTCCACTTCTGATTATTGTGCTGGAGTTGTGGAACTAGGATTTATGCAAACTTACAATCTGAAATGTTCAATATTGAGAATAATATCCTAACTGGATCACCATAGTATAGTTTATTAGGTTTATATTCTGAGAAGAGAAAGATCGGTATTTCTTCATCTGGGGGTTTGTTTATGATTATGAGTAGCATAATGTATTGACCCCGACGTGATTTGAACACGCAACCTTCTGATCTGGAGTCAGACGCGCTACCGTTGCGCCACGAGGTCACACTCACGCGCCTAAGCTCGAGCCGTAATGACCATCACAACAGAACACACGTCACCACAGCTGACGCATGCGCACTCACAGTCAGCGGCATAGGTCCGATTTTAATAATCCTTCATAAAATCGATCTTGTCAAATCCTTAATTTCTAAATTATATCGATGAGACATGCTTATTATGTGCGCCTTTACAAGAAACGACAGTTATTTTAATAACTACCGTTTAGTTATTTTTTGATTGTAACAACCAATGCTCAGTCCTTCTGTAGTAAACCACTCCTTTGTTCACAAATATATTCTTTTTTTATTGTGTTTGTGAATACCCCATTATCTTTTGAAAATGTTGCCAACTTCATTATATACACGCTACACTTTTAATACATTAATAACAAATGGTTTATTAAATATCCATTGTGCTGCTTCTTGAATTCAACTCAATCACACATCCCTCACATTTGTACACAAATAAAACATAGCCAGAGAAAACTAGACTGGCGACTTTTATCTCAACATTACACATTTTTTTATTTATATATTTATTATTATTATTATGGAGACAATCGCGTGACTGATCACAACATTTCTATTTCTTCTTTTATATCTGATTATGTAAATCATGTAGTTTGTCAGTTGTGCGCGCGGATTCGCTGCCCCTCCCCCGTGCGTGATGACGCGGCCGGTCCGCCGCGCGAGGAAGTGGCGCTGTTGTTTGAGCGACGGGACCGTCTCGCTGTGTCTCGTGGGTTCACCCGAACAGCATTTACCGTGTTTCGGTGAGTTCTGCCGTTAATGAACCGGGACTGATCGCGCTCAACAGCTTCTCGTGCCGTCCGGTCATCATAATCGCGGTGAGTGCGCGCGGCGGACGTGTTTTTTGGCGGGTTTGTCCGGTTTGAATGGTGTGTCTCGCGCCGCTGCTGCTGATGTAGGCCTCGCGCGCGCGGGAATCTCCGTCTCTCCGGTCTAACGGTTTAACGGGTTTATTGTGTGGTCTACGGGAGCCGTGACGGGTAACGGGCGTCACGCATGAGCTAACGATCAACAACGGCCCGTTACGAGCTCCGATCTGGACACACACTAGCGCGTTAGCATCGCGTGCTGCTAGCCTCATGCGCGAGGGGGGCGGATCAGTGTGTGTGTGTGTGTGTGTGAGAGAAAGAGTGCGCGCGCGTTTATTTGTGTTTTATAAATCTGTGCCCGTGTGGATTCATATATTAAATATATGCTAATGATCTCTAGATTTCATTCGTTCATTATCTGATAAATGCAGTGGTGTGTGTGTGTGCGTGTGTGTGTGCGCGCGCGCGCGCGCGTGCCTGTGTGGTTAGTTGTAAATACAGAATAAACTATAAATGTTTTCTTTAACATGAGATGATCCGATGTTTATGTAATTATGTGGTCACAATATTTAATCATTTTAAATTGCTTTTTTAAAATTGTACATGTTCTTAATGTGCTTTCTGCGACCTGATCCTCCGTGAACTTCTAGAGTTTAATAGTTTAATATTCTTCTAATATATTTAAATCTTATTGAGCGAAATTTCTCTTAATTCAGAGTTTTAATGGTATGATAAATATGTATATTTTGTATTGCCAAACATTAAAACAACAGAACATGATTTAGAGTGTTTAGTAAAGCACAGAAAATAATACAACTAAATAAAAAAACATTATTATAAATATTCATGACTAGATGAAGCAAATATAATAAATATAGCACAAAACCATAATAATTAAATTAATAAAGGTTAATAATAATACTATCTCCCTCACTCTCTCTCTCTCTCTCTGATTATTGAGAATGCATTTTTTTTACTCTTAAGATAATTTTGTCTTTTATTTTATGATTTTTGTTTAACAGTGTGTGTTCATTGACTGGACAATGTTTTAAAATGTCTCTCTCTCTCACACACACACACACTCTCTCTCCTCAGAGTGATGGCTGCTGAGGTCAATGGCAGCTCTGCTCTGGCTAAAGAAGAGGAGGAGCCCATGGACGTGTCGGTCACACACTCTGAGAACACACACTCTGAGAACACACACTCTGAGCACTACCAGACGCTGCTGGACGCAGGTTTGCCGCAGAAGGTGTCCGAGAGCCTGGACAACATCTTCCAGACCGGTCAGTCCAGCTGGAGCCCGTAACATACACACACACACACACACACCGTTTGCACATCACACAGGCTTCATTCAATACTTGCGGAATCAAAACTCAAAAACGTAATCTTTTTGGGACGTTGTATTTTAAATTACAATGAGCATTTCCCCCAAACCATGCAGATCCTGTGAGAGACTGGTGTGTGTGTGTGTGTGTGTTGGGCTGTGTGTGTTGTACGTCACATGTAAGGCTCATGATGGGCTGACACTGGTCATGTGTGTGACGTATGACACAGAAGAGGTTACATCTCTCGCCCACCGCAGCGCCGCCACACACTGGCGGTTTGATATTTTTATTTTATAAATAATTGAGTTGAGTTCGAGAACCGACACTGTTGAACTGAACGTGTCTGTTTAATAAAGCGTTCGCCGAACGAGACCGGTGATGAGGAGATTATCCTCACCGTCACATCCCTATACCCAGCCCTAGGTGTGTGTGTGTGTGTGTGATTACATCTCTAGCGCGTCTTATGTTGTGTGTGTGTGTGTGTGATGGGTTCGAGCACGTCTGATGCGTAGTGTGTGTGTTCAGGGCTGGTGGCGTACGCGGATCTGGACGAGCGAGCGCTTGATGCGCTGAGGGAGTTTAATGAGGAGGGGGCGCTGTCGGTTCTGCAGCAGTTCAAGGAGTCGGACCTCTCACACGTGCAGGTGAACACACACACACACCTGTGCAGGTGAACTAACACTCGATCTCACACACACACACCTGTGCAGGTGAACTAACACTTGATCTCTCACACACACACACACACACACCTGTTTCAGCCGTTTAATCTGATATTTAACCCAAAAATGTTAATTAGCCCATGATTTACTCGCCCTCGAGTCATCTTAGGTGTGTATGACACACAAACACAGACTATATTTTTTGGGACGTCCATCAAAGTGCATCTATGCATATATGTCGGCACTTTTATCATGGATTGATGCACTTTGATGGGCGTCCAAAAAAATATACCCATATAACTCTGCTTGTGTTCGTCTGAGAGAAGAGTCACACACACCTAAGATGACTCGAGGGCGAGTAAATCATGGACTAATTCTTTGGTGACCGATCGGACATCCCTCTGCAGAACAAGAGTGCGTTCCTGTGTGGCGTGATGAAGACGTACCGGCAGCGGGAGAAGCAGGGCAATAAAGTGCAGGAGTCGACGAAAGGCCCGGACGAGACCAAGATCAAGGTACGACACCATCTCTGCGGATACCTCAAACCATTCTGCCATTCGCTCAGGGATTTATCCATGTTTAGATGATATGTGCCAAGTTTACACAACCCGTTACATTTTTATAAACTCACAAATGCAACCAAAATATATAATAAATGTTTAACTAAGAAAAGTGCACTCTTCTGGACACTTGCGTTTGATCTGCGTCCTATCACTAGACATGTGATCTGTGTATTGTTAGACCCGTAATGTCGGGAGGCAGCCGTTCCTCATCACACAGACTGAGTATTTCATTCGATCTGCATGTTCTGACCCGTGTTCTCGTGTTCGTGTTCTGGCCCGTGTTCTGACTCATGTGCTCTCCCGCAGGCTTTGTTGGATCGGACCGGATACACACTGGACGTCACCACGGGTCAGCGGAAGTACGGCGGCCCGCCTCCAGATGAAGTGTTCTCCGGCCCACAGCCCGGCATTGGCACCGAGGTCTCATTCTCACACACACCAGTGCTTCACTCTGTGCTGAGCGCTCGAGCTGACCTGTGTGTGTGTTCCCGCAGGTGTTTGTGGGTAAGATCCCGCGTGACCTGTATGAGGACGAGCTGGTTCCGCTGTTTGAGAAGGCCGGTGCGATCTGGGATCTGAGGCTCATGATGGATCCGCTCACCGGGCAGAATCGCGGCTACGCCTTCATCACGTTCTGCAACAAAGACGCCGCGCTGGAAGCTGTCAAACTGGTGCGCGCCTTGGCTCCACTTCACAGCGCTATACAGTCAGGAAGCATCATACAGTGTAGATCGGTGCTATACAGTCAGGAAGCATCATACAGTGCAGATCGACACTATACAGTCAGGAAGCATCATGCAGTGCAGATCGACACTATACAGTCAGGAAGCATCATACAGTGCAGATCGACACTATACAGTCAGGAAGCATCATACAGTGCAGATCGACACTATACATTCAGGAAGCATCATACAGTGCAGATCGGTGCTATACATTCAGGAAACATCATACAGTGCAGATCGACACTATACATTCAGGAAGCATCATACAGTGTAGATCGGTGCTATACAGTCAGGAAACATCATACAGTGTAGATCGGTGCTATACAGTAAGGATACATCATACAGTGCAGATCGACACTATACAGTCAGGAAACATCATACAGTGCAGATCGACACTATACATTCAGGAAGCATCATACAGTGCAGATCGACACTATACATTCAGGAAGCATCATACAGTGCAGATCGACACTATACAGTCAGGAAGCATCATACAGTGCAGATCGACACTATACAGTCAGGAAACATCATACAGTGCAGATCGACACTATACATTCAGGAAGCATCATACAGTGCAGATCGGTGCTATACATTCAGGAAACATCATACAGTGCAGATCGACACTATACATTCAGGAAGCATCATACAGTGCAGATCGGTGCTATACAGTCAGGAAACATCATACAGTGCAGATCGGTGCTATACAGTCAGGAAACATCATACAGTGCAGATCGACACTATACATTCAGGAAACATCATACAGTGCAGATCGGTGCTATACATTCAGGAAACATCATACAGTGCAGATCGGTGCTATACAGTCAGGAAACATCATACAGTGCAGATCGACACTATACATTCAGGAAACATCATACAGTGCAGATCGACACTATACATTCAGGAAACATCATACAGTGCAGATCGACACTATACATTCAGGAAACATCATACAGTGCAGATCGGTGCTATACAGTCAGGAAACATCATACAGTGAGGTGAACTATGAAGCTGCTCTACTCAGACAACAGTGAGGATGTTAGTAACACTGTAAATGTACTTATATATTATTAAACACAACATGATCACGACAGGCGTGCACATTTTACATCACCGATTATTGTTGGATGACGTGCATATATAATCAGTCGAGGTTTTGTGTGTGTGTGTTTTCCATCAGTGTGATAACTACGAGATCCGCTCGGGGAAGTACCTGGGCGTCTGCATCTCCGTGGCCAATAACCGTCTGTTCGTCGGGTCCATTCCCAAGAACAAGACCCGGGAGAGTATCCTGGAGGACTTCGGCAAAGTCACCGGTGTGTGTGTGTGTGTGTGTGTGTGTGTTACACCATATACCGGTGCCAGAATGGCATTGCGATACCCTGCTATTAAAAACAATACGATATTATATTTTATTAGTAGCGGTACTTTGAAGATGAACTGAACTGAAACTGAACGGGTCCTACCATGCCAGTGACGTCATCAAAATCGCCAGCGCTCTTAAACTAACAAGCGCAAATTTGTGTGTTGCTTAAAAAATGGTATATTAATATTTTTTATTAAAATTTGTGTAATTTACTTTTAATTGTCAAACACCTTTTCAACGTCAAAGATTGACAGAACTTTAAATAATTTGAGCATTTCTTTATTTGCGTCTGTGTGACGGAGTCAGTGTGTGTGTGGAGTTCTGCTTCTACTGTTTACATTCACTAAACAACGGAAAATTAACCGTGAAATATATATGCGCATCGCTTGACAAACTTAATTGCACGAGGAGCGCGGGACGTTTCTCTTTCGTGGATTATTAGGTTCGAATCGTCTAAATACTGTGTGAAGCACGTCCTGCGAGTGTTCTCGTAAACGCAGTCGGTGGATTTAGTGAACGTAAATGTTTGTAAAAAGAAATTGTTGCACTGATTATTTTATTTGTCATGTTTGTATTTTTTGCTTATTTTTAATAACAAGGATAAACATTTTATAAAATCTCTGTGTTGTACTTATAAAATTACATTTAAAAATTATTAAATGTCTCCTATTATTAAAAGTGAGATTTTGGTCATCCAGTCAGTTCAGAATTGGGAAAGGTTAGCAAATCTTAACATGAGTGATATAACGGGGAGGGAACGGTCCAGTGAGTTCTGACGGTTTATTAAAGTATGAAGAAGAATGGTAAGTTCTGTTTGTTTTTCCCGTGGTATCGATTGAGTATCGGTATCGAGGTATTTTAGTCTGGTGTCGAAGTCATAATGTTGGTATCGTGACAACACTAGTGTCCCGAGGTGGAGGCTGACGTGTGTGTGTGTGTGTGTGTGTGTGTGTGTGCGCAGAGGGCCTGCAGGAGGTGATCCTCTACACGCAGCCGGACGATAAGAAGAAGAACCGCGGCTTCTGTTTTCTGGAGTACGAGGACCACAAGTCTGCGGCCCAGGCCCGGCGCCGGCTCATGAGCGGGAAGGTGAAGGTGTGGGGGAACCCGGTGACCGTGGAGTGGGCCGACCCGGTGGCTGAGCCCGACCCCGAGGTCATGGCCAAGGTCAGACACACACACTACACTGGGCTCATGCTACACTATATTAAGCTGTTTATTATCCATTTATTACCTTTTTGAGCATAGACCTGAAAATGAAGCTTCTACCCTAAACTGTAAATCTTGAGTGACTGAAGTTTGGTCCTCCTCAGACACGACACTCGGCAGATTAGTGCTGAAGGGAACTTACAATACACAAAAATACAAATTTCATAAATCTAAACAAGCTTTGTTCAAAATTAGAGCCAGATATCTCAAAAAATGATCTTTCAGTGAGATGTTTATTATTATATTGTTATAATAATACAATATGTATAATGATGCAATGGTTTTAGAACATAATTGTGCTTATACTTAGTTTTTGAAAGATACCATTTAAACGGTGGCTGTCATAAACTTGACGTGGTGAGGTTGAAAACGTGAGGTTTTGTTTACGCATCGAGGACTCTCTGTCATGCAGAAGAACACAGGAACCCACAGCTGTGTTCACATCGACTCGTGTGTGTTGCGTGTGTGTGTGTGTGTGACGGTGATCTGTCCTCAGGTGAAGGTGTTGTTCGTGCGTAAGCTGGCCACGCCGGTGACCGAGGAGCTGCTGGAGAAGACCTTCTCCCAGTTCGGGAAACTGGAGCGCGTGAAGAAGTTGAAGGACTACGCCTTCGTTCACTTCGAGGAGCGCGACGCTGCCGTCAAGGTACACACCCGCGACACTGGACCGGTCACTCATCAGACTCGTCATGCTGAACCGCACTGGAAGTGTGTGTTCGTCAGAGTGAATCTTATATGAGCTTAAACATGCAGAGCTGTGACCAAACATGTCCAAATACTGTTCAGGCTGGAACACACCGAACTAGCGCTGATGAAACCCACCGGGGGAAAGCTGCACACCGAGAGAACTGCAGCCGACTGTCAGCTAGCATGCGCGTTCTGCGCCGGCGTGTAAATGAGCCAACTGTCTATTTCAGCAGATATTCGTCTATGTTCGTCATTCAAAAGAGAAACCGAAGCTGCCGGCTGCAGATACACACACCGTAAACTTAGCAGTGCTTACCGTTTAAATATCAATCCTGCTAAACACTTAATCCAGTCCGCTCATGCTAATATTGAAATATCCGCTAAGGAACACTCGGGTAAGATGGCGTAACATAAGAACAGCCTTCTATCTGGAGAGTTTGGAAGTCTTTGCTCGCTGTTTTGCTTTTATTCTCGTACACTGACTCGTTCACTAAGCTGAACAGCCAATCAGAGTTCCTCTTTCACCGACGGCCCGACAGCGATTCAGCATGTGGAATCGGCCGAACCCGAGCCGACGAGGACCAGCTCCAGCCCGCGGTGAGAAACACACTGAGGAGAGCGAGTCGGCCGGCGGCGGTCCAGGCTTAGACTTCATTATCTCTGCAATGGCCATTAAGAGTCGAGTCCAGTTCAGTTGGACGTTATTGTCCATCTGTTTGTCATAGAGTGGACTCTTGTCTTTGACCCTGGTGACCAATACATTCGCATTAATGCCTGAAACACATCACACATTACCAGCACTAACACACAACTAACAGGTACACAATTAAACTCTAGAATACCAGCCGCTCTATTGTACTAACAAACAAAATAAAGCATTTAAATTAACTCGAGTAACGGTTATTGATTAACTCTAAATTCTGAATTGTGTGTGCAGGCGATGCAGGAGATGAACGGTAAAGAGCTGGGCGGCGAGGAGATCGAGATCGTGTTGGCCAAACCTCCAGACAAGAAGAGGAAAGAGAGACAAGCAGCCCGACAGACCACCAGAAACACCGGGTGAGACACACACACACACACAGACCAGCAGAAATACAGGGGTCACATGACCAGGGTAAAGACTGACGAACGAGACCGTGGTGAAGGGTTTGTTACTCAACTGAGCAATGTAGAAACAGACATTACAAGATGATTGAATAAAACATTTCAGCTGCTCAGATTATAATCAGGAACTTTGTTATCGAGGATTTCTTACAAATCTGAGCAAAAGTCTCGTCCCGCCCCCCTAACACACACACACACACACACACGCTATTACAGCAGGAAATAGCTCTAATGTGGCACTCACAGCACAGTTAGCTTGGCTGGCTAGTTAGCCACACTAGTGCACAGGCCAGCACTATTGGAACTGCCAGTGTAGTTACTAACCCGTACATATAGTTATTTAATATTACTCAGTACTTAAATGTATAATTAGTGTAACAAAGACACCGTAAAATAAAATGTAACCCTATTTTATACTGTTTTTACAAACGAGGATGTCCCTAAACTGAGGTTTATTGAGGTTTATGGGTAAAGTTTTGTCTCAACGGCGTGTGTGTGTGTTTCTAGGTATGACGACTACTACTACTACCCTCCCCCCCGTATGCCTCCTCCGGGGCGCGGCCGTGGGCGTGGCACGCGCGGCGGATACTCTTACCCGCCCGATTACTACGGCTACGAGGAGTACTACGACGACTACTACGGTTACGATTACCACGACTACCGGGGCGGCTACGACGACCCCTACTACGGTTACGACGACGGCTACACCATGAGGGGGCGGGGCAGTCGCGGCAGCCGTGGAGCTCCGCCCCCTCCCAGAGCCCGCGCGGCTCCGCCCACCCGCGGCAGGGGGTACGCTCCGAGGGGCGGGGTCCCGATGGGGGCCGGGCGTGGCCGCGGGGGCCGTGGCGGGCCCTTCCAGCCACCCAGGGGTCGTGGCATCAGAGGCGCGCGAGGAAACCGCGGCGGGAACGTGGGCGGGAAACGCAAGGCCGACGTGTTCAACCAGCCGGACTCGAAACGGCGCCAGACGAACCAGCAGAACTGGGGCTCGCAACCCATCGCCCAGCAGCCCTTGCAGCAGGGCTCCGACTACGCCTCCAGCTACGGCTACAGCAACGACACGCTCGAGTTCTCCCAGGACTCCTACGGCCAGCAGTGGAAGTAGAGGCGGAGCACTTCCTCTTGCCTAGCGCTGGATGAACTAGCGGCTGCGCTACCCAGGCGACACTGAGATCTTGAGAATGTGACGCGTTGAGCGGGATTACAAACGCCTCTGATTGGCCGTTGTTCACAAGCTCATGGGCTAACGCACGCGCACTTGAGTGTTTTGAGTATAATCAAATTATAAGGTGTTTTCTTTCTTTACTTTTTTTGTTGTTGTTTGGTCATATGTTTATTTTGATTCATATTTAAAAGAAAAAGGGAAAAAAAGAAAGCAGGAGCGTTTGAAATCAGAAGATCGGGCATTTCAAACACTCCTGTTTTTATTTTTATTGCAGGAATAACAAATTTACAAAATACACACATCGAAAAATAAACGGAAACTACAATATAAACAAACTAAAAAAGAGGTAAAGAAAGGAAATGCCTTATAATTTGATTAAAATTTACGAAGCGCAGACTCGTGAACACAACGGCCAATCAAAGGCGTTGACGATCCCGCTCAAAGCGTCACAGGTTTAGATTCCGCGTCGACTCGGTCGCTAGTTCGTCCAGCGCTACTCCCGCCCCCCTGAGAATCAAGATGGTGATTGGCCAGCAGTGTTTGTTTGACTTTTCTATCCTCTAGCCCTGTAGACCCCGTCGTGGCCCTCACACTGACCACTTTTACCCCTCATCTTCCTCTTTTAAACTCCACATGAACATTTTAAAGAAGACACTGATCCTTCCGTGTGCGAGGACGCTTGAATCATGAAATGGCCTTCCAGAAGAAGTGTTGTCCTCGTGCTCGTCTCAGTGCTAGTGGCGTAGGGACTCGCGTGTACATAACGGCTTAGACTAGAGCTTCGTTCAGCGTTTGGTGTTTTTGCAGAGTGGAGAACAGGTCCACGAGAAGGAAGAGTTTTGTAGCAGGATTTGCTGTTAAGTGTCTGTTAGCATTTCTAGAAGTAGTTGAATTGTGTTTTTTAAAAACTGATATACTGATATTATAACTTCAGATGTTTTTTTTCCATTTGGGATTTGCTGGTGAGGGTTTTGGTCCGGCTGACCCTAAGAGCCACGGCCGCTGGTCTGATGTTTGTATTTATAACTTTTATTTTTTGTTTGTTCGGTTTCAATAAAACTCAATCAAGCAACTTCCTCTGCTTCCGGGAACTCTAGTTCTGTGTCATGATGATGAGAGACAAGACTGTGTGTGTGTGTGTGTGTGTGTGTGTGTGTGTGTGTGTGTGTGTGTTGAGAATGGGTGTGAGAAAGGAAGAGTGTGTGTGTGTGTGTGAGAGAGAGAGAGAGAGTGTGTGTGTGTGTTCCACCTGACTCCTGCTGCTTGTGTGTGTGTGAGTGATAATGACTTATTTCCAGGACAGATGTGTTATAATATACACTATTGTTGATTCAAATGTTGAATATTTGTGTCCAATAGTCATTCATCTTTAATTATCATTAATAAATTGATTATTTTATATGGGCTTCATTCACTCAGTCTGAATGTACATCAAACACACGAGCTCAGGGTTTAATCAACATTCTAGTTTTTATATACCCATATTAATATTAACGCGTTATTGACCTCAGTGGAAATACACTGCTGTTCAGCTTTTCATTCGGAAAATACGCGCGTGTGTGTGTTTGACCAGTTAAAGACTATTCAGATTCCTAAAGATGATTTCTTTTCATTTTTCTGTTCGGAAAAGAAACCAGAGCTTTGGCAAATCCTCTAATATATTCCTTGCTCCAGTTGTGAAATGAATGATCATTTATTATGTGTTCGCCGTTTGTCATGCGGGCCGAAGACTTTTATTTTGTGATTGACGCGACATCCGCTGACGTCACAGAAGCAAGATGGCGGCGGGCGGCAGCGGCGAAGAAGCCTTTAATACCTTTTACACAGAGGTGAGATTGAGACAATAATACACACTTCACACACACATTTGTGTACAGAACGAGTTAAACATACAGATGTGCGGCGGCGAGTCCCACACACGCGGTGTGTGTGTGTAAAATCCTATCTAGACAAGACTATCATTCACAACATCCGCCGATTATGAGCCATAATCAACACTCAGATCATTCTTCTCTGGTCATTCATAACGCTCTGCTTTAGTTTAGTGATTGTGCGTTTAATAAAGATTGTTTATGGACTGTGATTTCATTTCCATGGCAGTTAATTACATTTACCTCAGATAATAACAATAATGAATGAATGTTTTTTCAGATGAGTTCACAGGGCAAAAGCACAGCTGTGTTCAACACTGATAATAATAATCATAACTGTGTGTTGATCATCAGATCCTCATATTAGAGTGATTTCTGGAGGATCATGTGACACTGAAGACTGGAGTAATGATGATAAATTCAGCTTTGATCACAGGAATAAATTACACTTTACTGGATATTCACATAGAGAACAGATGATTTACATTATAATAATATTCCACTGTTTTACTGTATTTTTGATCAAATAAATTCGGCTTTGGTGAGCAGAAGAGACTCTTGCAACAAAAATCCTGGTGATGTGATGATGGTGATGTGAGGAGGATGATGATGTTATGATGTCATGTGATGATGATGATCTGTGTGTGTGTGTGTGCGCAGGTGAAGCAGATCGAGAAGAGAGACTCGGTCCTCACCTCTAAACAGCAGATCGACAGGTTACTGCGACCCGGAGCTTCATACTTCAATCTCAACCCGTTTGAGGCGAGTCATGTGACGCTCCTCCTCATCATCATCATGATGAGTCTCAGTCACAGAGGAGGATCATGGGATTGATTGAGTGTTTATCTGTGCAGGTGCTTCAAGTCGACCCCGAGGCCACAGACGAGGAACTGAAGAAACGCTTCCGACAGGTACACACACACACACACACACACTCTGACTCTCTCTCTCTCTCTCTCTCTCTCACACACACACACACACACACACATACTCTAATTGTGTGTGTGTGTGTGTGTGTGTCCTCAGTTGTCCATCCTGGTGCACCCGGATAAGAACCAGGATGATGTGGATCGAGCTCAGCTGGCGTTTGAAGGTAAACCACAGACATGATGATCTGATGATGCCTGGAGTCTCCGTGTGTTTGATGAGCTGTGTGTGTGTGTGTGTGTGTGTGTGTGTGTGTGCAGCGGTGGATAAGGCCTATAAGATGCTGCTGGAACCCGATCATAAGAAGAAAGCGCTAGACGTGGTCCACGCGGGGAAGGAGTACGTGGAGCACATGGTGAGAAACACTCGAGATCTTAGTCAGTGTGTGTTAGTCACGCTTCAACACTCCCTGTGTGTGTGTGTGTGTGTCTCAGATGAGCCAGAAGAAGAAGCAGCTGAAGAAGGACGGCAAGCCCACTGATGTGGAGGAAGACGACCCGGAAATGGTACGAACACACTGTTCCTGTGAGTGACCTTTAGTTCTGTAGTCCAGCTGTGTGTGCAGTCTGAGGTCATCTGAAGCATCTGTGACAAACCCACACATCAGCGGGACTGTTAGTGGATTAAAGCTCCCTGGCGTGGGGTTATTTCATGATCTGATCATGTTGCCCTGATAATGTTAGTATGTTCTTTAGATCATAAATAATTATAATTTAGAAATAAAAGGCATTTTCTCTAGCCTGATTTCAGCCTCTGCTTTGAATGCTCTGTTAGAAGGGGCGTGTCTGTGTAACCGGCCTCTGCTGTGATTGGCTGACATGCTGGCATATGAAATAGCTATGTATTACATGTGAAACACTCTCGAATAATTTTACCACAGATATTATACATTTGTACGATTACAGCTATCGAGATTACTGAATCGTGAGCAGTTTTTGAAGTATTTAAATTCCCATCATATAAAGTGTTTCTGTGATGAGCCGAGGAGGACAGTGTGTCGATCGCGAGGATGAGGAGATGATCATCGTACCGCAGTTTCTGCTCTCTCTAATGCCGTCACACACGATCATGTCCACTCAGTAAGAGCTCCGGTGTGTAACGTCGATTTCATAAGCAGTCGTCCAGATAAACTCACGCTGTGTGGAAGATTGTTCTTTCTGTATAATTTGTTCACAATTTAAATACGATTATTTCCATCCTACTAAAGTTGATATTTTAGTCACTGGCTCGACTCACTGACGCATAAACAGAATCGAACGATTTGGAGAGAAAGATTACACGTCAGAAACTTTGCTTGGGTCGCTCGATCGATTTATTTTCAGACGTTCATCGAGGTGAGGAAACAGTCGTCGGTGAAGTGTTTGGATCATACAGAACTTTGGGAGTTGAGTCGGCGCATTTCCAGACAAAATAAAATGAACCCGCCTATTGTTTCTTCAGAGACTCGGATGAAGGACCTAAAACATACTTTTGTGTTCATGTGTTCATCCGAAGAGTGATCACTGCCAGGCTTCGCTCGTTTGTAGGACATGATATCTCTCGAGGGACAACTCAGATGGCGCCGGCGTGTTCGTACTTCCTGATGCTAGCTCGATTTCTCATGGGGAAAAGTTTCCTCAGGACTCCAGCGGTGTTGCTAATCAGGCCATTAGAGCTCGTTAGACTGAGGTGTGGGTTAATGTGTGTGTGTGTGTGTTGATGATTTACTCTGCTCACACTGAGTTTGTGTTTCTGTAGTTCAGACAGGCCGTCTATAAACAGACCATGAAGCTCTTCGCTGAGCTGGAGATCAAGAGGAAGGAGAGAGAAGCTAAAGACATGCATGAACGGTAAAACACACACACACACACACACATGCTGACTCACACACGCATACACACTCTCTCTCTCTCACTCACACTATTGGGTGTCTATTAAGCCTTGTTCACACTACAGGACTTGCTCTCAGTGAAATCAGGAGTGTTCAAGTTGTTGAGCTGTTCACACACACACAACACAACGAGATTGATCCACAACAGGAGGTCACGCACTACACGAGTTGGTAACGCACTACACAGAGATACAGCCACGATCGGATGACAAGAGCAAAGCATTTGTGACTCAGTGAGAGCTGTTTCAGTGCTATAGTACGGTCTAAATCCTGAAAATAACGAGTGGACAACAACTCTGTCACCCAACCGTTCTATCTCGTCTACAAACCACGTTTGGTCACGGAAAAACACGCAATAAAACGAACCAGAGATGACGCGAAACAGCACGTGCTCCAATACCCAGCGAAGAAGAGAAGAACACAACACGCGAATATGGACATCAGACCGATCTAGGGCTGCACACTGTTTGAGCGGCGATCTGTTCTGAGGAAAAAAATTTAAAAAAGAATACTATATACAAAAGAATGTTCATACTAACAGATCGGCTAGCGTTCATCGTCCGCCAAACCCCCGCGATAACACCCTGACCTGTCGGCGAGCTAACGATTAACGAGCTAACGATTAGCAAATCGGCTTAAAATCCTGTAGTGTGAACTTGGCTTTGAAGACTGAGGCGAGTGTTGAGCAGAGATGATGTTTGTGTGATTGCAGGAAGAGACAGCGAGAAGAAGAGATCGAGACGCAGGAGAAAGCCAAGCGAGAGCGAGAGTGGCAGAAGAACTTTGAGGTTCGACAGTTCAGTGGTTCTCCAGACGGCTGCGAGACGCTCGTGTTTCACCGCCTGCGTGTGTGTGTGTGTGTCCTCAGGAGACGCGTGACGGCCGAGTGGACAGCTGGAGGAACTTCCAGGCCAAAGGAAAGACTAAGAAAGAGAAGAAGAACCGAACGTTCCTGAAGCCGCCCAAAGTGAAGATGGAGCAGCGCGAGTGACGATCACATGACCCTCCTGTACAGACCCCGCCCAGAGGAGCTGTGCTGCATCGTCTTCATCAAGTGCATAGAGACAAACATCCACAGTTGTTCTTCTTTTATTCCTGACATCCCCGTGTTTTCTTCTACAAATAAACTTTTGTTTGTAGATATTTTGTTGTAGTTTTTATATTGTAAAGAATTAAAACATTGTTTTTGTCCGACTCGACGAGTGTTACGTCATTCAGCTCATTGATTGATTGATTGTTTGTTTGTGAAAGGAAGAATTTTTATATTAAAAGGGTGAATCTGGAGTCGGTGTTTCACAACTGAACAACAGTGTGTGTGTCTGTGTGTCGTCAGTGCTGTGCTTATTATCATCAGGATCAACCCTATCTGGAAAATAATTCCACACACTCAAACACACACTATAATGACAAACCACACTCACACCATAATGACGATCTCCATTAGTTGTGATGTTAGCGGTGTAGTAGAAGAGCGCAGGAGATCATCAGACACGCGACGCCCGCGACAGAAGCGTCTGAAACGCGTCGGGTCCTGCAGGTTTGGCCTCCACCTCACACGAGGAACACTCCGGGTCCTTGTCGCACTTTATCGCGTATGCCACCGATGCTGGAGTTCTCTACACCGGTAAAGCGGCCTGTGTGTGATAAACGAAAACTTACTGATCTCAATCCAGCTATCAGGAAAAACCGTGAGTTTACATTTTTCCAAACTCTAAACAAGGCAAAAATGTTATGGGATCCACGTACCAAACCAAGGGGACTAACGTTACTAGGCGGACATTAATATCCGTAGTATAGTCTCAAAGAGCGACCAATGGAACATCTACTAGATAATTACAATACTCTCCAGAGGCTGTTAATGTTTCTGGATATAGATAAAGGACGAGGGGGAGGCGTGTTAATCTATGTGAAAGACACAATCAAATGTAATCTGATTGAATCGTCGCCTGTATTAGATATTGAATGCCTGGGACTAAATGTTTGGCTATCCCCTGAAATGTCTTTATTTTAATTTGCTTATCGTCCTCCTTCATCTACCATTGCTTTTTATGATAATTTACAAAAAACTGTTAAAACAATGTCCAGAAAGATAGGAGCTAATTCTAATGGGGGATTTTAATATAAACTGGGAAAATTAACCTGAACCTGGACAGGAAAAAACTTAAAGTCATAACAGACAAATTTAATCTCACTCAGTTAGTTCTTGGTCCCACTCGCATCACTCGCTCCTCTCAGACGCAAATTGACTTAATGTTTACAAACAGACCGGAAAGGACAAACCGGTTTTTAGGATTGAGGAAATTAGTGAACTTGAGGCAGAGAATACAATAATTCATTAAGGAACTCAAAAGCTAAAGATGCCTTTGGTCTTGATTCTTAAAACTCATAAACAGTCTTTAATTAAACCTCTTACACACTTAATCAATGTTTCAATTAAACAAGGTATTTTCCCTAGTTCCTGGAAAACAGCCGTGGTGACCCCGATTTTCAAAGCCGGTGACAAAACGCTGGTGGAGAACTAGAGGCCTATTAGTATATTACCGTAATATCCAAGGTGGCAGAGAAATGGGTGGCGAAACAGCTGACTACATCTCAATAAAGGTCTTTCACCACTGCACCCAATGCAGTCTGGCTTTCGATGTAATCACTCTACAGAAACAGCCGACTGCTTCCTTATCGAGAATATTAAAATTAACCTAGACAAAGGAGGCGTGGTCGGTGCAATATTTTTAGACTTAAAAAAAGCTTTCGACACCGTCAATCATGACGTTCTTTTGTCAAAATGAGCATATTTTAATTTTTGTGAGAATGCAATCAAATGGATGAAATCATACTTAACTGACAGAAAACAAAGCACACACATTAACAATACTCAATCCACATATTCAAACTGTAAAATAGGTGTCCCTCAAGGATCTATACTGGGCCCTCTTCTGTTCAGTCTTTAGGGTTAGGGTTATCAAACAGATCTCATTCCCCATTAACTACCATAATAGGAAAAAATACATACTATGGTAGTCAATGGGGAATGAGATCTGTTTGATTAAAACATTCTTCAAAAATATCTTCCTTTGTGTTCAGCAGAACAAATAAACACAGAGGTTTGGAACAACATGATGTTGAGCAAATACTGACAGAATTTTCATTTTTAGGTGAACTAACCGTGGACTTGCTCCACCACCACTGTGCCAGTTCATAAAACAGAAAGATAAGGCCAATAGAGCAACCACTAGAGGGGACTGCATAGTTCAATATAGACCAAGCAGGATTGGAAATGCAGCCTTCTCTATCAGAGACACACTTTTCTGGAATAGTTTGCCCATTGAGTTAAGGGAGTGTAATAGTCTCTCCTCTTTTGAAAACAACTTAAGTCTTGGATTGGGGAGTCTTACACTTACAATACTTAGGTTCATAATATATATGTATGTGTATGTATATGTTTTATGAATATATGGCCTATGTATGGATTGAACCATTGGGAGTTTCCCTTTAGGTAGGACACAATATGCAACAGGTCTCTCCATGTCTGGGGCCACAGGGCTAGATGTTTTAGACTAAGGGAACCCAGGAGAAGAAGTGATGAGTAGAGGCATGTGCACAGCAGGGCGTTTGAGCTCTGAAGCCAAGAGAAGAGTTCCCGAAGAGTGTTTTAGAGTCTGACAGAGAGCTGGAGAAGTGGTGGATGATATGTTTGCTGTGCTGTTTGATGCAGAGCTGGTCTGATGAGTTGGATCATCAGGTGTAGGTGAAGCTACACAGGCGAACAGGTCCTGTGGGGTTGGTACGCTCCCATTGAACATCTTCTTCCGGGCTTCTTCCACCTCTTCAGGCGTCCAGGTGATGCCCTGCTTCAGGCGCTGGGTGGAGAACCACACCTTGATCTGCTCCTCCGGGAGCCTGGAGACTGCAGTGAGCCAGGAGAACTCCGAGTGCGTCGGGTACGGGAATCTGCTGAAACATGTGATCAGGGTGGGATTGCTGTCCAGGATTGGGTTGTACTTGCTGGTGTGAAGAGGGACTGCGATTGTGGGAGAGTTGCTGAGAGTGGGAGGTCGCTGTAGAAGAGGAGTCACGTGACACACGGGCTCCGGGATAACGACCGTACCATTTACGCTCACAGCCCTGATCTCATCCTTCAACACTGGACCATATAGATCATTCTCCAAAATGCTGTATTTTGGTGTTTTTCCAAGGTCTCCACCTGCTTCCAGAAGCGAACCATCATTCTCGCAATCAACAGCTTGCCTGAACTTGGAACAGCTCTTGTTTGGGTGTTGAGCTTTATTATGACATGAGAGGGATGGTCCTTCAGACCGATGGAAGTCCTCATGATCTCTGTAGTTGCGGAGGTGACGGGTGTAGAAGGAACCCTTCTCAGATGAAGAAACCCCTCTGGTCTTCTCCTCTTCCTCGTCATTCAATGCCATCCGGCTTTCGTCTGTTGGAGGCGGAACAGGATCACAACTGTCCAGCACAGTCTCCACTGAAACATCCATCTCTACAGAGTCTTCGGGAGTAAAGCCGGTTCTGTTGAGCACACAGGGGTCCCTTTGGCTTGACGTGATGAGTATGGTGATGGTGGGCAGGCGATGGTCTGGTGAGGGACTTTAATTGGGGACTGAGGGATCAGAGTGAAATCCCAGCATTGGGGCAGGTGAGCTTCATCTGCTGAACTGGGTGTCATGGAGGCTCACCTGGACAAAGAGAACAGATATAGAAGGACTTTATTAGAAGGTCACTGACACCACTCAGGTCCTGTCACTGGAAGAGCCAAGCACTAGAAATGTCAAAGGCATGGGCTTAATTAATCCCCACAGAACACACATTCTGATGAAATGTTTACCCTGAAATCACAGACGACAGATCTACTGACGACACGCACATTAAAGAACACCGATGGACTCAGATCATCTCCATAATGACCAACACAATCTACCAGCTAGCGTCTGGTTTAAGACGTGCTTTCTTTGGGCAGCAAACAACCGGTACATTGATGAGCTCAAACCTTAGTAAATCACCTTGCGCGATTCCTTTAAATACTCTCCTCCCATGAATACTGAAAGGGAAACTCCTACAAATGCATATGCAATAAGATCAGCCACAAATATAACCATGACCACACCTGTCCAGCGCTAGTTTCTCACTGTGTGTCTTGAGTAAATCCTGACACGCCAAAAGAGGGCTTGTGCTGGCGCACACTGCAAGTAAATCTGGCCCAAGCGTCTTTAAGTAAAAGTTTTTGTGCAAATGTTCTCTCCATTATCTGAAATAAGAGTTCACTATAAAAACATACTGTAACTTTTCAGAACAGAAAACTCCCTCCCTGGTGAAAAAAGGCTTATTGAAACTAAACAGCAAACATTTCTTATTAAACTTACTGATACTGCAAAACGCCTTACATCCAGAGCCGCTAAAAACAACCTGTTTAAATCTAAGGCGCAGAAAGAAGGCTATCAAAAACTTGGTGCTATATACTGCTATAATGTGGCTAGACTAAAATCAAATAATAAAAACCTCTGGCAAACAAAGCAGATGCACACTTCTCAACAGAGAGAAAGAGGAGTTTGCAGAGGAGGTTCATGAGTTCAAGCAATCCAGAATCAAAGCCAACAACTCGGCAAAGACTCGAGACTTACCGACAGCTTTATCTAGAGCCACAGACCAAGAGGAGAAGGAGAAGAGAAAGGGTCTAGTTTGCGGGGGAATGTGAAACGGGTTTGTGTTCATTTGTAACCAATCCCAGACGTTTGAGATCTCAAGGCCGGAGGGTCAGTGAGGCGATTCTGGCACGATTCGACTGAGAATCCAAACACACATGAATACATTCAGAAACACACACACAGATCACATTGCACTCACACATTTTCATTTCCCCAATATACATACAATTTCATACTGTATAAATATTTAAAATATTTAAGACGTTAATCACATTAGTGTCCTTTTTCATTCAACGGCATAAGCATTATTTTCTACAACATTAATTTGACCATAAATACTTGTTTTAAAAGTTCTTAAGTATTTTGTGATGACTTTTTTTATATATACATTTATTGCATTTTGTTTGTTCATATATTGTGTATAGGTCCTCGACGAGAAAGACCAATTCTCAAAATGAACGGACTGCATAGCTGATGTAAAAATTTGGATGGCTAGTAATTTAGAGACTAAACTCTGGAAAAACAGAGATTATAATTATCGGACAAAAACTTCCACACGTAACAGCCCAGAATACTGTCTGACACTCGATGCTGCTCTGTCAAGTCTCCGTCGTCGGTTAGGAACCTGTGTGTGTGTGTGTGTGTGCTCTAGCAATCTCTCATTTGAAAGTCATGTGTCTAGTATCTGTAGAACCGCATTTTTCTAAAACCGCATTTGATCTTAATTACTCCATATGCTCCATGGAACAGTTAGTTGATGTGTTCATGCCATCAAGACTAGATGACTGTAATGCTGTACTGGGTGGTTGTCCTGCACGCTTAATAAACAAACTCCAGCTCGTCCAAAACGCAGCCGCTCCAGATCTTACCAGAACCAGGAAGATTGACTATATTAGCCCGGTTCTGCCAACCCTGCATTGGCTGCCTATTTTAAAATATTGCTGATTACTTACAAAGCACTGAATGGTTTATCTCCAGTACTTGAGCGAGCTCTTAACGCATTATAGTCCTTCACGTCTATTGCGATCTCCAAACTCCGGCCAGTTGATAATACCGAGAATATCGAAATCGACTGCAGGCGGGAGATCCTTTTCCTATTCAGCACCAAAACTCTGGAACAATCTTCCTAACATTGTCCGGGAAGCAGACACACCTCTTTAAACTAGCATATACAGAGAACATTATATATTTAATATGTCACTGCATGAGCAGATTGATTGTGTTCAGCAGAACTGGAAGGAAGCAGATGATGGTCAAATGAAGGAGAATGTGTGTGTGTGAGAGAGAGTGTGTGAGTGTGTGTATCCGAGCAGCTCTTCCACGGACGCAGGAAGCGCATCTTTGGGTAAAGCCCTCGACCCGCGTGTGTGATATTAATGGCGGCGTGTGTGGAGGAATCACGCTGCTCTCTCTCCTGATTACAAATGTAAAAACATTAAGCCAAACTTAATTTGCATGTTGTTGTTATGGCAACAGTGAGAGTGTGGCAGCCCAGCAACGCTGTGTGTTCATTAATTACAGCAGCCTGACAGCGAGCCACACACACACACACACACACACACACAGGTGTGCAAAGGAGAGTAATGACACATTCAGCATCACCACCGCGCTGGATCAATATTAAACTTGCACGAGACTGTCGCAGTCTCAACTAACCGCACTGTTTAAACACTCTTGACGGTCCTTATTTTGTCTTGTCAGCCCTCATAGAAATAAATAAATAATTAAAAGTAAGGGATGTAGCGGTTGTTATAGCGAATACAATCCCGCGAACTCTAACGCGAAGCGGAGGGGTCATGACTCAGCCTGCCCTGAAGGGTTGTATTCGCTGAAACAACGGTTTAATAGTTCATTTAATAGTTTAACAAACCTTAAATAAATGGCAAAACTGAAATTATACATTTGAAAGCATATTGCCGTTATCACTCTGACTCCGCTAACGTTCGACAGTTTTTATATTTGAACAAGATAGCAAAGCTGCGTACAGGATTGTGGGTGATTTGAGAGTGCGAAGGCTACACATATGCATCCTTTCCTGTGTATGCGATATTTTCTGAATGAAGGACTCAGTTCTTAGAAATTCTGAGGATCCTCGACATTGGAACAGTCCTTCGACAGACATCGATGACGGACGTTGTGAGGAACAAGTGTCCAGGTGACAGTCGCCAGTGTCAGCCAATAGGAGTACAGCCTTAAGCCCCTCCCCTTCCACACATCCAATCAGATTCACTCCAGCTCAGGAATTCTTGCGCTGCCAAACTCAATATTGGCCAGCGTTCAAAAGCTTGAAGAATAAAGAGATATGGCCTAAAACACTTTTATCTTCAAATTCATTTAAATAAAAGAAATATATGTTTTACAAAAATAATCTTTTTTATGGCAACACCTTCATTATCCCCTTCATCATCACCATCCCCACCTTCATCATCATCATCCCCTTCATCTTCCTCCCCCTTCATCATCATCGTCCCCTTCATCTTCCTCACCTTCATCCTCATCATCCCCTTCATCTTCCTCACCCCTTCATCCTCATCCTCATCCCAGTCCGTCTCACCTGTGAGTCTGAGGCGAGAGACGAGGTTCAGGGTAAAGTCTCTCCTCTATTGTGTCGTATATGGAGTGAAACGCTTCAAGAACACGTGGGCGGGGCTTGATTGTGTTTGTGGGGAGTTGATTGGCTGGTTGTGGTTTGCTATTGGCTGATCTCATGTGAGTGACAGGTTATAGCCTCGCCCACATCATCAGAGAAGAGACGCTGAAGAGGAACTGATTCTGATTCAACATTATTAACACAATACTGATGTGCACCCATAAATCATAATAAACACTGTAATATTCCATAACAAAACAAGAATTGTCCGTTTTTGTTTAATGGGGACTTAAAAACATGTTCGGTTTGGGAATAATTCAATTCAAGCCAATAATTATAATACATTTTCTTTTTTCTTAATATTATTCTCATTACTGTGATATAAAACAATGTTCAAATGTCAGTTATATTGTATTTGTATGTCATGTTTCTATATGTTGTAACTGACATTATGATTCTCATAAACAGGCTCAATATTCTTCAAATTAGATATTATTAACTCTCAACACACAATATTGTTTCAATCTTACAATCGTGAAGAATCGTGAGTGTGAAGTGAAACAGCTGTTGCCTTGGAAACCCGTGACGTGAGAGACACACTGACAGAGATTTACGCGGGAAATCAGCGATTTTATAGAGTAACTTCATAATCATAACATGATGATGATGATGATGATGATGATGATGACGATGATGCTCGTCCAGAACTTCACCCGTCAGTCACACTAACTCAACCTCCTCAAACTTCAGCAGCAGATTAAATCAACATCGATCATGAATCTGAATCATTTCTGTCATTAAACTCACTCCACACGACCGAGCGAGAGGAAACAGCAAACGACTCGATAGCCAGAAACTTCCGTCAGGCACGGTAACGGGGATCGGTAACGGGAACCGAGGAGAGGAGCCTCACCTTCTGAAACGCGTCGCGGTGTCCGGGGGAATCTACGGGAGCCGACACATGGACCGTCCGGCGCGCGAGGGTTTCATTCAGAGTTTACACACCAATGAACTACAAGTACTCAATACACACACACACACACACACACACACATCAGTCACGTGATGCTGGACTGTATTAATATTCACTATCCAGACACAACATCAGCTGGAATCCTTTAATCCAGCGGCATTAAAACGCGACCTTCATATCCTCCTCTCACACTCGGGTAAACATAAACATTTATGAATATATATATATATATATATATATATATATATATATATATATATATATATATATATATATATATATATAAAATAATCATAAAAAATAATCATAAAAAACTATCATATAAATAAAGCTGAATCTGTTATGATGTTTTACCAAAACCTTTTCCCTCATCCAAACCGAAATGTTAGCCTAAATCTGACTGAATCATCCCCAAACTCCTGCTGACACACACACACACACACACACACACACACACACACACACACACACACACACACACACACACACACACACACACACACACACACACACACAGTCACACAGTCTCTCTCACACACAGACTCTCTCTCTCTCACTCACACACACGAACAGTCTCACTCTCTCACATACACAAAGAAGACACTCAAACACAGTCGCTCTCTCTCTCTCTCTCTCTCTCTCTCTCTCTCTCTCTCTCTCGCACACACACACACACACACACACACACACAGACACACACACACACACACACACACACACACTCCCCCCTCTCTCTCTCTCACTCACTCACTCACTCGTACAGATATATGAATGAATATATCTCTCACACCAAAGGCATGTGTCTGATCCTTCATTCATCGATCACGTGACTCCGGGAAACCAATTACACACCCCGATACGGGGCTTCAATAGAAATTGCGTTGCATTTGCGATACGCACATCGAAGCTTCAGTGTCGTAGCATCACTACAGTAGAGGACTGTCTGGTGGCCGTGAGCTCTGCATTCGGCGGCGTCAACATCAGGGCTATCTCGCATGAAGAAGGACATAGTCATTTTTTCAAATGGTTAATGATTAATACAGAGCGGCTTCACAATAAACTAAATGTTTGTGCCCGTTTTGCCTCTGACGAGCCCATCGAAAAAGATTGTTCTGTCAAACGTACATTTGTCAAAATGAGAGAGGGAAATAGCGATATGGTAATTAGTAAGTCCCATTAAGATGGTCACGCTTGGATGCAAATCCCAAACTTAAGCACGTGATGTGTTTTCGGCGCCAGGATTTCATGATTTCTCAGAGCGATCCTTTGAACTTGTCAGCGAAACTAACTATAGAAGGGCATACCCCTTGATAGTTATAAGAAAAAAGTGACTTATAAAAATAGTGTAATCCTATAGGATTTCTTTATACTTCCCACTAGGCTATTTTTATACTTCACTAAAGACTTATTTCTTCTCTTTGGCGTTTGGTCAAATGTAATTTTATGATGCGCTTTATGATGGGCTTATGTTGTGTTTGTTTTGGGTGGTGTATTTATGTATTTTATATTTTTTTAACTGAATAGCCTGTACAGCACTTTGGTCAGCAGTGGCTGTTTTAAACGTGCTTTATAAATAAAAGTGCCTTTGCCTTTAAGTCCATTCAATGCTTCAGTTGTGGCGAATTCGGACGTTCGACAGACTTGCCCGAATCGTAAGTTTTGGCTGATAATGGCGCGGGGTTCTGACGTTGCGGTTAGCTTCTTCCACAAGTCGTCGCATAAACAGCGCCGGCACCGAGTGGCTCACTCGAGGAGAATGGGGAAAGATTCCAGCAATAGTGCCGTGGTGGAGATCGCTTAGGTTGCTCAGGTAAGTGATGTCATAGCCGTCACACAGCCAGAGTTGAGTTCGGATCATGCTCGTGCAAAAAGATGCGCATGAGGCCGAATCACTCGAGAATGAACAACAACAACCCGAAGCAAGTGATGTTATAAGTACTGATGACTCGATTGATCAGAGTCAGGGAAATAATGTTTCGCAAGAAGTGGACTTCAAGAAGGATGACGAGGAACTATACGATGGGAATGACATGATGGACATGGTGAATATTTCGGAAGGTAAGATGAAACTTTACTCATTCATTACAGCAGATAAATACTTTCCTTGACAATACAAATTGTCATGCGGTCATAAGTGAGTGACAGTTGTTTGTTTTGTAAAGTACATGCAGACTGTTTTACTTATGTTCAAGTGTAAGCATGAATTAATTAGCCACATGGGTACATTACTCATGGTGTGCAGCTTGTTGTTTATTTTTAGCATAGAGGACTGTGTCATCTGCATGCATTTGTAAATGTACAGATGGACAAACAGTGGGCAGGTCGTTTATATAAAGACTGAACAGAAGAGGGCCCAGTATAGATCCTTGAGGGACACCTATTTTACAGTTTGAATATGTGGATTGAGTATTGTTAATGCGTGTGCTTTGTTTTCTGTCAGTTACGTATGATTTCATCCATTTGATTGCATTCTCACAAAAATTAAAATATGCTCATTTTGACAAAAGAACGTCATGATTGACGGTGTCGAAAGCTTTTTAAGTCTAAAAATATTGCACCGACCACGCCTCCTTTGTCTAGGTTAATTTTAATATTCTCGATAAGGAAGCAGTCGGCTGTTTCTGTAGAGTGATTACTTCGAAAGCCAGACTGCTTTGGGTGCAGTGGTGAAAGACCTTTATTGAGATGTATAGTCAGCTGTTTCGCCACCCATTTCTCTGCCACCTTGGATATTACGGTAATATACTAATAGGCCTCTAGTTCTCCACCAGCGTTTTGCCACCGGCTTTGAAAATGGGGGTCACCACGGCTGTTTTCCAGGAACTTGGGAAAATGCCTTGTTTAATTGATTAAGTGTGTAAGAAGTTTAATTAAAGACTGTTTATGAGTTTTAAGAAATACGGAATCAAGACCAAAGGCATCTTTAGCTTTTGAGTTCCTTAATGAATATATTGTATTCTCTGCCTCAAGTTCACTAATTTCCTCAATCCTAAACTCTGGTTTGTCATACAAACCATTGTCAAACAGATAGCAGCTGTTTTCTATATCTTCAACAGCAAGAATATCAGTCCAGTCGATATCGTTTAAGACAGATCTGAATTTCTCCATATCTTTTTTCGGAATACTCAGATGATGTTGTTTTTTTTACTGTGGTTGTGTCTTTAAAACGTTTTTTAGTGAGTTTCCTTCCCAGTAGTGTTATATTATGGTCAGATAATCCTGTTAATAAATTGTATGTTTTTGTTATCCTTTCCGGTCTGTTTGTAAACATTAAGTCAATTTGCGTCTGAGAGGAGCGAGTGATGCGAGTGGGACCAAGAACTAACTGAGTGAGATTAAATTTGTCTGTTATGACTTTAAGTTTTTTCCGGTCCAGGTTCAGGTTATTTTCCCAGTTTATATTAAAATCCCCCATTAGAATTAGCTCCTATCTTTCTGGACATTGTTTTAACAGTTTTTAAATTATCATAAAAAGCAATGGTAGATGAAGGAGGACGATAAACGACATTTCAGGGGATAGCCAAACATTTAGTCCCAGGCATTCAATATCTAATACAGGCGACGATTCAATCAGATTACATTTGATTGTGTCTTTCACATAGATTAACACGCCTCCCCCTCGTCCTTTATCTCTGTCTTTTCTGAAAACATTATATCCAGAAACATTAACAGCTGCCTCTGGAGAGTATTTACTCAAGCAGGTTTCTGAGACGCCAAGAAAATCCAAGTTGTAATTATCTAGTAGATCTTCCATTGGTCGCTCTTCGAGACCATACTACGGATATTAATGTCCGCCTAGTAGTCCCCTTGGTTTGGTACGTGGATAACTCTATGTAGGTTTGGTTTATTTGACCAAGAGAAAGCCTTTGATCGAGTTGATCATGGCTTTCCTTTTAAATGTCTCAATGCCTTTGGTTTTGTTTCATCATTTATTTCTTATGTTGAGCTCCTGTAAACAGATGTATATAGTATATTAAAAGTAAATGGCACCCTTTTAAGACCATTTTTAACTGGCAGAGGTAAACGACAAGGTATTTTATGTGCTATTGTTATTAAACCACTCTTGAGACATCAGTTAAGTGGGATTTCTATACTGTGTCCTTATAGTACAGATTTGGTAACGTCTAGATTAAGTGCATATGCTCCATATGTCAACACCAGCCCAGGCCAACACCATCTTTTAACCAGACCCTCGTCCATTTAATGACCCACAACTGGCCCTGAAAGGAGACAGAATAGGTTTTTTTCTTGGTACCAATTCTCAGCCTTAATTAAACCAAAACTTGCGCACGCAACCAGGTGGTAGAAAAAAGACATGTTTCATGGTTTCGTGTAGCGGCGAGTAGCATAGTGGTGTCTGTAACGCAAACTGGTCTCATATTTGATGTTTGTCTCAAGTTTTATAATCATTGATTCTGTTATTGTGCTTTGAAAAGATCTGCTATTTTCTTCTGAAAACAAACGGCTGCATTATTTTCCTGTTCTCTCTGTAAAGCTGCTTTGAAACACTCTGTATTGTAAAAAGCGCAATATAAATAAATGAGACTTGATTTAAAGATGACTGAACAGTCAATAAACACACTGTTTTGTTCTGATTCTGCAGTGTTATTTTATTAGTCACTATGTTCGCTTTCACAATGATCATCGATGACATTCAGCATGGGTGATGTTTGGCTTCTAGTGTGCTTGAGGTCACGTGTGAATGATGCTCGACCTCAGCGATGGTCCGATGATGTTGCGATCTAGACCTTGATCTGAAGTTTACCCTGGCAGACTGATCTCATGAAATGGCGTATGTATGACACGCCAATTCGTTTTTGCATTTTTGAAGTGCTATCAACACGCATATTCGTTTTTCAGAGTGTTTATGAACGCCGTTGACGTTACATTACTGTATAAATATATGACCTATCCCAAGCCCGTCCCTAAACCTACCCGTCACTGGGGTTAATGGCAGTTATGAGTCTTTCCCTACCATCCTAGGAAAAAAAATATCGCTCCCCAGATGTACATTTTGCTTTGTTTTGCTCGGACATTTGACGGCGTGTACATGCATGCGGACAGCTTGAATTGAAAGCGGCGTGTACGTTGACGCAAAAGTCATGATGTCACGTTGACCCTGGAAATCCTCTGAAACTTTGTCTGCGTTTGGATGCACACAGCAGCTCAGCCCACACACGCCGTTAGCAGTGTAGACATGTGCTCGGGTTAGCAAGCCAGAAACACTTGCTTTCTCTTCATCCATCATGATGGTGCCATTTACATGCGGTCTCAGAGCTCAAACGCCCAGAATAAACTGTGCATGTGCACATGTGTTGTAGGAGTAAAGACTGTGGGACATGAGAAATATCAATGTCTCTGAAAAGCATAAAATGTATACGTGTTGTGAAATGACTTCAGGTTGCTCTGAACTCTCTGTATGGGACTGGGTTTATTGATCTGAGAGGGTGTGTTGTGTCTCGGGTCCCTCGAGGGCCGGTTCTGATGGAGCGTCGGGGCCGCTGGTGCTCCATTCCTCCCGCAGACGCTTGAACTCCTGACACACACACACACACACAAGTTAACACAGAGACTCAGAAACATGCCAGTCTGTGTGATGAGGAGGAGGATCTCAGACCTTCAGGACGCTGTAGTTTGAGGTTCTGGCCACGTAACTCCTCCAGGCTTCTGCCGCGACCTCTCTCTGCTTATGAGTGAAGCCGATCTGGAAAAGAGTTTCTCAGGTACTCATCAAATCCACACAACTGCTTCGCCAGACGAGGAACTGCATGTGATGCTCAGTTTTACCTCTTCATACAGCAGCTTCTCCTCCTGCAGCTCCTCCTGCTGCTGACGGCCCAGAATGCTTTGCTGCAGAGAGCGCACGCTCTTCACCGTGTCATCGCTGACCTGTCGAAGGCTCTTCAGGGCTTCTTCATCAGACGAGACGGGCGTCGCTCCCTCGGCCAACAGCTCAGTCCAGACCTCGTGTAAAACCTCACCCACCTGTGAAGCAGGAGCGTTGGCAGTGATGTCACTCATTAATGCTGACAAGGCTGACAGGTCATCAAGACTTACCTTGAAGTCCAGGTATCTGCGGATGATGCTGAGTGTGACGAGGTCTTCGGCGCTCAAACCCGACGGCTGCTCAAATCCTGCAGATCAACGTTGATAAAACCAGACTATAATTTCAAGCCGTAACTAACATTACAGTCAAACTACTGTGTTTAATCAACAAAAACTGCACTGAAGATCATCTTTTCAAAGCTATGACTACATTCAGCAATTTACACAACTTAAACTGGACTGTAAAATGAGGAGAGTTTAGGAGTGTGTTTGATTAATATCTGTTTGCTCAGGTGTTAATGTGTAAAACACTGTGTCCTTAAAAGCATTCTGACATGGTATGTAGTTGCTGATATTAAAAGTTAATTTTTACTTGAGAATGTAAGCTGTTTTCGCTACTGTCACACTACTGAAAATAAAACAATCCTCCCTCATACCCAGTTTCCAGAAGATGCAGTAGATGTTCGCACGCAGGTTCTCCCACACATCCCTGACAGCAGGACTGACGTCACGTGAAGATGATGTTAATGACGGTTCATCCTTCTGCCGAGAAACAACCGGCCGCTTCACGTCTGAGAGAGAGAGAGAGAGAGACTGAAAAGAGCAGTGTGCCGAGCAGGACAAGGCCGGTGCTGTGATTGCTGATGAGCTTCACCTGCGCGACGCACCAGTCTCATCTCTCACGGAGGAGCGGAAGCATAAAAGAAGGAGCGGCAATAGAGAAGGACGAGAGAGGCCAGGCCTCGACTAATTTATTTACATTTGTGTTTTATTATGTGTGGCGGCAGTCACACTGAACACACTGGATCGGTGTAAGCGAAATCACTGGATCGGTGTAAGTGAAATCACTGGATAGGCTAGATGTAAACGAACACACTGGATCGGTGTAAATGAACACACTGACTGACTGATGTGTCCGCACCTGCAATCACCCCATGCTGGTCTCGTGTTATGCCCATCTCCTCCTCCTCGCTCCTCCAGATCTGCAACAGGAGCTGCGGCGCAGTGACATCTCTCTCGCCACGCCAGCACTGCACACGCGTGACGGCCCGTGGACTCTCACACAGCTCCAGCAGAGTCCCGATGAGCGGAATCAGCATGTGTCTGGGGCTCCGCTGCACATCAAATATGGTCAAACACAAACCAGTCAAACACACGCGCCAGTCGAACAAGAACACACGCCTCGTTCACACACTCATGCTGAATGTTTGCACCTGCAGCCGCTGAAGGAGCAGATCAACTCCACCTCCCCCCACAAACACGTCCTCTGTCCCGAAACAGCCCACAACACATGACCTGCACAAAAGAGAAGAAATCATATTTGTCATGAAGTAAATGCGAGGATATTTTCCCTGCATTAACAGTGCATCCGGAAAGTTTTCACGTCTGTGGAAAATCGAGCTGGTTCTTAGATAATAGGTGAATAGAACCAGCACCGAAATGGCATAAGCACCAGCCCAGAACCAGCACCTGGTTATCATTGGTGGAAAAGAGATATCTTTTACTGCAAGACCCCAGATGTCAACCAAAAAACGGCAGGCCCAACAACCACCAAAGCCTGCGGGCCCAGCTCACCCTCGCCCTCCACCTGTGAGCCAAAATCAACTGATACCAGCGGTCAGTGATATGTGTCGGGTCCCCGCTATGATAAAAGTAACAAAAGAAGCGGGAACCCAGTGTGCCTGAATATTTCTCTATTGCTGTTCAATTACATGATAGAAAATCAAAAGGCCTTCAAAAGCTTTTATGAGTGTCTGCAGAGTGGCTAAGAGAGGCGGAGGCTTAAAAAGATGCTCTTTTAAAAGATGTCTATGAATGTAAGCAAATATCATTTGGGAATTACCCGTCTTTCAAATATCTAGGTATAGTGTTAAAAGGTGCTCCACATATTTTACTGATCATAATTTACAGGCCTCTAAAATACTCTCCAGCCCCACAACCACCAAAGCCTGCGGGCCCAGCTCTGTAATAAACGATATTCGCTTAAATAGTCGACATTAAAAAATTGTCGACAAATATCGTTGTTGTCGGTCGAGTAGTCGTTTGACCTCACTTGACCTAATGTAAGGGCGTGCAATATCGCTATTTAACCGCTATGGCGCAGTGGCGCTAGAGTGTAATGCAGCCCTTTACAAATGCTATTGCGGTAAAAGAAAAAACCAGCGTGAATTATGACCGAATGCAAACGAATCCGAACTAGCAAGGTTTGGGAATTGGAAAGTTTCACAAAACTTAAAACCAACAATGCTGTCATGTGCAATACATGCAAGGCGGAACTTGCTTTTCACGGGAGCACAACATGCATGTTGGAGCACTTAAAACACCCCCGACACAAGAGGAGCCGGTGAGATTCGAGTGTTCTCCAGCTGGAGCTAACTAACCAGTGGCAATGTAAATCTCTTTATTAGATAAAGCAATACTACTAATAATAGCCATAATATTATCAATAATAATATAATTACAGTAATGTGATGATTTATTTTGCATAGAATAAAGCTTGATCAAGCTTAGGAGTCAGGGCTGTTTTTATTATTGGAACACCATTATTAGGTTTTATAGTCTTAACACTCGCCTATATTTTGTTCCATAATCATGAAGACTTAAAAAAGGAGATCTTTAGGAAGAAAAACATGGCAGTTTCTTTTTCATACTGTAAATTAAAAGGTGAAAGAGAACGTGTCTGTCAGGGTATTGTTTGTAGAATTTAAAGGAAAGTATTTAATTTAATCTATTTTGGAATAATTCTGTAACATAACAAAATGTGGAAATACTGGCGCTATGAATAATTTCCAGATGCACTGTATGTGGAAAACCTCCATCTCACATTCACAGCGAGTTTCCCACAGAGAAACAGACCACGTGTCTCTCACCAAACACAGTCGACGGTGGACAGCAGCAGTTTATTATGACCCAAACCGCTGAAGATCAGAGCAGTGTCCAAACTCAAATACTGAATCAGCATCTCCACACCGTCACTGCCGAACAACTCCTGAACACACAGGTATACTCGTTTAACCAGTGCTGGTTAAGTGTTCTTGATCGTATCATCTGTATGATGTGTCTCACCTTTCTGTGGATGTCTCCCTCGCAGAGGACAGACAGAACGAACTGGGAGTCGATCTGAATCTCCAGAGACACGGCATCCTCGGCCTCCGGTCTCCCTACGAACCAGCGCAGCACCCCTAACACACACACACACAGAGTTAGTCTTCAGTATTTCAGCAGTGAGAGCTGTGATCCGTCACACACACACTCTCTCTCTCACACACACTCACTCACCCAGAAGCTGCCCGATCGCCCCCTGATCGCACAGATCCTGCCGGAGCGCCTCAAGCTCCAGGGAAACCACGGATCTGAGCACTCGGACACAGTACCTCATCTGGGCCTTCTTCCCGCCCCGCCCACCGCTGCCATGGAAACTGTGGCCCTGCCCACTGAAGGAGTCTGACCACAGAACCATGAAGAGACCAATCAGCACAAAGTACATCTTTCCAGTATCTGTACTGAATCAGAGTATTTATAATCATCGCAACAGGAACTACACAGCACGTTCCAGCCAGATGGGGAGAGAGGCGCTGTAATGATGTCAAATATGTGAAAAATAATGTGTTCAAATATTAAAGCATATTCCAGAACATCATAAAACAAAATCAAGACTTTGTAAAAGGGCATAAAGGACCCCTAATGTGGATATAGATAGTGGATATAGAGTATAGCTTATATAGTGTGCTGGCAGTGACGGTGCGGCACCTTCTTGAAGACACCAGTCCAGCAACAGCAGCAGGAGTGTGTTCCCCTGACATGTCATGTAGTCGTCCAGCATCAGCGGAGCCAGTGAGATCAGACACGCCAACGCCTGCAGCTGTAGCTCCTCCTGCTGGCCGGGGGTCCAACTGCACCTGCTCCGGGGCTCTGGGGCTCGGGGCTTAATCAGGAGCATCAGGCCCAGCATCACCCGGCCCTCCCTAAACAGCTGATCACCACACACACACAGTCAGTTTCAAGAGCTGTTGTGTGTGTGTGTGTGTGTGTGTGTCTCACCTGCAGGGCAGTCAGATCTCTCGACAGGACGACGATCACATTCAACAAGAGCTTCTTCATCTCAAAGTCCTCGTGGTTGAAGGACAGCTTGAGGTTTCGCACCAGAGGATTGTGACTCTTCACTGAGAAACACAATCACAGATCTTCATTCAAGGTCACAGAGATGAACAAATGCTAATGAACAACATCAATACTTACGCTCAGGGAAGGTGACTAACAGCGTGAGATGCTTGACAAACCCGCTCTCCTGAAACAAACAAACAGAGAATTTGTGGAGAAGAGCGAGAGACTTGTGGAGTTTACGAGGACGATGGACTCACGATCAGAGGTGCGCTTGGGTTCGATGCGATAAGAGACAGCAACACTAGCAGGTCGTTCCTCAGCTGACGATCATAATGCCGGAAACCGTTGAGAAGCTGATGGAGAAATGCTTCTTTCAAAGATCTGCCATGCAGAACAGAAAACACAGGATCGTTTAGAGGCAGCGTTCAGATTCTCATGTGCTCATTAAAGGGATAGTTCAAATTTTAATTAGCCCATAATTTACTCACCATCAAGTCATATAGCTGTATATGGCATTCTTCTCTCAGGCAAATACAATCAGAGTTATTTTTAAAATGTCCTGGCTCTTCCAAACTTTATAATGGCTCTTCCATAACTTTAAAATGAATGTCCATAAAGTGCATCCATCCATCATAAAAGTGCATCCGTCCACTTACACATACTTTTATGAAAGATAGATGCACTATTATGATGGACAGATAGATGGATGCACTTTTATGATGGATCAATAGACTATATGCACTTTTATGATGGATAGATGTATGGATGCACTTTTATGATGAATAGATGCACTTTTATGATGGATGGATGCACTTTTATGATGAATAGATGCACTTTTATGATGAATAGATGCACTTTTATGATGAATAGATGCACTTTTGTGATGGACAGATGCACTTTTATGATGAATAGATGCACTTTCATGATGAATAGATGCACTTTTGTGATGGATGGATGCACTTTTATGATGAATAGATGCACTTTTATGATGGATGGATGCACTTTTATGATGAATAGATGCACTTTTATGATGAATAGATGCACTTTCATGATGAATAGATGCACTTTTGTGATGGATGGATGCACTTTTATGATGGATGGATGCACTTTATGGACTTCAAAACAGAAACAGCCATTCACTGCAATTATAAAGCTGGAAAGAGCCAGGATATTTTTTAACCCTAAACCTATAATTCTGATGAATGAATGAGAATGTCATATACACCTAGAATGACTTGAGGGAGAGTAAATCATGAGGTAATTTGCATTTTTGGGTGAACTATCCCTTTCATTTCTGACCTTGACCTGCCCAGAGAATGTTCATGCTCAGCTCATACTCAACCCAAAATCAAACCCAAAGGGACAAACATTGGAAAAAGAGGGATTTTCATGATGATTATATTTTTACAGCACACCATGAAATCCCTATTACTGTAAAGCCAAATAACTCACACTTTTAATTGATGCTGGTTGTAAATTATTGTATTACATGTATTTAGTTTCTGTGTATTTGTGCTGTTAGGTTGATGAACATTAATCGGCCTTTTATTATTATTATTAGATCATGTGATATTGACTCACGCGATGCAGTCGGTGTCACTGAGCTGGGCCGTCAGCTCTTCCCGAGAGCCGTTCTCCAGAAGGTTCCACAGGATCTCCGAGCAGCGGAACAGAACCGGTCCGGTTGGGTCGCACTCGCTCATGTGGAAGCAGATCTTCTGCGCAGCCTGAGCTCTCAGCATTACTCTACAGTTCTCCTCTGAGAACACACACACACACACACACACACACACACACACACACACCAGCACGTGTTTCATTCAGGTTTCAGTTCTACAGGTCTCTGGTGTGTGTGTGTGTGTGTGTGTGTGTTCACCTGATGTCCTGGACAGGATCTGCAGGGTCTGAAGGAGACGCAGTTTGATTGACAGCTGGTTCTCCATCAGGGCCAGTGACATGACGAGGGTCTCGGCCAGACCACTGCGCTCCACCATCAGCCCTCGGTAGGCCACATGCGTGGGATAGACACCTGACACACACACACACACACCTTAAACACCGCCCCTAAACCTGAACGTTTCCATACTTGAGTTGATTCAGGCCACCCACCGTCAGAGCTGTGTGTGTGTGTGTCGTGGCTGTAGAGGGATATAACAGAGGCGCAGATCTGCTGTCTGACCTCCGGTAACGGGATCCTCATCAGATAACCTGCCGTCACACGCCATTATCACTCAATCTGTCATAGATCCATCAATAGACTGGATTTACCCAAAGATGGGTAACATATCAACACATAAATGAGAAATTTATGTGTTGATTTATGTGTTAAATCAATTTGTTCAATTTATGTGTTAAAATTGAACAAAGAAATCAAAGTCTATATTAGCTTTGTAACATTCAGTACATTTTTGTGCTTTTATTTATATATTGTGATTCTCAGTACTGTCATACAGTTACCGATCAAAAGTATGGAAAAATTAAGACTTCGGTTTCCACAAAATCTGAACAATAAGCACAATGGTTTTCCACACTGATAATAATCAGAAATGTTTCTTAAATCATATTAGAATGATTTCGTTTAAGTCTGTTTTCTCTATTATTGAGGACCACTTCTTTAAGAGCGGTGTGAGATTCGACGACGATGCAGGCATGTCTGTATATAATTGAGTGTCATCAGCATAACAATGGAAACTAACTCCATGTTTCCTTATAATATTACCAAGCGTCAGCATATATATTGAGAATAATAGAGGGCCTAACACCGATCCCTGCGGCACTCCATAGTTCCTGCAGAACCGATTCAGGGTTACCCAAACAGAGTGTTATATATATAGCTATATTAGCCTATATAAAAAATATTTTAAACATTTAAAAAAAAAAATACATAATGATTTGCATTATCGTAATGAGAATTTGAGAGGAATGTTGTCCTGAACTTAATGTCACAATGAAATTAGCATAACAGATTTTTCTTTACTTAATGTGAAATCTAATGTGTCTGGTCTCGTAATTCTGTGGTAAATGAGAGTTTAACTCACCCATCTGAGACACAGAGTCTGCGGCCACAGCGGCGAACTTCATCTCATCCGACGCTCTCTCCTTCAGGAAAGGAAGACTTGAAGACAATCATTGGTTAGTTCATAAAGACTTCAGTTCACAATGGCCTAAAGACTTTGGCTGGAAATCTCACCCGCAGATCTGAAGTAAATCACAGAGGATTTTGGCATATTCCGGATGATCCATCACTCTTTCCGCACAGAGGTTCAGAATCTTACATATGTCAGCGAGATCCCTCAAAAGCTTGACATTTTAAGGAAAGTGTTTTCACGTCATCAGCATCACAATATAATAAGAGCACATTATTCCACAGAGAGCATCACCTCATGGAAACCCGTCGGGTTATAATTACCGCTGGAAACTGCTGATTCTAGAGGCCGAAGCGAGACCTCAGAGACTTCGGCTCTTAAGAGGACGCTGACGGCACAAGAAATAATTACTCACACTATTTACTACATAATACAGGTGACGTGCTTCCAACGCCAGCCAATTAGAGACGGCTTGGGAGCATATTCTTATTTGGTGATTGTTACAATAATAAATAAAAATCAGGCATAAACATGCTATAAATCATTTTGTTCTGAGTTGATCTGAATAATGACACCATCTTCTGTAGAGCTGCTTAACAGCGGAATCTGAGTTTGTCTCATTCAGTATTTGATGAAGATTACACTTTGATTCTGATATTTTCCTGTTTTCCAGTCTGTAGCCTACTGTATACAGCGTCGGCGGACAGACTCATTCTCATTTACACATACAGAAAAGATAAAATCACATTTACACATTTCAGCTTTAAAATTGCTTTTTTTTGGCTAAGGAAGAATTAGGATACAAATCCATGCTGGCATCTTTTTACCACCTTCCTCAAGATGAAAATCTGTCTTTCTTTTAATGACGACTGAAAAAAAAAAGAGAGAAACTGAAAAACGAGCCCATAATAATTCAAGCATAATTCAAGCAAACCGAGTCTTACTGAGAGCGGATCCTGCAGCAGCTGAATGACTCTCGAGAGATCCGCGAGTCCCACAGCCTGAAAAACACTGCAGTCAGTCTGAATCAACACTGACACAGAGTTCGGACAGAAACTCTCCAAACCGAGTCATTGACACAGGATTTCTGGCAGAGACTCACTGAACCGAGTCATCGTTACAGAGTTCGGACAAAGACTCACAGAACCGATTCACTGACAGAGACTCTCCAAACCGATGAGGGTATTTTTTTTTAAGTCACTGACATTATTTATTTTTTATTTTTTTTTTTTTATTAAATATTAAAGCAATACAAACAAACATAGCTATATAAAAGAAAAAAAAATTACAACAAAATACACAGACACAAATAAGTTGCCAGGGTAATAAAAACAAGAATGCAGTGCATTCAATGCAGTGTCACTGACATTATTCGGATAGCGACTCACCGAACCGAGTCACTGACACTGAGTTCGGGCAAATATTTCGCGAACCGAATCATTGACAGAGATAACTTATTTGTGTCTGTGTATTTTGCTGTATTTTTTTCTTTTATTTATGTTTGTATGTATTTCTTTAATGTTTAATAAAAAAAAAAATCATTGACAGAGATTCACCGAACCGAGTCACTTTTTTGTGACACTGACAAAGTTTGGACGGAGACTTACCGAACCGAGTCACTGACACAGAGTTCGGACAGCGTCTCACCGAACCGAATCATGGACAGATACTCATTGGACCGAGTCACTACAGAGTTTGGACAGAGACTCACCTCAGACTTTCTCTCGGGCACAACGCGTTTCTGAAGGAAGCTCCTCGCGGGCGGCGCGCTGGACAGCATGTCTGATCCACTGCACGAGTCACTGCTCGAGTCTCATGACCAGAACCCTTCACGAACAGCAACAGCAGCGGCTGGTGTTTATATCGGCTGGTGTTCATAGGCGGATCACGACGCGTTGCGGTCGTCATAGTAACGCGTGCAGCTACGGAGCGCCGCACGAGACAAACCTCCCCTTCAAACGCAAAGCAGAAGCTCACCTATCTGTTTCTTAATTCACACTATAAACTGAGCAAACATTTTTAAAGAAACGCGACTACTTCCATGCCTCCACACTATAATGACAAACAACTGCGAGAACAGACAGTACAGAGAGGGGGCTTTTATTTTGACCTATGTTGTTAAGCGCAGCAGGGGAAGTGACGTCATAGACAGTGAGTTTCCTGCAGATGAGGCAAAATAAACGATGCTGAATTTAATGTGTTTCGTTGAAGAACAAAGGGTCAAATATTACTCTAACGTTAGATAAAGAACAAAGAGTCAAATATCCAGTGGTTTAACAGAAACGTCATTATCAATGCTAGCGGACTCAGGTGAGAGTCATTTATTCATGTTCATGCGCATTGTGAATGTGTGTGTGTGTGTGTATGAGTGTATGAGTGTATGAATGAATGAATGAGATTGTGTGTTTGAGCGCGCGCGCGTGTGTGTGTGTGTGTGTACAGTTTCAATGAGTGAAATGTGACTGAGAGTATCATGTGTGAGTCTCTACAGTGTGTGTGTGTGTGTGTGTGTGTGTGTGTGTGTGTGTGTGTGTGTGTGTGTGAATGAATGAATGACACTGAGTGTGTCTGTACAGTGTGTGAGTGATTGAATAAGACTGTGTGTGTCTGTACAGTATGTGTGTGTAGTAGTGATGTGTTGATGTGTGTTCAGTGGGACGGAGTCGTGGCAGGAAGCGCTCAGCAGGAGTGGGCGGGGCTGACTCTGGTGGGCGGGGCCGAGGGAACACACCTGCAGCACAGGTGAGGGTTCGAGACATCAGAGGAGCACAGCAGCACCTGCAGGACACTTGTGAACTTGTGTATGTGTGTGTGTGTGTGTGTTTCTGTATGTTTGTGTGTTTCAGACGAGAAGGAAAGCCGCCGAGACGGGGGAAGATGACGATCAGTCGGAGAAGAAGTTCAGGAAGTGTGAGAAATCCGGATGTCCAGCGACGTACCCTGTGTGTTTCGCCAGCGCGTCTGACAGGTGTGTGTGATTACAGTAAACGTGATGAACACACTGATGAAGGATACAGTACTGATAGTGCCGAACCTTCATCGGCTGTGGCTCTACAGAGGGTCATTCCTCAGATCAGCTGTTCTCTGGGATGTGATGAGGACTGAGAGCTCAGTGTGTTTAACGTCTGCTTTCATCAGGTGTGCCAGAAACGGATACACGTCTCGCTGGTATCACCTGTCGTGCGGCGAGCACTTCTGTAACGAGTGCTTCGATCATTACTACAGAAGGTGAGTGCTGCTGGGTAATGTTGAGGTGCTCGGGTCTCACCTGATCCTCCTCTGTTCTCCTGCAGTCATAAAGACGGCTACGAGACGTTCTCCTCCTGGAAGAGGGTTTGGACCAGCAATGGGAAGAGCGAACCGAGCCTCAAAGCCTTCATGGCCGACCAGCAGCTGCCATACTGGGTGAGTAACTGTGTAACCTAGACCAGCTCTGTGTAACGTAGACTGATAATCGTGTGTGTGTGTGTGTGTGTGTGTCAGGTCCAGTGCAGTAAAGCAGACTGTGGCAGGTGGCGTCAGCTGAGTAAAGAGTCGGTTCTGACGGCTGCTCTAGCATCATCGTATCGCTGCGGGATGAAGAACAACAGCGTGAAGGTGAGAACACATCGCTCACTGGGGTGTGTGTGTGTGCTGGGGTGTGTGTGTGTGCTGGGGTGTGTGTGATGGTGTGTGTGATGGTGTGTGTGCTGGGGTGTGTGCTGGGGTGTGTGTGCTGGGGTGTGTGTGTGTGCTGGTGTGTGTGTTGGAGTGTGTGCCTGTCCTCACGTCTCTGTGCTTTTGTTTTGCAGAGCGAAGGAAGTGATGCGTGTTCTCAGCCGGAGGACGTGGTAAAGATCCTTCAGTGATTTTACTCTGGCCATTCAGTGACCAAACAGACCCATCAGTGTTCAGACTAATTAAAGGGTCATGAAACCCCAAACCACATTTTCTGAGATTATAACAGAGGTATGTGTGTTGAACACCATTGAAGACAATGTTAGCATCTGTTCGATTTAATAATAAGGTTAAAATGGTTAAATTTGAGTTTTTTCCCGCTTTTTTCGTCTTCCGGGTTTAAAATCTTCATCGTAGCGGGTGACGTGGCAGTGCCCTGCACAGTGCGTTGATGACTCATCGGTGTTATCCTATGAGAAGACACGGCCTCTTAATTATTCATGACATCACGTGGATCTTTCCAACGACAGACGTGACAAACTGTGATATCGCGTAGTAACGTTAGATGAGAGAGGCAATCATGGGACGCAAACTATTTGTTTTCATGGTGCAAAGTCCGAGTGCGTTGAATATGTTCCCGCGATGCTGCCAGGGCTCGACTCTGGCTCTGGACGGTTGGTTTGCCATCAAATACGGACACGTCTAAACCTGACCCATTGTGTGTGTGTGTGCCGCGAACGTTTTCGCGAGAGAGCTGCGACAAGTGGAGAATGATGGACTTCGACTAATCCAAGTTGCGTCTTGCGAGTGATGCGGTATCCCGAGGACTTTCTATCCCTTCAGAGGTGTGTGTGTGTGTGTAAAATGAGAAGTCATTTATTATGAGGGTTCAGAGGGCACGTAGACACTTTCTTTTACTGTCTACGACTATGCACGGAACGATTTTTTTAAGCGGAAAATTAATAATTTTTTTCTGAAATGTATTTATAGTGTCTATATAAACCACTATATATTTTATAATGACATTATAAATATACATGTAGCCTACATTAATATGTTTTAATTAGAATTACGATTACTGTAGGCTAATATTTGTAGTTGGACATTCAGTTACTTTTGAAAGGACGATAATAAAGTGTCGGTGTCCTTCATAAGACTTTAACTTTGCCAGCTATATAAAAATCGAGCATTTCCTCACGTTTTACCATTGCTTTTTAGTGACAGTGGAAATGCATGTGAGAGTGACAGTGATGGTCCTACCACACCCACTCCCTCCCTTCTCAGCTAGCCACGCCCATTTCAGCTGCATTTTTCAAAAAGATTTTGAGCTAGACTTGAGCTGAAAGAGGGGGGTTTCATGACCCTTTAACACCACATGATGATGATGATGATGATGCTGATGATGATGATGATGCTGATGATGCTGTCGTTGATCAGCGTGTGGCGGGTGTGACGGACAGCTGGTGGCTCTCGATGCTCATCCTGCCGCCGCTGCTGAAGGACAGTCCCGCTAGCCCGTTCCTCAGCGCTTATTACCCGGACTGTGTGGGCATGAGCCCGTCTGTCGGCCCGGGGAACCAGCGCCAGGAGCACCGCCGGACAGCGCCGCCTCACAGTGAGTCTGATCACTCTCACAAACACAACCACGTGTTCACAATCCCCTCTCTGAAAGACTCGTCAGCATTTAACAGATTTAGAGTTCATGACGGCAGGAACAGCAGCGTCGTCTTTTAGAAAACACCCTAAACAAACATTTAAGAGTTTATTTATTGCACTCCATCATCTCTGTAAAGGCGGTGAGTTTGAGTCACACACACACACACACACTTTGTGATTGTTTTTATTAGACAATGTGTGTGTGTGTGTTTGTAGTTCCCGGACTCTCACCGTATTTCCAGCCCTTCTATCAGCCGAACGAGTGTGGGAAAGCCTTGTGTGTGAGACCCGACATGATGGAGCTGGATGAGTTGTACGAGTTCCCAGAATTCTCCAGGGATCCCACCATGTATCTGGCGCTGAGGAACCTGGTTCTGGCGGCCTGGAACCGGGACTGCAAGGTACGAACGTCAGTGCTAATGTGTTAGCTGGTCTCGTCTGTGGGTTGCGGTTCTGTTGTGTTGATGTCCTGTTGTGTGTGTGTGTGTGTGTGTGTGTGTTGATGTCCTGTTGTGTGTGTGTGTGTGTTGAGGTTCTGTTGTGTGTGTGTGTTGATGTCCTGTTGTGTGTGTGTGTTGCAGGAGGTTCTGGTGTGTGTGTGTATGTTGAGGTTCTGTTGTGTGTGTGTGTTGATGTCCTGTTGTGTGTGTGTGTGTGTGTGTGTTGATGTCCTGTTGTGTGTGTGTGTTGCAGGAGGTTCTGACCCTGCAGAGATGCGCTCCTCATGTGATCGTGCGCGGGCTGGTGCGGATCCGCTGTGTGCAGGAACTGGAGCGAGTTCTGGACTTCATGACCCGGAAGGGCCTGATCAACACGGGGGTTCTGCAGGTCAAGCGGCCCCTCCTGCCCGAGTCCCAGCACTACGTGAGCCGCTGACACACACACACACACACACACTCTCTGCTTGTCCCAGCAGTCTGTCGATGTGCAGTAAATATAGAGTTGTGTATTGTTGTCTGTTCAACTCATTTTAACTGACTTTTTGAAAACTGCTGAAAAAAATCCAGATTCTTTGACATAAAGTAACTTTTTTAACAGTAACCCAAATAGTTAGTTTCCCTGGTAACAAGTTACTTTTATTGTAGAGTAATTCAGTTACTAACTCATTTACTTTTAGGAACAAGTAGTGAGTAAGTATAACTAATTACGGTGGCAGGACTGCATGTGTAGTGCATGAACACAGTTTTACACAGATAAACATGGAGCAGCAGAGCAGCCAAACCCTTCTGAGTGAACAGCCCGTGACACGTCTTCAGTGAGATTCACATGAAGTGTGTGTGTGTGTGTGTGTGTGTGTGTGAGCAGAAGGTGCTGGTCATTGGCGCCGGTGCTGCGGGTCTCGCTGCTGCTCGCCAGCTTCAGAACTTCGGCATGCAGGTATGACACACACACACACACACACACACACACTCTTCTAACCCTAATCGACGGAGTGTGCAGCTTTTCATTTCTCAAACAGCCATGTAGGAAGTGACCCATCATGGCCATATTCACTGTGAGAGAGTGGTTGGGAGGTGTGTGTGTGTGTGTGTGTGTGTGTGTTTACACCCAAGACTGTGAGAGGATGGCTGGGAGGAGCATGAAGAATCATTTCAGACCTTAAACTGCCTGAAAGAGTTTGGATGTGCTGGAGTGCGGAGGCGTGTGTGTGTGTGTGTGTGTGTGTGTGTGTGTGTGTGTGTGTGTGTTAGTCTCCAGCGCTCTGCGATCGCACAGCTGGCGAGGTACGGATTCGAACATCAGCTCAGAGCCTGCGGCGGGAGCGCTGCGGAGTGGGTTTCCATGACAGCAGGAAGGGATCATGTAAACTCTCTCTCTCGCTCGCTCTTCCACTTCACTTCCTGTCTACTTACTGGCTTAATTAGGCCTGATGGCAGAGGAGATTAGGCCTGATTAGGCCTCCCAGAGGAGTGCTAACCCAACTCTACATCGCCGTCGTTACAGTCGCTGTGATGCTCCGTCTGTCCACACACACATATATATTCAGTACAGATCACAGTTTGCTGGGTAAAATGTTCAAACTATTGCCTCTGTTTTGTGATTGGTCGTCAGGTGGTGGTTCTGGAGGCCAGGGAGCGAATCGGAGGCAGAGTTTGGGATGATGCGTCGCTGGGAATGACGGTCGGACGAGGAGCTCAGATCGTGAACGGCTGCGTGAACAACCCTATCGCTCTGATGTGTGAGCAGGTGACTCACACACACACACACACACACACACACACTCTCTCTCTCTCACACACACACCTGTGTTCTCTGTGTGCAGCTAGGGCTGCCGATGCTCAGGTTAGATGTACACACACACACTCACACACACACACATGCGCTCTCCTGTGTGCAGCTGGGGCTGCCGATGCACAGGTTGGATGTACACACACACACTCTCACACACACACCTGTGTTCTCTGTGTGCAGCTGGGGCTGCCGATGCACAGGTTGGATGTACACACACACACACACACACGCACACACACACACTCTCACACACACACCTGTGTTCTCCTGTGTGCAGCTGGGGCTGCCGATGCACAGGTTGGATGTACACACACACACACGCACACACACACACTCTCACACACACACCTGTGTTCTCTGTGTGCAGCTGGGGCTGCCGATGCACAGGTTGGATGTACACACACACACACACACACGCACACACACACACTCTCACACACACACCTGTGTTCTCCTGTGTGCAGCTGGGGCTGCCGATGCACAGGTTGGATGTACACACACACACACACACACACACACACACACACTCTCACACACACACCTGTGTTCTCTGTGTGCAGCTGGGGCTGCCGATGCACAGGTTGGATGTACACACACACTCACACACACACACACTCTCTCACACACACACCTGTGTTCTCCTGTGTGCAGCTGGGGCTGCCGATGCACAGGTTGGATGTACACACACACACACACACACACACACACACACTCACACACACACACCTGTGTTCTCTGTGTGCAGCTGGGGCTGCCGATGCACAGGTTGGATGTACACACACACACACACACACACACACACACACGCACACACACACACTCTCACACACACACCCGTGTTCTCCTGTGTGCAGCTGGGGCTGCCGATGCACAGGTTGGATGTACACACACACACACACACGCACACACACACACTCTCACACACACACCCGTGTTCTCCTGTGTGCAGCTGGGGCTGCCGATGCACAGGTTGGGTGCGCGCTGTGAGCTGATCCAGGATGGGGGACTCGTCACGGATCCGGCTCTGGACAAGCGCATGGACTTCCACTTCAACGCTGTTCTGGACGCCGTGTCCGAGTGGAGGAAGGACAAGCCCCAGTCCCAGGATGCACCACTGGGGGGTGAGAGTCATGTGATCTGTCTGTCAGGTTCACGTCAGCATCTTTTGTTACACGTGCGGTCAGCTTTTACTGAATGAATCCGGACATGAAGCTGATTTACTAGGACAAGACAGGACACAGGTCAGGGTCAGGGCACAGGTCAGGGCACAGGTCAGGGTCAGTTCAGGGTCAGGTCAGGACACGGGTCAGGGTCAGGGCACAGGTCAGGGTCAGTTCAGGGTCAGGTCAGGACACGGGTCAGGGTCAGGGCACAGGTCAGGGTCAGTTCAGGGTCAGGTCAGGGTCAGGGCACAGGTCAGGGTCAGGGCACAGGTCAGGGTCAGGTCAGGACACGGGTCAGGTCAGGACAAGGGTCAGGACAAGGGTCAGGGTCAGGACACGGGTCAGGTCAGGACACAGGTCGGGGTCAGGTCAGGACAAGGGTCAGGGTCATGGTCAGGACAAGGGTCAGGGTCAGGACAGGATCAGGTCAGGACACAGGTCAGGGTCAGGTCAGGACACAGGTCAGGGTCAGGTCAGGACACAGGTCAGCTGATCCACATGTTCCTCTGGACGGCAGATTCTAATGTAATACACATTTAACTGCCATGTGTAAAAAAAACATCACCTGAATCTATTAAATAATTGTCTTGTATTAATCTTTTTGTTAATTGTACAAGTTTTGTTATTCACATTGTTTTTGCCATGAAGGTGCATTATATCCCTCCTGCTGTTAAGAACAGAAATACTAATGATAATGCAGGACGATTGTGTGTAACTGCCGGAGTGTGTGTGTGGTGTGTGTTCGGATGTGCAGAGAAGATTCAGGAAGTGTACAAGGCGTTCCTGCAGGAGTCCGGCCTCCTCTTCTCTGAGCTGGAGGAGAACGTCCTGCACTTCCATCTCAGCAACCTGGAGTACGCCTGCGGGAGCACCCTGGACCAGGTGTGTGTGTGTGTGTGTGTGTGTGTGTGTAAGAGAGAGAGTGTGTGACTGACTGTGTGTGTGTTTGTGTGTTACTGACTGTGTGTGTGAGAGAGAGAGTGTGTGTTTGAATGTGACTCACTGTGTGTGTGTGTGTGTGTGTGTGTCACTCGAGCTCTACTTCAGGTTCAGGTCAGCTGGAGTTCATCAGTGTGTGTGTGTGTGTGTGTCACTCGAGCTCTACTTCAGGTTCAGGTCAGCTGGAGTTCATCAGTGTGTGTGTGTGTGTGTGTGTGTGTGGCAGGTGTCGGCGCGCTCGTGGGATCATAACGAGTGTTTCGCTCAGTTCTCCGGCGATCACACGCTGCTCATTGATGGATACTCGTCTGTCCTGCACAATCTCGCTCAGGGACTAGACATCCGGCTCAATACCGCGGTACTTCAGCTTTCACACACACACACACACACACACACACACACACACACACACTGCTCCTCACCTTCAGCCACTCACCGTATGTGCTTGCAGGTCCAGCATGTGGAATATTCTGGAGACGCAGTGAAAGTCACGTCCTTCTGTGGATCGCACTGGACCGCACAGAAGGTCCAACACATCACACACACACCTGCATCACACACACACACACCAGCATAATACACATGTTCTTCATGTTAGCTGGGTGTGTTGCGCTGCAGGTTTTGGTGACGCTGCCGCTGGCTCTGCTGCAGAACAACACCGTGTGCTTCAGCCCTCCTCTGCCCGAGCGGAAGCTCAAAGCCATCCACAGCCTGGGAGCCGGAGCCATCGAGAAGGTGTGTGTGTGTGTGTGTGTGTGTGTGTGTGTGTGTGTGTGTGTGTGTGAGAGAATGTGTGCATCCACAGTCTGGGAGCCGGAGCCATCGAGAAGGTGTGTGTGTGTGTGTGTGTGTGTGTGTGAGAGAATGTGTGCATCCACAGCCTGGGAGCCGGAGCCATCGAGAAGGTGTGTGTGTGTGTGTGTGTGTGTGTGTGTGTGTGTGTGAGAGAATGTGTGCATCCACAGTCTGGGAGCCGGAGCCATCGAGATGGTGAGTGTGTGAGTGTGTGAGACGTGTCTCGCCCGGGACACTCACACTCTCTGTGTTTCAGGTCGCCCTGCAGTTTCCCACACGCTTCTGGGACAGTAAAGTCCAGGGAGCGGATTATTTCGGGCACGTGCCAGCCAGTGTGGAGAAGAGAGGCTTGTTCAGTGTGTTCTACGACATGCGCCCACAGGTACGACACGGGTTTCTGCACTGTGTGTGTGTGGAGAAGACAGGCTTGTTCAGTGTGTTTTACGACATGTGCCCTCAGGTACGACAGGCTCCTGTTCTAACAACAAGGTGTGCGTGTGTGTGCATATGCTTGTGTGCGTGTGTGTGTGTGCATGCTTGCGTGTGTGCAGGGCGAGGAGTGTGTGCTCATGACGGTGATCACGGGCGAGGCTCTTGCACTGGTCAGAGATCTTCAGGACTCGCAGGTGGTGGATCTGTGTATGAGTGTCCTCAGAGAACTCTTCCAGGAGCAGGTGAGCCTCAACATCAGCTACAGACTTCATCATTCATCAAGACACAACTCTGTTCACTCTGATATTAACAAGTACCTGAAGGTCAGCGATTGTTCTGATGTTGTGTCGCAGGAGGTTCCGGAGCCGGTGAAGTTCCTGGTGACCCACTGGAGCAGAGACGCCTGGGCTCAGATGTCCTACAGCTTCGTGAAGACGGGCGGCAGCGGCGAGGCCTACGACATCATGGCCGAGGACGTGCAGGGAAAACTGTTCTTCGCTGGCGAGGTCAGACTCCTGTGTGTGTGTCTGTGTGTATGACCATGCAGTGAAGACATAGACTGTCGATTGCATTTTATTTGAATATATTCATATTTGAACCTCATTGATTTACGTCATTGTCATTTTGCTAGCGCTAGCAGGAGTGCGGTCTTAAACGAAAGTGGCAGTAGCTCGGCCACCTGTAGCGGCTCGGAGGCCCTTCAGGCCCGTGGGTCCCGAGAGGGTATGGTAAGAGGACGAGACGGGTTAACCCGGGATCAGGAGTGTGGTGTTCTGCTATGACCAGTGTCCATTAGCTCCTTCTCACGAGTAGAGTCTTGGTTCCAGACTGAACACCAATCTGGGAAAACAGACCACTTAAGGGCGTAGAGGCACCTCGTGGACAGAGCTCAAGCCTCAGGGATAGTGTTCAGGACTCTGCTGGGAGGCCCGTAAGTTCCCGTGGAGGGGCCATTCGTGGAGGACTCACAGCTCAGACTGCCCTGTTCGCCTGGGGACGAAGGTCTCCGGGAATTGGCCAAGGGGCTGCGAGGAGCTGAAGCCCAGGAGAGCGACCGGGAGAAAGGCGTAAAGGGGAAGACTGGGCCATTCGTGGGACAGTGCATCCATGTTCTTTGTGAAGAATATTGGGCAGTGAGAGTTTCATCTGAGGTAAAGAGGTCAGCCTGTGCCCTGCCGAAGATGCTCCAGATTGTTTGAAGCGTCTGGGGATGGAGGGTCCTTTCCCTTGGGAGCACATTCCCCTTGGACATCATGTCTGCTCCCTGGGTCAGTATGCCCGGCACATGACCCGCTCTCAGTGGTTGTTCCCATTAGAAGCGGCGCTGGACTGGCTTGTACAGAGCCCTCGACCTGAGCCCACCCTGGTGGTTTATGTAGGACACCACAGCCATATTGACCGACCGGACTAAGAAGTGGTGCCCTGTCAGGTCTGGTAGGAAGGTTTTGAGGGCCATAAAAACCAACATCTTTTCCAGGCAGTTCAAATGCTGCGTTCTCATGAGCTGGACCAGGAGCTGGAAATCGGTCCGCCCTCACACAGAGCTGGAAGCATCTTCTTCCTCGAGACCTCCTGTTCACTCCAGACTGCTCTCGGCTGGGGTCCCATGGTCGACAAACGACCAAAGGAGGCCTACTACCACCTTGACGTGAAGGCGATCTGATCGCCAGTTGCGAGTTGAGACCTGGGATTTAGGCCAGTCCTGCAGAGGGCAGGAATCCCAGCGGAAGGACTGATGATGCGGAGGCATTAGCCCTAGCATCCTCTGATACCCCTTTTCCACCAAAAAAGAACTGGTTCGGAACTGGTGCTGGTTCAAAGTTGGTTCGGAGTTTGTTCAACTTGCGAACCCGTTCAGAACCTGTTTGTTTTTCCACTGACTAGAGCGCCCAGAGAAGCCAGACGCCGTTACGTCACTGTGTACGTTGCCTTACGTCTTAGCTAGAAACGCTTGCAAGTACAACATTACTTTGGGATCATCTCTAACTCGTGTACCAAGAAGGCTTTAAAAACAATTGAAATATGTAAGTTTTTTAATCTTTTCGTTTGATATGTAATTTTTTCTGATTAGATATGTACTCCTGTCTTGTGTCTTTTTTTTCTTTCCATTTATTTATTCTATATTGTGACTGTTTTCTCCTTTGCTTATAATGTTTACTATAAAAAAAAATAGAAACGCTTGCGCCAATTTCAAGCATAGCAATTACAAAGGCGGACTCCATCGTGTTTCTGCAAATGTCTGCAAAAAAACCCGTCCCAGCCCCCGACATAAGCATGACGTGGTAAAAGAACGGTTCTAGTCCAGCAAAGAGATGGTGCCGCTTTGGAACCAGTTTTCCCGGCCGAGAACCGGTTCTTTGGCTGTCGAAACACAAAGAACTGGTTCGCGCGCAGGCACCGGCTCCAAATGCTTTGGTGGAAAAGGGGCTTGAAAGGTTCTGAGAGGGGAAAAGGCCCCTACTCTGAACAATATTGCGAGCTGCTGGATGGTGTGAGCGCTCGGGTGCTAGATTTGAGAACTGCCCTCAGGAAAGGAATCCTCTGGCTGGGCAGGTTGATCCTGAGGCATTCCAGATGGCTGAGGAACACGGATTGGTATGATTTAACCTCTGCTTCTGACTAGGGTAAGACAAGCCAGTCGTCGAGGTAATTCAGGATGAGTGCTGCATCCATGTACTTTGTGAATGTGAGTGGCGAGGAACCTCAATTGTCCCCAAATCCAGCTCCGGGATGGCCTGCCACGCCCAAGTCAAGTGGCTGCGAGATTAAATGGAATGGTTTTACTGGGCGGAGCCGTGGCATTGAGGCTCTGCTTCAGCGCACACAGTAATCCGCTGAAGGAGTATAAATTTGAATCCTATGGTGAGACCATCTGCTAATATAGGCAGATGCCCCACCCCTTCCATGTTCTGCACCTTGATTGGCTCGTGCAGATACGCCACATTGCCATTGGTTCATGCAGCTCCCACTGCTCAGCCAATAAGCACGCCCAGATCACTGCAGTGTTATAGCTGTGCAGTAGCTCTGCATTACTGAATAAAAGACTTCAATAATCCGAGAAAAAGGAGTTTTCCCATAGCATCTAGTAGACACAATATTCGTTCCCGTTATCTCAGGGAACCAAGGTAACGCTAGTAACCGAGACATTTATTACAGTGAAGCTGCTTTGAAACAATTAGAACTAAAACTACAAGACACAAGAAGAGTTAATAACTGATATTCATATCTACTCATCACTCTCTCTGTCTGTCTCCATGCAGTTTGTTTATTTATATGTTTTGAAAGCATTTGTTCCCTTCTTTCTTATATTTCTTTTAATGTCTTTCAAGTGTCAGAAACTGCCATGCTAGATTTGTTCTAAGAGCAGTCATAAAACCTGCCTAAAACCTCTTACTGACCTCACAGTTTTTACCAGATTGTTAATTTTCACCATTGCTAATTAGTTTCTCTGCTCTTGCAGGCGACCAACAGGCACTTTCCTCAGACGGTGACGGGAGCGTATCTGAGCGGAGTGCGTGAGGCCAGCAAGATCGCAGCACAGTAGAAACGTTTCACTCTCCAGAACTTTCTCATCACAGCAGAACCGCCTCACTCTCCAGAACCGTCTCACCACTGCAGAACCGCCTCACTCTCCAGAACCGCCTCACTCTCCAGAACCGTCTCTCCACTGCAGAACTCACCACTGCAGAACCGCCTCACTCTCCAGAACCGTCTCACTCTCCAGAACCGTCTCACTCTCCAGAACCGTCTCACTCTCCAGAACCGTCTCACTCTCCAGAACCGCCTCACTCTCCAGAACCGTCTCTCCACTGCAGAACTCACCACTGCAGAACCGCCTCACTCTCCAGAACCGTCTCACTCTCCAGAACCGTCTCACTCTCCAGAACCGCCTCACTCTCCAGAACCGTCTCTCCACTGCAGAACTCACCACTGCGAACCGCCTCACTCTCCAGAACCGTCTCACTCTCCAGAACCGTCTATCCACTGCAGAACCGCCTCACTCTCCAGAACCGTCTCTCCACTGCAGAACCGCCTCACTCTCCAGAACCGCCTCACTCTCCAGAACCGTCTCTCCACTGCAGAACCGTCTCACTCTCCAGAACCGTCTCACTTTCCAGAACCGTCTCTCCACTGCAGAACCGTCTCACTCTCCAGAACCGTCTCTCCACTGCGAACCGTCTCACTCTCCAGAACCGTCTCTCCACTGCAGAACCGCCTCGCTCTCCAGAACCGCCTCACTCTCCAGAACCGCCTCACTCTCCAGAACCGTCTCACTCTCCAGAACCGTCTCACTCTCCAGAACCGCCTCACTCTCCAGAACCGCCTCACTCTCCAGAACCGCCTCACTCTCCAGAACCGTCTCACTCTCCAGAACCGTCTCACTCTCCAGAACCGCCTCACTCTCCAGAACCGCCTCACTCTCCAGAACCGTCTCTCCACTGCAGAACTCACCACTGTTGAACCGTCTCACTCTCCGGTATATTCTCACCACTGAAGAACCGTTGTCTCTCCACTGCAGAACTCCCCTCTGTAGATCCGCCTCACTTTCCAGAACCATCTCACTCTCCAGAATATTCTCACCACTGCAGAACCGTCGTCTCTCCACTGCAGAACTCCCTAGAACTGTCTCACTCTCCAGAACCGCCTCACTTTCCAGAACCGTCTCACTCTCCAGAACTGCCTCGCTTTCCAAAACAGTCTTACCACTGCAGAACCGTCTTACTCTCCAGAACTGTCTGTCTCTCCAGAACCGTCTTACCAGTGCAGAACCGCCTCAATCTCCAGAACCGTCTCACTCCCCGGTTTCTTCTCACCACTGTAGAACCATCTAACCACTGCAGAACCGTCTCACCACTATAGAACCGCCTCACTCTCCAGAACCTTCTCAACCCTTCAGAAACTTCTCACCACTGCAGAACCTTCTCAACACTGCAGAACCATCTCACCACTGCAGAACCGTCTATCCGCTATTGGAGTGCTGCAAGACTATGAACATTACAGGTGACCTGAGGACACACACACATACACTAAAGCAGTGATGTCAGATACACACGTCTGTCTTTCTGCAGGTGTTTACTGGCTGTATTTATAAACTTTCATTTCCTTTTACGGTTTTGAAGTAGTTAAATATCACAGTTCGACACAAGCTGTAGTTTGTTTCGCTTCACAGCTGAAATATTAATTATGTCGATGTGATTCTCTGCCAGATTTGTTTTGTACTTTTATGTAAAGAAGAGATGCACATGAAGCTTTATTCTGTGAATTTACTTTTGTCTTAGACACCTGTTCAAATGAAATGAACTCTAGAAATATTTTACTTAATTAGAGGGTGATGTTCCTTCTTTCTTTATCCTTTTTCCTCAGATGTTCTAAAAATATTAAAAACTGTAATTTATTCAACAACTTCTTGTCTGAGTTCAGGTGTGTGTTTCTGAAAATATGCAGCTATTCAGTCCCATTCAGAGGATGCACTTTGTGTTTGGGAATATTCACATAATTTAGCATAAATTATTCATGCAATTTATCAAATAAATTATGTTGCGTTACTACACATAAAAAAAATCATTTTAGAAGAGAAAAAAGTGCTCATGCAGTGGCTGGTGTTCCCCCTCAGACATGATCCAGATGGGAATCAGCTCAGCGACGGTCGTCCTCCCGTTCAGACATGGATCCCGATGCGATCTGGAGCGCCTGCGCCGCGGTATGCTGGAGAGACACTAGCACGGTTCGCCATCGATGATCGCGCGCCTGTCATTGGAATGGCTACGCTGCACCTCGGAAACCCGTTCAGACACCGCTAGGCTAACGGCAGCTTGGGTTTGCTGTACACGAGGCCACTGAAGGCTTTAGCTGAAAGATCGAGTTCCGCGAGTATGGTTTGTGGAAACGCTGTGCATTTCTGCCATCAATATGGTGCTAAGACGAGAGACTGAACTCGAAAGGCAACATTTCGAGATGCGTAACATAACCCTGGTTCTCTAAAGCACAATGCGTAAGTTGCTTTGCTTCACATGTATGCTCTCACTTGCAGCAAGATTCTGAAGCAATAGCGCCCGGTGGTGCGCTATATAGCCTTAGTGTGCGAGCGCCAGTATTGCAGTTATAATAGCTTGATTCAGATATTTTTAGTGAAAGGAGTTCACTAAAACTTTTCTGCGCATCTCCGCTCTAACTCAAAACGTGGTACACCATCTCCTGAGCTGGCGTAGGGTTTGAGCGTGCTGTGCCGGATTGATAAACCTCAAAGTCACCGTGGTTTTGGGTGTACGCTGGAAATTTGGTGTACGCACTTTTGATAAATGAGGGCTGTTGTGTGGAAGAAACAAAATCATCCAATAAAAAAAATCTTTTGAGTTTTGTTTTTTTAGCTTTACACTCTTGGCTTTTCTTATACTTTGCATCTTCCATTTGGGAAACTCCTGGATGTCAATTAAAACACATTCTGTGGGATGAAAAATGGCATTTCTTGTGAAACTATGTGATGATCAGTCCACTAGATGACAGCAAAAGCGTAAGAGGGAGACAGAATCTTGTGTGTGGGTGAGAGAGAGAGAGAGAGAGAGAGAGAGACAGATTGTGTGTGTGTGTGTGTGCGTGCGCGTATGACACCTAGCTGTGCCTTATACACATAATTCTCCTAGAATGCAAGGAGACTTAACTAATTTTAACGAATGGAACTTTGTCATGTAGTGTTAACATTCATAATGCCTGATGTTACTGGTCTTATTGTGAACAATTCCTCCATGCATTTCGTTTTTTTTATTTTATTTAATTAAATATTTTATTTTATTTCACTCTTGCTGTGATTGGCTGGCTTGGCGTTTGACGTTAGCAGTGCTTAATGTTCATCATCCAATCAAAGCATCATATATTAAATCCTGCCCTAGTTTGTTCATGTGCGATGACACTCTGGACTGGGACAGTATAATATTGGTCTCGACGTCTGTTTCAGGACGGGTTGCGACTCAAACTCGGTTAGATCAGCTGAGATGTGGTGAACTCATAATCGCTTTTGCTGCACATGATTTTTATTGAGTGACAGATTATTAAGCGGTGATTGAAACGCTCAGCCAGCGGCTTCATGTCAGAGGAGAAGCAGATGAATTGTGTGTGTGTTTGAGTGTGTGTGTTTAAATGAGTGATTGTCAGGCTTGTGACCTGCGGAGGGAGCAGCATTCCAGTGTGCCAGTGCCGACACATCCAGCTCCATCTCTGCTGTTTGCGTGTGTAAGGAGAGACTCCATTCAAAGCACCACACTACCGTATACTCTTACTTACACATATCTTTACCGAGTTCAGTTTGCTTACAGGCACTTCCACTTGCATCCCTTAGATGGACAACTAACTATTTATAATATCTTAGCATGATTCATTATTATATTTAATTAATCATTTCAGTTACTGTTATTATAATTGCTATGAAAACTTTTACTCTTAAAAGGGCTTCTTCGTGTGTGTGTGTGTGTGTGTGTGTGTGTGTGTGTGTGTGTTCATCACTGTAGGGAAGTGTGGTAACCATTGAACAGTGTTGATTTCTAATGGGAGTGTGAGATGCAGCTTTCATGCTGTTGTAAATCTCCTGTTATCACTGTACAGCTGATTTGAAACAGTCTCTATGGTATAAAGAGCTATAAAAATAAAAGCAACTAGGCTTGATTAGATTTGAAATGTCTACAAGGAGGTTGAAATCGTGTTTACAGTTTTTTTGTTTTTTTCATTTGATCGCTGCTGGATCAGTTATTTTGGACGACTAATAGCAGGATTATTAGTGCTGAGTTAGCTCGTCTCCTCTCAGTTAATCCTCGTTCATCACCTTCGTTTGATGTTTTACCTTACACCCCTTTCACTGGAAGGTATTCATGCATTATTCTCTGCCAAGCTGATTGGTATATGTATTTACACAACCCTGAATGAATCCCTTAATATTGGGCAGAGAGTGAAACAGGGCCGTATTACGCTAATGACGGAGTCTGAGGTGAGACATACCTGTGTTTCAGCGCTGAGCTCCAGCGAGAGACGTTGAAGAATTTAATTAAAGGGCGGGAGCTGCTTCGCGCCTGTCCTCTGAGGGCGGGAAGAGTCTGTCACTCACTGCAGTGTGTGCGCGCGCCCCGACAGCGCTGGATTATTCCTCTCATCCGATCCTACGCTTCTGTTGTGTTTGAGTTGTAACAGCAGGTGAGTGTGATATTGTCGGATTGTTTAAAAATATTAATTTACACGTTGCACGTTTGGAATTGAACACTCCCTCTTCAGTAGACTTTGTTTAAAACTGAAACGTGCCGTTTCGTTCAAACTTGTGCTGAAGTGTGTGATATAATGTTGATGTAGCCTAAACATGTCTGCTGAATGAGAACATGCAAACAGTGACTGAAGTGTGTGATTTCTTGAGTTGTGTGTTCATCAGCTGAGAGGATGCGGGTTCGAGTGCTTCTCCTGATTCTCACGGCAGTCCTCATTGCGCATGCGCAAGGTACGCTATTTTTGTAGTTTTGTCTTCTGTTTAGTGGTTTGTTTATCTTTCGATCTCTCATTGTATTGTTCTGTGATTTTATCTGTTGTGCTGTCATTCAGTGTTTCTCTCTCTTGCGGTATCTACTATTTTTGTAATGTACTATTATAGTTTTTTCTCTCCATTGGTCAGTCTTATTCTATTCATATTTTATTCTTGAAATGTCCAAATAACACCTGTTGTTTTTTAGGTCACCCTTTTGACTAACTGATCAAAAGGGAACACTTTCACGGTTATAGTCTTAGTTCCTGGCGTTAGATGATCCTTTCACTGCCTAAGATTTCCTGAAGTGTGTTGGAAAGGTTAGAGATCTTATGAAAGGAGGCACTTGTGTGTGTGTGTGTGTATTTCCTCTAAGCGGCGTGAAGCGTGTTTGTACGGCAGCGGTGTCAGGATCTGTAGGAGATGTTCCTATAGGAGAGGATTCCTCTGTCAGGAGAAGCTGATGACCTGGAGCTCGTCCAGCAGAAACACGTTCAGATCTGTTTCTCACATACCTCAGTTGTCTGCAGCTTCAGACACACACTTCAGAGCAGAAACCACAACTAGAACCTTAACTTTCAGTAATTACACTTTAACAATAACGACACTGAGGAACAATAGCGCTGGAGTGACTTTCAGAATGAGTCTTTCCAGCTGGTGGATGAAGTCCGACTATGGAGAGCTCAGGCGTGTAAAGCTGCAGTCGACACAACCGAGCGTTAGAAGTGAACTAGGGCTGTCACTAGAGTTCGCACCCTTATCACGAAATTAAGCATACATCATTTATCTTGTTTAACGCGTTCATCATGTGCAATACCCAGCGTTCTGTACAGCTCTACGCCGGGTGTATTGCGGTGCGCTTAAAACTCATGTGTTTGCTCTAGCATTAGAAGATGCTTTGTAAGCAGTTGGTTTGCATTGGTGTTATGTTTTTATTTTCTCTTTTTCTCCTTGGTTCAACTTGTGGTGTTGAAAGTGCTCTATACAGTTGAGTTGACCCTCACACAAATATTTTCTGCAAGCTTTTTTCAAGGTAAATGTAGGTGTCTTTCCAAAAGGACACCAATAACCAAATAATAAAAGGAGTCCATATAATTCAGAAATATAATTCAGCACCCATTAAAAAAGAAAACTTTACAGAGAGAAATGTGTGAGAAGTCGAGTGTTTAGTGTGTGTAGAGCGACAGGTAAGAGCGGTTGACAGTGGTCAAATCATTTTAGTGACTCGAGTCTTTGAATCTCGTTCATCAAAATAAAGTCAATTAAATTAATTTAAGCAGAATATAATTATCATATAACATGTTAATAGCCATATTCCCCAAACACATTTACAATAAGACTGAAAGTGCAATGCTAAAGGCCAAACTATTATAAACAGAAACGATTGATTGATTGCTGTCTTTAGGATATGTAGTCTGTGAGGCGAGTCGCTCGCTCCTCCCGGGTCCGCATCAGTGGAGCATGCGGCCGGTACCGGACACCGGATCGGCTCGTTCTCTCGTCTCGGGTTCCAGTCTTTCAGCCTCTCGTCCCGGAGCTTAGTTGTGTGTTGTTATGAAGTTATCTTTGCTTTATCAAAGTGATATTTCTCATCACACAGAGACAGTTTAAAGCATTGCCAACTTCACAGTGTTATGGAAAAGAACCATGACAGAAATTCAAAAATATATAATTTGTAAGAAATAAAAAAAACCTATATTTTGAGACCGGGAGCACGGCATGTACCCGCAGGAGTTGAAGAACTAACAAATGCTCTTGTTTGTAAGGAAGTTTGGGAATTATGAACTCAGTTCTCTGTCACGCCACCGGACCACAGAACAGAAGACTCCGACGACTCGAGAGGGGAACTAATCATTTCTGTTTCCCGTACAGAACCCATAGAACCTTTAGAACCTTTAGTCAACATAAGATGAATGAATCCCTCTCTGAGACGACTCGGTGTTCCCCAGTCAAATTAAAGATTCGTTCGAAATGAGCGAATCGTTCATGACCGACCCATCACTACGGTCCATCACGACCTTACAGCGAGACGCCAGTTTGCGTATCATCTGCCGTACAGCGGTGTTTCCTCAGTCTGTATCTCACACACACACACACACACACACACTGAGTGGACGCGAGCCGGATGTTTTCCCGCTGTTGGGAGGAAGAGTGTTTTCAGTCGTCCGGCACTAAGGTTGGTTTTCTTCACACAGTGTTTCATCTTCTGCCTGTTGCATCCGCTGACCTGAGGAAACTCTCATGACTCTACAGAACACGGCCTGTGTGTGTGTGTGTGTGTTACAGAACACGGCCTGTGTGTGTGTGTTACAGAACACGGCCTGTGTGTGTGTGTGTGTGTTACAGAACACGGCCTGTGCTCATCTGTAGAGACATGAGTGTGTGACGGGAACTGCCTGCTGACTGAGACACAAACTCTGGTTTGTGGGATCATTCAGTGTTGAGAAGTGTGTGTGTGTGTGTGTGTGTGCATGTATTTGTGTGTTCAGCTGTCAGACGGTGACTGTGGTTTCTCCAGTGCTGTAGATTGATGCTCTTTACATCTACATAAACACACACTTCTTCTGGATTGTTTCCCAAAAATCTCACTTTCTTCTCAGTCTGTCGTGGCAATAAGCCGACCAGCCAGTCTCTCACACACTCACACACACACACACACACACTCACACACACACACACTCAGACACACACATCAGTGCTGCAGGTACGAGGAGAGAGTGAGACTTTATTCATAACACTGAGTCCAAACCAGATCTGATGCAACTGAAAGTTTGCTGGCGTTGTAACTCTAGAAACTGATCTCTGTAAATCCGTCACTCCAGTTTGTTCTGTGATTATCCTGAGGAATATCCGGCGATCCGGATCAGAACATGCAACACATGCAGAGTGACTTACATTCACACTCGTTCACCGTAACACTGTTAGAGCTGCGTCGGGTCACTGTGGTTTGGACTCGCGTATCGTTCCCCTCTTTCCTCTCCTTCCCCTCTTTCCTCTCGTTCCCCTCGTTCCTCTCCTTCCTCTCCTTCCCCTCTTTCCTCTCATTCCACTCGTTCCCCTCGTTCCTCTCGTTCCCCTCTTTCCTCTCCTTCCCCTCTTTCCTCTCCTTCCCTCTTTCCTCTCGTTCCCCTCGTTCCTCTCGTTCCTCTCTTCCTCTCCTTCCCCTCTTTCCTCTCATTCCACTCGTTCCTCTCGTTCCCCTCGTTCCTCTCGTTCCTCTCCTTCCCCTCGTTCCTCTCGTTCCTCTCATTCCTCTCATTCTCCTCGTTCCTCTCCTTCCCTCTTTCCTCTCGTTCCCCTCTTTCCTCTCCTTCCCCTCGTTCCTCTCCTTCCCCTCTTTCCTCTCATTCCACTCGTTCCTCTCGTTCCCCTCGTTCCTCTCGTTCCTCTCCTTCCCCTCGTTCCTCTCGTTCCTCTCATTCCTCTCATTCTCCTCGTTCCTCTCCTTCCCCTCTTTCCTCTCCTTCCCCTCTTTCCTCTCCTTCCCCTCTTTCCTCTCCTTCCCCTCTTTCCTCTCCTTCCCCTCTTTCCTCTCCTTCCCCTCGTTCCTCTCCTTCCCCTCTTTCCTCTCGTTCCCCTCGTTCCTCTCCTTCCTCTCATTCCACTCGTTCCCCTCGTTCCTCTCGTTCCTCTCCTTCCCCTCGTTCCTCTCGTTCCTCTCATTCCCCTCGTTCCTCTCTTTCCTCATGTTCCCCTCTTCCTCTCCTCTCTCCTTCCCCTCGTTCCCCTCGTTCCCCTCGTTCCTCTCCTTCCTCTCGTTCCCCTCTTTCCTCTCGTTCCCCTCTTTCCTCTCATTCCACTCGTTCCCCTCGTTCCTCTCGTTCCCCTCTTTCCTCTCGTTCCCTCTTTCCTCTCTTTCCTCTCGTTCCCCTCGTTCCTCTCTTTCCTCTCATTCACTCGTTCCTCTCGTTCCCCTCGTTCCTCTCCTTCCCCTCTTTCCTCTCCTTCCCCTCTTTCCTCTCCTTCCCCTCTTTCCTCTCGTTCCCCTCGTTCCCCTCGTTCCTCTCCTTCCTCTCATTCCACTCGTTCCCCTCGTTCCTCTCGTTCCTCTCCTTCCCCTCGTTCCTCTCGTTCCTCTCATTCCCCTCGTTCCTCTCTTTCCTCATGTTCCCTCTTCCTCTCCTTCCTCTCCTTCCCCTCGTTCCCCTCGTTCCCCTCGTTCCTCTCCTTCCTCTCGTTCCCCTCGTTCCTCTCGTTCCCCTCGTTCCCCTCGTTCCCCTCTTTCCTCTCATTCCCCTCGTTCCTCTCTTCCTCTCGTTCCCTCGTTCCCCTCGTTCCCCTCTTTCCTCTCATTCCCCTCGTTCCTCTCCTTCCTCTCGTTCCCCTCGTTCCTCTCGTTCCCTCGTTCCCTCGTTCCCCTCTTTCCTCTCATTCCCCTCGTTCCTCTCTTTCCTCTCGTTCCCCTCGTTCCCCTCGTTCCCCTCTTTCCTCTCATTCCCCTCGTTCCTCTCCTTCCTCTCGTTCCCCTCGTTCCTCTCGTTCCCCTCGTTCCCTCGTTCCCCTCTTTCCTCTCATTCCCCTCGTTCCTCTCTTTCCTCACGTTCCCCTCGTTCCTCTTGTTCCTTCCTTCCCCTCGTTCCTGTCCTTCCTCTCTTTCCTCTCATTCTCCTCGTTCCTCTCTTTCCTCATGTTCCCCTCTTTCCTCTCCTTCCTCTCCTTCCCTCGTTCCCCTCGTTCCCCTCGTTCCTCTCCTTCCTCTCGTTCCCCTCGTTCCTCTCGTTCCCCTCGTTCCCCTCTTTCCTCTCATTCCCCTCGTTCCTCTCGTTCCCTCGTTCCCCTCGTTCCCCTCTTTCCTCTCATTCCCCTCGTTCCTCTCCTTCCTCTCGTTCCCCTCGTTCCTCTCGTTCCCCTCGTTCCCCTCGTTCCCCTCTTTCCTCTCATTCCCCTCTTTCCTCTCGTTCCCCTCGTTCCCCTCGTTCCCCTCTTCCTCTCATTCCCCTCGTTCCTCTTTCCTCACGTTCCCCTCGTTCCTCTTGTTCCTCTCCTTCCCTCGTTCCTGTCCTTCCTCTCTTTCCTCTCATTCTCCTCGTTCCTCTCTTTCCTCATGTTCCCCTCTTCCTCTCCTTCCTCTCCTTCCCCTCGTTCCCCTCGTTCCCCTCGTTCCTCTCCTTCCTCTCGTTCCCCTCGTTCCTCTCGTTCCCCTCGTTCCCCTCTTCCTCTCATTCCCCTCGTTCCTCTCGTTCCCCTCGTTCCCCTCGTTCCCCTCTTTCCTCTCATTCCCCTCGTTCCTCTCCTTCCTCTCGTTCCCCTCGTTCCTCTCGTTCCCCTCGTTCCCCTCGTTCCCCTCGTTCCCCTCGTTCCCCTCTTCCTCTCATTCCCCTCTTTCCTCTCGTTCCCCTCGTTCCCTCGTTCCCCTCTTTCCTCTCATTCCCCTCGTTCCTCTCCTTCCTCTCGTTCCCCTCGTTCCTCTCGTTCCCCTCGTTCCCCTCGTTCCCCTCTTTCCTCTCATTCCCCTCGTTCCTCTCTTTCCTCACGTTCCCCTCGTTCCTCTTGTTCCTCTCCTTCCCCTCGTTCCTCTCCTTCCTCTCTTTCCTCTCATTCTCCTCGTTCCTCTCTTTCCTCATGTTCCCCTCTTTCCTCTCCTTCCTCTCTTCCCTCGTTCCCCTCGTTCCTCTCCTTCTCTCGTTCCCCTCGTTCCTCTCGTTCCCCTCGTTCCCCTCGTTCCCCTCTTTCCTCTCATTCCCCTCGTTCCTCTCTTTCTCTCGTTCCCCTCGTTCCCCTCGTTCCTCTCTTTCCCCTCGTTCCTCTCCTTCCTCTCTTTCCTCTCATTCCCTCGTTCCTCTCTTCCTCATGTTCCCTCTTTCCTCTCCTTCCTCTCCTTCCCCTCGTTCCCCTCGTTCCTCTCCTTCCCCTCGTTCCTCTCCTTCCTCTCTTTCCTCTCATTCTCCTCGTTCCTCTCTTTCCTCTCCTTCCTCTCGTTCCCCTCGTTCCTCTCTTTCCTCTCGTTCCCCTCGTTCCCTCGTTCCTCTCTTTCCCCTCGTTCCTCTCCTTCCTCTCTTTCCTCTCATTCCCCTCGTTCCTCTCTTTCCTCATGTTCCCCTCTTTCCTCTCCTTCCTCTCCTTCCCCTCGTTCCCCTCGTTCCTCTCCTTCCTCTCGTTCCCCTCGTTCCTCTCCTTCCTCTCTTTCCTCTCATTCTCCTCGTTCCTCTCTTTCCTCTCGTTCCATCTGTCTGACAGACAGATGATGTTTCAGATCTAATCAAACACCAGCTGTCAGTCAAACTTCACCTGTGCAGCCGGTGCTTGTGATTAGATGGACTGTTGTTCATCAGCTGTACATATTGACCGCCGGAGTGTGAGTGAGTGTGTGTGTGTGTGTGTGTGTGTGTGTGTGTGTGTGATGCTCTTGTCTCCACTGTGTTTGCAGTGCCAATGCCCAGAAGGCTTCGCTTCAGAGAGTTGAGCTCCAACAGGCTGAGTGTGAGCTGGAAGGAGCCGAAGGGAGAGTTTGACGGATACACACTCGCGTACAGCACCGGCTCAGGTGAGCTCTGATACACACTCGCGTACAGCACCGGCTCAGGTGAGCTCTGATACACACTCGCGTACAGCACCGGCTCAGGTGAGCTCTGATACACACTCGCGTACAGCACCGGCTCAGGTGAGCTCTGATACACACTCGCGTACAGCACCGGCTCAGGTGAGCTCTGATACACACTCGCGTACAGCACCGGCTCAGGTGAGCTCTGATACACACTCGCGTACAGCACCGGCTCAGGTGATTGCTGAGATCCCGAAGCAGATCTGCCCAGATATAATAACACAGCGGATGTGTCCGGTAGCGATTTACAGCTAGTGCTGCTCGTGACGCCATGTAAAGGATAATGTACATTAAGCCGGTTGTTATCTCAGAATACAACCGACAGGAGGATCAGGATCAGGTCTTCCTAACCCTAACCCTAACCCTAACCCAGCTTGAAGGGGGTTTATTCTGAGCTAACAACCGGTTTAATGTACATTATCCCACTTATTACACAGCTGCTTACCACATTATTAAATAATTAGACAATTAAATATATTGATCTGAGTTTAAATAGATCTTTAATTGCAAAGAGATTAAATGTGTTGTGTTCAGCAGGAGCCGAGCATGAGCTGAACGTGAGTAAGTCTGAGCCCAGAGCCGTGATCGAGGGGTTTGACCGCAGGAGAGAGGTCAGTGTGAAGGTCACGGCCCTCAGAGGGAAGGAGCGGAGCGAAGCGCTGCAGGGCAGATACAGCGGTCAGTGTTTTACTCTCACCCTGCGCACACCTACACACACCTGACTGTGCTCCTGATGTGTCTCTGTCTGTGCTCCTGTCAGGATCGGGATCGGAGGTGAGTGTCGTCGGGGTGCCGCTCCATCAGCAGGGCAGTGGCGGGTCAAATGATGGCATCACTGGAGGTGAGGAGAAACAGCACTGAAGATGAAGCTGGTCAGCGAGTCCATGTACAGCTGTTCTGTTCATAAATCGCCTGACTTGTTAAAACCCTTTCCAACAGTCCAGGCATTTTAACATGCGGGCGATGCAGATTTGACTCCTGCCTCAAGTGGCCAGTCGATGAACTGCAGTTTAATTCACTTCCGTGTTGGTTTCGAGAGAGAGACGGGGCGGGTGCCCCTTGGTGTTCCCATGATCTTCACTTTAGGATATTAGCTAATGAACGCTATGACTTACTAACTCATTACTCAGAGTTTCTTCTTAGTTGATAGTTGTAACTAGAAAGTTAATTATGTGTTACTCATTTGTTCCTGTGTTAATGAAGGATTCATCATTAATGAAGGAACAGTGTTGTCTTGTTTCCAGTACTAATATCTAAACATTCTTAAATCAAGATACCGTTAGTGGAGAAGAAAAATTACTGAAGATATTAAGAATTGTTTAATGTTTAAATAATAAAGAAGAAAAATCTGAATTTAAAAGGAAAATCAATTTTCTGGCAGATATTTGCTCATGTTTTAATCATAAACTCACTTCGTTTTGACTCTTTTCTCATAAAACAACTCAATATGTTCAGTAATTTTGTGTCTCCAGTAACTGTATCTTGATTTATGAATGTTTAGATCTTAGTGTAAATGATTTTGTCTTGAGGGAAATATCTTCAGGACTGAAGGTTTAATCGTAGGAACTAAACGCAGCAGACGAGGTTTGTACAAACTATATTTAGTCTGAGTTTAAATGGAGGTTGAGCTCCGAGACCGCAGAGGCTCATGGGTTGTGGCTTGGCAAACGTCACATTACCGTGGAGATTGATGGCTTGTTTGTGTGTGTGATTTATAATAAACGAGATTATAGGGGCTGAAGAGAGAGAGAACGTGCTGTAAATCTTCCCAGAAGCCTTTATGCTCCTGATCTCCCTTGAGTCTGTCATTCCCAGTAAACGGTGGCGTTTATGTGGAACCATCTCAGCTCGGGACGCTTTAGATTTGTGCTCTTCTGATGAGACTGAGTTGTGCGACTCTGATAAATCACACATTAGGTTAGGCCTTTGTGTAACGACCGTCACACTGAAACGGTTCTGGATCCTGCCGTCTCTGCAAGTCTACACTAGAGACATACTTTCATTCTTCTCTCTCCGTGTGTCTCGTAGGCATGCAGGTGTTAATCTCTGTAGCCTGTAGTCATCATCGGTCTCTCTCTCTCTCTCTCAGCTCTAAGTCACTAACCCTAACCCACACTGTAATACCTGTGTTTGTGTGTCGAGGGATGTGGATGATCCCTGATCTTAATGTCAACATGAAACCTTGTTTGTAACTCGTCTGGACACATTTCAGAGTGACGTTCAATATTTGACCTACGACAGATTGAATAGACGGGGGAGAAAAGAGTGATGAAGTTTTCATGTTGACTGTCTCTGAAATTCAAGTTCAAAGGTCAAAGGAATGAACTTGCTATGAACTACACCTTATCTTTCCTCACGCTGACCCCACTCGACCTCACGCTGACCCCTACTCGACCCCTCACGGCAGACTCTCACTAACGCTTCCGGCTCATGTTTTAATGAACGGCTGCGCGCTGAAGGGTTAGTGTGTAGAGTGAAGTCTGCTGGTTTGGTGTTGTTGGTCTCTTTCAAGCTGTCGATGTGACTCTAAGGTTCAAACGTTACAAACTGACTAAAAAATATAGATTTAGAATATATCTGAGCGATGTTTATCTCTTGTTTAGTTCCTGATCAAATGAAAATGCTTAATGTAGTTAATCATAGCCAATTATATGAAGCTCTGGCTAAATTTGACTTCATCTGAAGTCATTAAAGAAACAAACGTTTAATATTCATGTTTTCAGATGTATAAGACCCCTGACTTCTGAAAGAACATGTCCCTAATGTGTATAGACTTGACAGAGCATGGCATTGTGGGTAAAAGCAAATCTGGGAGTGAAAGATAAAAGCAGAGAGTTTAAGGGGAGAAGAGCTGAGATGTGCAGATGAGCGTGTTACAGCATGAAGAGCAGAACACACACACACACACACACACACGTCACCTTCATTCATACAGCGCTTTAACAACACAGACTTTCACAGCAGCGTTACAGTGATTACAGGAGATTACAGTCACAGAGAGAGTTTCACCTTTACAGCAGATCTAGAATAAAGTTATTGTGCAGATAAAGTTAGTTTTGATTGATTCACTTCTGTTGTAAAGATCGTTAGTGATTAAACTTAGCGGCCGCTAACACTCCGGCCGCTCACAGTGTGTAGAGCTCGAGAACGCAGACCTTGAATAGGATCCACGGTGCATGCCTTGACATTATTATTATTTTTATCTCTGCGCAAACGTCAAAAACCAAACGTATGAAAACACACACGGCGTTCACAGCAGAGGGACTCGTGGACACTGCAGGACTGGTCACAGGTCCATCATCAGATCTGGAGTGTGTGTGTGTGTGTGCTCGTACCACGGCTTTGGACTATTTTCTTTAATCTTCTTTAAGCGCAATGGAGAAACCGCATCTAACGTGCTGGAAAAGAGAGAGTTAAAAGTTTCTGTCGCGATATGGAGTTCTTCTGAGCTCTCCGGGATGCTGAGATGATGAAACTGATTAGGAAGATTATTGATAAAGCAATCTTTAATGGCAGAAGTTATAGGTCTAACATATTTATAATACAGAGTCAGCTTTGCTGCTTTGGCTAAGTAAAGTTTACATGATAGTTTCGGTCAGACAGCACATCTAGATGATAATCTGAAATCATGTCAATACAATAAGTGCAACACAAGCTTTATCAGTTGTTCATGTGTGTTATATCTGTTCTGTCAGCACACACACACACACACACACACACACACATGCTCTCTAATGTAATGTCAGTGTTTCTCCACAGGTGACCGCGTCTGTCAGCAGCTCTTCTTCTCAGCGGATCGGAGGAGGTTCAGGGTCGTTTCTCTGCACATTAGTGATGTAGTAGAAAGATCCCACAGTCCAAAACTGAAATAAAGACGTTCATGAAGAGTGTTTTTGTCATGTCATTTGAGTCTTTTTGTCATGTCACTGCACACACACACTACTGAGAAACATGTAGAAGTTAAAACCGCTTGTGTTCACAGCAGATAGACCAGCTGACGAGACTTACACAAGAATAACTGGCAGTACTTTTAAATAATCGCTGTAACTCTAAGAGAACAGTGATGTCACTTCTACAATAGCTATAACCATCAATATAACTATGAAGTGTCTATAATCGCTGTACCTGAGAGAGTCGGTGTGTGTGTGTGTGTGTGTCTGTCTCCACAGAGGACATCTTCACATGTAAGACTCCAGCTGTCGCCGATATCGTGATCCTGGTCGACGGATCCTGGAGTATCGGCCGGATTAATTTCCGTTTGGTGCGGATGTTCCTGGAAAGTCTCGTCAGGGCCTTCGCGGTCGGTTCTGAACACACACGAGTTGGTGCGTCCGTGGCCTTGTGTTTTTATTGGTGTGTTTGTCTGTACTTGTGAGGGCAAAATGTCCACAACTTGTGTGTGTGTGTGTGTGTGTGTGTGTGCAGGGCTGGCGCAGTACAGTGGGGATCCTCGGGTCGAGTGGCATCTAAACACCCACAGCACTAAAGAGGCCGTGATCGACGCTGTGAAGAATCTGCCTTATAAAGGAGGAAACACACTCACAGGTTCAAACACACACATCTTAGATCGACATGACTTCATCATCACTCTTAAAGGGGTAGTTTCAAATGAAAATTAGCCCATGATTTACTCACCTTGAACTCATCCTTGGCGTTTATGACACTGGCCTAATTTTCGTTTGAAAGTGACGTTCTCCTTTAATGCGTCTGTTCTGTATGTTCATGTGTGTTTTTCCCAGGTCTTGCTTTGACGTATATTTTGGAGAACAGCTTTAAACCTGAATCTGGATCCCGACCTGAGGTTCCTAAGATTGGGATTCTGATCACGGATGGGAAATCGCAGGATGATGTTCAGTCTCCTGCTCAGAGACTCAGAGATGCTGGGATCGAGCTGTTTGCTATCGGTATGAGGACAATATCAACTGTGACGGGTTCATTAATGGAAGCTCATTTATTAGAGGAGGGCGATATGAACATGGACAAACACAGAGAACACTGAGATCTTTGATATCAAAAATAAGACCTAAAATACAAAGACTTGGATGATATAAACATGCTTTATGTTTTTCAAGAACAGTAAGAATAATACAGATATTAATCAAATATTAAATAACACTGCATAGTCTTCACTGTAGGAATTAAATATAAATTGATGCTCATTCAAGCTACAAATGTATTCAGTGAGTGAGAGTTTGAGTTTTCATCCTCCGTTTTCTAATTTCTTTACATGTCAATTACTAAAGTAGAATATATTCACATAACTCATTATATACAACCTCTATTGATAGCAACTACCCATAATGCACTGGCGTGTTTCTCATGTGTTTCTGTAGGGGTGAAGAACGCGGATGAGAATGAGCTGAGAGCCATCGCCTCACCACCCGAGGACACACACATGTACAACGTAGCGGACTTCAGTGTGATGAGCTCCATTGTGGAGGGAGTGACCCAGAGTGTGTGTGAGCGCGTCTCTGAGATCAGCCGAGAGATCAGCGGTGGGTTCTGGGATCAGCGGTGGGTTCTGGGGGTTCTGGGATCAGCGGTGGGTTCTGGGATCAGGGGTGGGTTCTGGGGGCTCTAGGATTAGCGGTGGGTTCTGTGATCAGCGGTGGGTTCTGGGATCAGCGATGGGTTCTGGGATCAGCAGTGGGTTCTAGGATCAGCGGTGAGTTCTGGGGGCTCTAGGATCAGCGGTGGGTTCTAAGATCAGGGGTGGGTTCTGGGATCAGCAGTGGGTTCTGGGATCAGCGATGGGTTCTGTGATCAGCGGTGAGTTCTGGGGGCTCTAGGATCAGCGATGGGTTCTGTGATCAGCGGTGGGTTCTGGGATCAGCGATGGGTTTTGGGGGTTTTGGAGATCTCAGATACTATTAAAGTCTCACACTCTAATTGTAGCGTCTGTGACTGACAAGAAACTAATTTCTGTTTGACTGTGTTCTGCGTGATTCTTTGAGCTACTCGCTGATAAAATGCACAATGAGAACCTTTATCAGAGCTCCAACTTAATATTTACACATTTACAGTGCAAAAAAGTATTGATTATTTAACTTTACAGAAATAAATTCAGAAACCTGTCTTATTTTCACTTAAACCCTCAAGCTTTTATTTTAGCAAAAAACTGCAGAGAGACCTTTAACTTTCTGTAAAACAGATTCTCAGCACAAATAAAGGGAAATGCTGTAAACATCTGTCAAAAAAAACACTTGTCTATGTGTTTTAACATATTAAATCAACATTGAACTGTATTGAGGTAAATAATGACACTTGTCTTCTTCAGAGCTTCTTTACAGCTGGTACAGTTGAAGGGTCAAAGGTCACATATATCCTGTTTTGATGGTGTAAAGTTTGTGTTTGGCATTTGTGTGTGTTTCAGGTGAGACAGAGTCGCATTCAAGGTCACTTGACGCTCCCAGTGACCTTGTGACCTCTGAGGTCACGGCCAGGAGCTTCCGTGTGTCGTGGACTCACGCTGCTGGGCCGGTGGAGAAGTACAGAGTGGTGTATTATTCATCCAGTGGAGTCAGACCTGAGGAGGTGTGTGTGTGTGTGTGTGTGTGTGCAGATTTGTTTATATTTATGAGGGCCACATCTTCAAAACATCTTCAGGAATCCAGTCAAACATGTCGCTTCTGAGGAGGTTTTTGGCTGGCCTCAATAATAATGTATTATTTTGCATATACATCTGCAAATGTAGATTTATCAGATATTGTGCCTAGTGAAACACTCGTGTGCCTCCGTGTGGTGCAGGTGGTGGTGAACGGTGACGAGAACTCTGTGGTGTTGAGGTTTCTGAACTCTCTGACGGAGTATCAGATCACTGTGTTCGCCATTTACAGCAACTCAGCCAGTGAAGCTCTGAGAGGCATCGAGACCACCTGTGAGTGCAGAATCTATACATCTCATCTCATCTATACATCACATCTGATCTATACATCACATCTCATCTATACATCCATCTGATCTATACATCACATCTCATCTATACATCACATCTGATCTATACATCACATCTCATCTATACATCACATCTAATCTATACATCACATCTCATCTATACATCACATCTAATCTATACATCACATCTGATCTATACATCACATCTCATCTATACATCCATCTGATCTATACATCACATCTGATCTATACATCACATCTCATCTATACATCACATCTAATCTATACATCACATCTGATCTATACATCACATCTCATCTATACATCCATCTGATCTATACATCACATCTCATCTATACATCCATCTGATCTATACATCACATCTGATCTATACATCACATCTCATCTATACATCCATCTGATCTATACATCACATCTCATCTATACATCCATCTGATCTATACATCACATCTCATCTATACATCCATCTGATCTATACATCACATCTCATCTATACATCACATCTGATCTATACATCACATCTCATCTATACATCACATCTGATCTATACATCACATCTCATCTATACATCCATCTGATCTATACATCACATCTCATCTATACATCACATCACATCTATACATCACATCACATCTGATCTATACATCACATCTGATCTATACATCACATCTGATCTATACATCACATCTCATCTATACATCACATCTGATCTATACATAAAATCTCATCTATACATCCATCTGATCTATACATCACATCTCATCTATACATCACATCACATCTGATCTATACATCACATCTGATCTATACATCACATCTAATCTATACATCCATCTGATCTATATATCACATCACATCTGATCTATACATCACATCTGATCAATACATCACATCACATCTGATCATTACATCCATCTGATCTAAACATCCATCTGATCTTTATATCACATCACATCTGATCTGATCAATACATCACATCTGATCATTACATCCATCTGATCTATACATCCATCTGATCTATATATCACATCACATCTGATCAATTAATTCATATCTGATGAAACTCATCTGTTTTATTCGTCTGATTTATTACACTGATTTATTATACTGATCTATAATTTTCGGCTGAACTGATGGATTGTGTGCCCGGTCAGTTTTCTGCTGTGCTTCAGTGATTGGTTGATTGTTGTGTTTGGTCAGTGGCGCTGCCGACGGTCAGCAGTCTGGAGCTGTATGACATCACTCACAGCACCATGCGTGTGCGCTGGCGAGAGGCAGAAGGGGCTTCTGGGTACATGATCCTGTACGCGCCTCTGACGGAGGGCGACCCCGCGGATGAGAAGGAGGTCGAATACACACACACACACACACTTTCACGTGTGAACATCTCGTTTCCCAGACACACACACTCTAGATGTACTTATCAGTAAGGGTTTAAACATCTCATTGATTGTTTTGCACTGTAATCTCTCCTGCCATTGGAGCTAGATCTGTGTCTGTCAAGAAGAGAAGCTTAAATGTGAACACTAGGGTGCCGTTTACACACACCAAACGGATTATTAGGAACACCTGTTCAATTTCTCATTAATGTAATTATCTAATCAACCAATCACATGGCAGTTGTTTCAGTGCATTTAGGGGTGTGGTCCTGATCAAGACAATCTCCTGAACTCCAAACTGAATGTCAGAATGGGAAAGAAAGGGGATTTGAGCAGTTTTGAGCGTGGCATGGTTGTTGGTGTCTGATTATTTCACAATCTGCTCAGTTACTGGGATTTTCACACACAACCGTTTCTAGGGTTTACAAAGAATGGTGTGGAAAGGGAAAAACATCCAGTATGGGTCAGTCCTGTGGGAGAAAATGCCTTGTTGATGTGAGAGGTCAGAGGAGAATGGGCCGACTGATTCAAGCTGATAGAAGAGCAACTTTGACTGAAATAACCACTCGTTACAACCGAGGTATGCAGACAACACACACAACCTTGAGGCGGATGGGCTACAACAGCAGAAGACCCCACCGGGTACCACTCATCTCCACTACAGATAGGAGAAAGAGGCGACAATCTGCAAGAGCTCACCAAAACTGGACAGTTGAAGACTGGAGAAATGTTGCCTGGTCTGATGAGTCTGGATTTCTGTTGTTCATTCAGATGGTAGAGTCCGAATTTGGCGTAAACAGAATGAGAACATGATCCATCATGCCTTGTTCCCACTGTTGGGCTGGTGGTGGTGGTGTAATGGTGTGGGGGATGTTTTCTTGGCACACTTTAGGCCCCTTAGTGCCGATCGCAGCTAGAACCAGGAGATCAGGTGTGCTCCTACAGTATCACATTCAAATCCAGACTCAAAACACTTCTGTTTAGCTGTGCATTTACTGAATGAGCACTGTGCCACTGTTCGTCCAGTTTTACTGCACTTCATTTTATTTTTTGTTCTAAACTGTTTTAATTATTCTTATTTGTTTTGATTATTTAAATTTCTTCTATGTAAAGCACTTTGAATTACCATTGTCTATGAAATGTGCTTCATAAATAAACTTGCCTTGCCTTCCCTACAGGTTAAAGTGTCCGACTCTGTGACTCAGATTGAACTGGAAGGTTTAACTCCTGCTACCGAATACACAGTAACGGTTTACGCCATGTACGGAGAGGAGGCCAGCGACCCCATGACCGCGCAGGAGACCACGCGTGAGTACATCACACACACACACACACACACACATGTACACAGAACATCACACTCATGGCAGAACATCACACACACATCAGAACCAATCCACCTGTCACTCAAGTGGCCACGCCCTTAATTATGCAGAACTTTAAGGCTTAATATAGTTTAAATGGATGAGTTGTACATTTTTTTTCCCATAGACCCTCAAGTCAAAATGTCCAACTTTACAGCAGAAGAAAAACATGTTCACAGTCTGGTCAGCGTTAGGGTCATTAGCGATAGAGGCCAAAACCACTTTTTGCACCAGACTGTGAACATGTTTTTCTTCTGCTGTAAAGTTTTGCCATTTTAACATGCAGGTCTCATCTGCAGCGCCTCTAGTGGCCAGTGGAGGAACTGCAGTCTAACTCACTCAGTGTTCAGAGAGAGAGAGACAGGAAGTAGGAGAATCCCATCGTATCTTCTCTCTGATTCTCTCCTCAGTTCGTCTGACTCCTGCTCGTAATCTGCGCATCTCAAACGTGAATCACAGCTCCGCTAAACTATCCTGGGATGCGGCGTCTCGGAAGGTCAAAGGTTACCGCATTGTTTATGTAAAGACAGATGCCGTGCAGACCAATCAGGTGAGCGCTCAGCCGGTCGCTGGGACTGGATTGCTGTGGCATGTATCTGACCTTTGACCCTTCGTTGACCCCAGTTGGAAGTGGGTCCGGTAACCACGGTGATGCTGCGTAACCTGAGCTCCGTGACGGAGTACACCGTCGCCATCTTGGCTCTCTATGAGGAGGGGCAAGCAGAAGCGCTGAGCGACACGTTCACCACCAGTGAGTCACACACACACACACACACACACACACACACACAAATCACATCTTTAAATTAGTGCTGTCAGCGTTAACGCATGCGATTCATTTTTGTCCAGTTTAACGCCTTAAAATATTTAACGCAATTAGCGAAGAGTCTGTTCATTTTTGCCATCCTCTGGGTAGCGTTACACTATATGATCCCGCTCTTCTTCATGCTAAGGCTTTCAAACCATCCAAGCGTGACAAGAAGAAAGAGGCCGCACTGTGTGTGAATGTCCTGTCTATGTGACACACACCACACACACGCACAGACACACAGATGAACAATAACACATACATTTATGTCTTTATGTCAGTTTTGTCGAGTATCCTCATAAGAGCGGCCTTAAATTAGTCAAATTAAGTCCTGAATGATTGTAACGAGTTGAGAGAGAGCGCGGCGTTCGAGATCCGCTTGCAGCTCTTAAAGGGACAGGCGCCACTAAAGCCTCCTGTCAGTAGCTGATCCCAGAACAGAGGAAATCACTCGCTGCTCGCCACTAAACAACAGGTGCTTTAATAGCTGTGAAATTATTACATTAATATAAAACTAGTATAAACCTATAGAAATTAAGTGTTTTAAATGGCTATTAATCAAAGAAAAAAAATCTGTGATTAATCGAGTTAAATTTTTAATTGATTGACAACACTAATTTATATCAATGCCAAATGTTAATTTACTCTACTTAATATAGTTAAATTAAACCATTTAGTATAAATAAACAGAAGAAGCTTCCGGTGCAATGATATATATATATATATATATATATAATCATGATAGATAATTTGTGTGTGTGTGTATGTGTGTGTAGGTGTGGTCCCTCTGCCGCTGAGTCTCAGCTCCAGTGACGTCTCCACGGACAGCTTCAGAGTGATGTGGAAACATGCGGCGTCTGACGTCTCGTTCTACAGACTCACCTGGAGACCGGCAGCAGGAGGAGAGACTAAAGAGGTACACACACACACACACACACGTGTGCATACACACACATACACACACACACACACACACATACATACACACACACACGCATGCGCATGCATACACACACACTCACCCTCACACACACTCTTAAACACGCACGTATGCACACAGACCCTCACACACACCAGCACACATGCACATACACACACACACACACACGCACACACACACAGACACAGACACACACACACGCAAGTTCCCTAAGTTCCCCAAACTGTGACTCCCATGACCCAAACACAGTGACATCATCAGGAATGAGGTGGATGACATCATTAATATTTGATAAACATTCTTGTAATGTTGAGAGAAAACATTCAAATGTAGCGTTCTCATAACAACACATAACCGAGGAATCAGTGTGTGTGTGTGTGTGTGTGTGTGTAAGTGTGTAGGTTCTCATCAACGATAACTCAACCTGGTGTGTGTGTGTGTGTGTGTGTGTGTGTGTGTGTGTGTGTGTGTGTGCAGGTTCTCATCAACGATAACTCAACCTGGTGTGTGTGTGTGTGTGTGTGTGTGTGTGTGTGCAGGTTCTCATCAACGATAACTCGACCTGGTTTGTCATCACGGGTCTCCAGCCTCTGACTGAGTATGAAGTTTCTCTGTCTGGGATGTACAGAGATGAGTCTGAGAGCGAAGCCGTGGAGATCAGTCAAACCACAGGTCTGACGTCACTGTTCATCAGACTTTCTCTAAACACACATCTAACGTCAGATCGTAAATGACTGTTTAAAATCTGTTTTTTTGCTTCTTTGTCTCTAATTGTATTTTAAGTTGCCAGAACAACACCAGTTACTACAACGACCGTCAGAACGTCTACAGCCGGTAAAATCTCTCAGTCTTTCATGTGTTTCTGTCATCAGTTTTCCTGAATCAGAAACGCTTACATACATGTGATGTTTGATCACATAATTCACATATTTTTTTCGTCTTTAGTTAGTGATTAGTTAGTTGGTTGTTTGTTTGTTTAGTTGGTTGGTTGGTTGGTTGGTTGGTTAGTTTGTTGATTGATTAGTTAGTTGCTTATTAGTTGGTAGTTGGTTGTTTGGTTAGTTAACTGTTTGGTTAGTTAGTTAGTTAGTTAGTTAGTTAGTTAGTTAGTTAGTTAGTTAGTTAGTTAGCTAGTTGGTTGTTTTGTTGGTTGGTTAGTTAGTTGATTGTTTGGTTGGTTTTTGGTTGGTTGGTTAGTGGGTTACTTTTTTGGCTGTTTTTTGGTTGGTTGGTTAGTTAGTTGGTTGTTTGTTTGGTTCGTTGGATGTTTGGTCGGTTAGTTGGCTGTTTGTTTGGCTGGCTGGTTGTTTGGTTAGTTAGTTGGTTGTTCGGTTGGTTAGTTAGTTGGATGTTTGGTTGGTTAGTTTGTTGGTTGGTTAGTTGGTTGTTTGAATTGTTAGTTGGTTGATTGGTTAGTTTGTTGGTTGTTTCCTAAATCAGAAATGCTTACATACATGTGATGTTCGATCGCATAATTAACAATATCTCAAATATGTTTTTCGTCTTTGGTTAGTGATTATTTAGTTGGTTGTTTGGTTGGTTGGTTGGTTGGTTAGTTGGTTGGTTGTTTGGTTAGTTGGTTAGTTGGTTGGTTAGTTTGTTGGTTGATTAGTCAGTTGCTTTGTTGGTTATTAGTTATTAGTTGGTTTGTTGGTTAGTTAACTGGTTGGTTAGTTAGTTAGTTAGTTAGTTAGTTAGTTGTTTGTTTTGTTGGTTGGTTAGTTGATTGGTTGGTTGGTTGGTTAGTTGGTTACTTTTTTTGGCTGTTTTTTGGCTGGTTGGTTAGTTAGTTGTTTTTTTGGTTGGTTAGTTAGTTGGTTGTTTGTTTGGTTAGTTGGATGTTTGGTCGGTTAGTTGGCTGTTTGTTTGGCTGGCTGGTTGTTTGGTTGGTTAGTTGGTTGTTCGGTTGGTTAGTTAGTTGGATAATTGGTTTGTTGGTTGGTTAGTTGGTGGTTTGAATCGTTAGTTGGTTGATTGGTTAGTTAGTTGGTTGTTTCCTGAATCAGAAACGCTTACATACATGTGATGTTTGATTGCATAATTCACAATATCTCAAATGTGTTTTTCGTCTTTGGTTAGTGATTAGTTAGTTGGTTGTTTGGTTGGTTAGTTGGTTGTTTGGTTGGTTGGTTGGTTGTTTGATTAGTTAGTTGGTTGATTGGTTAGTTAGTTGGTTGTTTGGTTTGTTAGTTGGTTGTTTGGTTGGTTGGTTAGTTAGTTAGTTAGTTAGTTAGTTAGTTAGTTAGTTGGTTGGTTGTTTGTTTGGTTAGTTGGTTGGTTGTTTGGTTGGATGTCAGGGTTGGTTAGTTAGTTGGTTTGGTTAGTTAGTTGGTTGTTTGGTTAATTAGTTGGTTATTTGGTTGTTTAGTTTGTTGTTTGGTTGGTTAGTTAATTAGTGTGCTTATTATGTGCTTGTTCATATGTGTGTGTGTGTGTGTGTGTGCGTGTGCGTGCAGTGCAGCGTCTGGCCATCAGGAATCTGCAGCTGAGTGACATGACGACCTTCAGCATGCGTGTGTCATGGGACGCTGCGGGTCCAAACGTGCGTCAATACCGTGTGTCCTACATCAGCACGCGAGGGGACCGCGCAGAACAGGTGGTGAGTGTGTGAATCTCACATTCAGTCTACTCGTACATGTGTGTGTCATTCAGAAATTGCTTTCACCAACATGATCAGGATAGCAAACAGGATTTATTGAAATTGCAATATAAATTGAGATCAAATACCTTTGTGTTCTAGCAAGTGTATTTATGAATTTATAGCTGTCATGGATTTCAAGCTGTAGAAAAAGAGATTAGCATCAGTCCATTTCTCCTCCAAAAGCCCTTTGGCTCTGAAAGTATTTTGTCTTCTGTTGGATTTGGAAGCGTGTTTTTCTCTTTATCGCTTTCATCTGTGGGAGAGTCCAGCTCTGGCCCTGAGTGTGTCTGTCTTCACCGCGGGATCATTCTCTGTGATGAGTGTGTGTTTTCTCTGCTGTGATGTGTGTGTGTGTGTGTGTGTGTGTGTGTTTGCAGGCGATGGTTCCCGCGTCTCAGACCTCAGTGTTGCTGCAGCCTCTCCTGTCGGACACTGAATACAGCGTTAGTGTGTCTGCGATCTACAGTTCTGGCGACGGCCCGCCCATCGCACGCCTTGCTCGCACACGTGAGTCTCCTCTCTCACACACACACACACACACACACTGAGTAAAGCATCAGTGTGTCTGCGATCTACAGTGCCGGCCTGCCCATCACATGCCTCGCTCGCACACGTGAGTTCCCTCACTCAGGACTTCTGGGTAATATTGGAACATCTCCATTAATGTCTTCTGCATTAATGTTGAGTTTTTTTTAGCTAAACATGAATCCAAGACATCATAATTAAAATATTATCAGGTAAATCCTGTTCAAAATGAATCTCACAAAACAGAAAATGTGACCTTCCATGTCAACTTCCTGTCCCTAGTAAACAGCCTGACAGATGAGCGGGTCAGTGGTGTATATGTTCACCCAGATGAGTAATGAGCTCATCCTCCTCCTCTTCCTCACTCCTCCTCTTCCTCCTCCCCTTCCTCATTCCTCCTCCTTCCCTCTTTCTCCTCCCCCTTCTCTTCCCCTTCCTCACTCCTCCTCCTTCCCTCTTTCTCCTGCCCCTTCTCTTCCCCTTCCTCACTCCTCCTCCTCTTCTTCACTCCTCCTCTTCCTCCTCAGTGCCTCTCTCCGCTCCCAGTGGCCTCCGTGTGTCTGAGGAATGGTACAACCGCTTTCGCATCAGCTGGGACTCACCGCCCTCTCCCACCATGGGCTACAGGATCGTGTACCAGCCCACCTCAGGTACCACACACTAGCTCACACACACACACACACACACACACACACACACACACACACACACACACACACACACACACTCACTCACTCACTCACTCACTCGCACACTAACTTCCTCACACACACACTCACACACACACTCACACACTCACATACTAACTCCCACACACTCACACACTCACTCTCTCACACACACTTGCCGCGCACTGACCTCACAGCTGACCTCTGACCTCCCGGCAGCGGCCGCTCGTGCTCTGGAGACGTTTGTGGGTGATGATGTGAACACCATGCTGATCCTCAACCTGCTGAGCGGGACGGAGTACAGTGTGAAAGTCATCGCCACCTACACCACTGGCTCCAGCGAAGCCCTGAGCGGACGGGCCAGAACACGTGAGTGTGTCCCTGAAACCTCTCTCGTCGTTTATGAAGCTTTGTCTCCTAAATATCTCCGTTGGAAGTTCCTCTAACGTTTTAAATGTAGCTGCATGTTTCAGAACGTTCAGAGAACATTCAAAAGTAACGTTCCATAATGTTTGAAGAATGATACATTGTAACTTTTCCTTAATGTTCACATAACCAACCAAATAACATTTTCATTTAAATGTTCTCAAACTGTTCTTGTAAGATGTTGTGTCTGTGTGTGTCTGTGTGTGTCTAGTGTATCTGGGAGTGAGTAACCTCAGCACGTATCAGGTGCGGACAACCAGCATGTGTGTGCAGTGGCAGCCTCATCCACACGCCACCCTGTACCGGCTCACCCTGCAGTCCCAGCTCAGTGAGTGAGTGTGTGAGTGTGTGTGTGTGTGTGATTATAACTTTGGCATGTCAGTAGTGAGGTTTGGTGTGATTACATGTTACACGTTTAACCTTCACTGAACAAACGTCTCATTTGGAGTCTGGAAGTTGCTGCATATAATCATGATTTATTGTGTTTGTGTGAATCCAGATCCAGCGGTTCAGTTCCTGTCTCCTTCTGAGGACACTTTATCTGATACCGACAAAGACATTCATATAGATGCAGTCATCAGTCATCTTTCCTTTCTCTTCCTCAGACGGTGAGAAACAGGAAGTGAGGTTGTCTGGCTCCGCCTCCAGACACTGCTTTAATGACCTCACGCCGAACACACAGTACGTGATAAACGTTCACGCGCAACTGCAGGACACAGAGGGACCGGCTGTCACCACCACACAGAGGACATGTATGTGCACACACACACACACACGCACACACACACACACACACTCACTCACTCACACGCACGCACACACTCAGTCAGTCACACACACAAACAAACACTCACTCACACACACAAACACACACACACACACACACACACATATGCACACACTGTGACAAATAATCCTCTCTCTAATGGTGATACAATTGCTGTGTTTCTATGAATATAGAATCATTCAGCTGTCAATCATAATTTATGAGAAATTTAATTTATGATAAAATTCCAAACATTTTAGATGTTATGAGACAGAATTAAGAGATTTATCCAGACAGACTCGTTCCGTCATACGGACAGTGACGGGCATCAGCTGGACAGTCGTCTTGTGTTGTTTGTAATGGTGAAATGTGTGTGTAGTTCCTGTGAGCACGACTCCGCCTACCACAGCCAGAAGCTCCGCCCCTCCACCCACACTTCCCGCCACTAAAGAAGGTACGTGTCACATGACATTGTGAGGGTTCGGGATATACAGCAGGGTTCATCAGTGTGTGTGTGTGTTAGTGTGTCGCGCTGCTAAAGCCGATCTGGTGTTTCTGGTGGACGGATCATGGAGTATCGGAGACGACAACTTCCAGAAGATCATCCGGTTCCTGTACAGCACAGCGGGATCTCTGGACCAGATCGGGCCGAGCGGCACTCAGGTGAGGAACACACACTCAGGTGAGGAACACACACTCAGGTGAGGAACACACACTCAGGTGAGGAACACACACTCAGGTGAGGAACAGTTTAGTTATTAAAGCTCCCTAATATTTGATTATGTCTAAATATATAAGTGAAACTCATCTGTTCCGTGAGCACTTAATAAAATTTAAAAAAAATGCAAATTCTTATTTCTCTGGTTTATGCTGAGCAATGTCTGAACGTTGTATTTTGAGCAGTTCTTGTGTTGTTATGGCCTCTTCACGATGACTCGCTTGATTTAGTCCTCAGATGTAAGTCGCTTTGGATAAAAGCATCTGCTAAATGTAAATATAAACATAAATATATATCCAAATGCAAAACCTTATAAAAGGAAGTAATTGGTATAACTGTTGTTTTGCATTGTGTTATGATCATGAACAGGCACCTCACGATTCAATCCGTGTGTGTGTGTGTGTGTCTCAGGTGGCCATCGCTCAGTTCAGCGACGACGCCCGCACCGAGTTCAAGCTCAGCTCGCACGTTAATAAGGAAACCCTTCTGGACGCCATTCAGAGGATCTCATATAAAGGAGGAAACACCAAGACAGGCAAAGACAAATCCACACACACTCATCCGTTCTGCTGTAGCACCCTGATTCTGGTGAGTGTGTGTGAACTCTGACCTCTGACCTCAGGCAGGGCCATGCAGCACGTGAAGGCGTCGGTGATGACGGAAGTGGGCGGGGCCAGAAGGGGCGTGCCGAAGGTGCTGGTGGTGCTGACGGACGGGCGTTCCCAAGACGACGTGCTCCAGGTGTCCCAGGAGATCCAGGCCGAAGGTGCGGCGCGAGGCTTTCCTCACAGCTCCGGCTCTTCAGACGGGTGATATCTCATGTTGTATGTGTGTGTGTGTGTGTGTGCAGGTTATGTGGTGTTTGCCATCGGGTTCGCCGATGCCGATTATGCCGAGCTGGTGAGTATCGCCAGTAAACCCAGCGAGAGACACGTGTTCTTCGTGGACGATCTGGACGCTTTCAGGAATATTGAAGAGAAACTGATTACCTTCGTTTGTGAAGCTGCATCAGCTAGTAAGTGTGTGTGTGTGTGTGTGTGTGTGTAAAATTAAATTAAATTGAAAGTAAATTTAAAAGCAGTTTTCTGTTAGGGTTAGTTTATAGTATTTATAAGTAGCTGTGTGTAACAGCAGTTCTGCAGTGAGGTAAATGTGTGTGTGTGTGTGTTTGCAGCATGTCCGTCGGTACCTATGAGCGGCAGCACTTTATCAGGTAAATGAAACAAACGAAATAAAAATAAATTCAGCTATTTTTTGTCTTGTATAATATATGTGAACATCTTTTATGTAAAATATCTTATTCAGGACAGTACTAAATAAAACATAACATGCATTTTGTACGATCCATGTGTGACCCGTGTGACCGTGTGACCATGAGCCTGTGCATTACATCGTCCTGTTCAGAGCTCAGTAACATCGACTCAAACTGTGTTTTATATGACTGAATTTGTGATGATTCTGCTGTGGTGGTTGTTCTCAGCGTCGTGTAGTGACGGTGTGTGTGTGTGTGTCAGGGTTCAGGATGATGGAGATGTTCGGGCTGGTCGAGCATCTGTACAGCAACGTGAGCGGTGTGTCGATGGAGCCGGGGACCTTTAACAGCTTCAGCAGCTTCAGACTTGGCAGCGGCGCACTCCTGACACAGCCCACCAGGTGACGCTCTCTCACACACACACACACACACACACACACTCCTGACACAGCCCACCAGGTGACGCTCTCTCTCACACACACACACACACTCCTGACACAGCCCACCAGGTGACGCTCTCTCACACACACACACACACACTCCTGACACAGCCCACCAGGTGACGCTCTCTCACACACACACACACACACACACACACACTCCTGACACAGCCCACCAGGTGACGCTCTCTCACACACACACACACACACACACACTCCTGACACAGCCCACCAGGTGACGCTCTCTCACACACACACACACTCCTGACACAGCCCACCAGGTGACGCTCTCTCACACACACACACACACACACACACTCCTGACACAGCCCACCAGGTGACGCTCTCTCACACACACACACACACACACACACACACACTCCTGACACAGCCCACCAGGTGACGCTCTCTCACACACACACACACACACACTCCTGACACAGCCCACCAGGTGACGCTCTCTCTCACACACACACACACACACACTCCTGACACAGCCCACCAGGTGACGCTCTCTCACACACACACACACACACACACACACTCCTGACACAGCCCACCAGGTGACGCTCTCTCACACACACACACACACACTCCTGACACAGCCCACCAGGTGACGCTCTCTCACACATTCTCATACTCACGCTCATACTCACTCTCATACTCACTCTCATACTCACTCTCATACTCACTCTCATACTCACTCTCGTACTCACGCTCGTACTCACTCTCATACTCACTCTCATACTCACTCTCATACTCACTCTCATACTCACTCTCATACTCACTCTCATACTCACTCTCATACTCACGCTCATACTCACTCTCGTACTCACGCTCATACTCACTCTCATACTCACTCTCATACTCACTCTCATACTCACTCTCATACTCACTCTCATACTCACTCTCATACTCACTCTCATACTCACTCTCGTACTCACGCTCGTACTCACTCTCATACTCACTCTCATACTCACTCTCATACTCACTCTCATACTCACTCTCATACTCACTCTCATACTCACTCTCATACTCACGCTCATACTCACTCTCATACTCACGCTCATACTCACTCTCATACTCACTCTCATACTCACTCTCATACTCACTCTCATACTCACTCTCATACTCACTCTCATACTCACTCTCGTACTCACGCTCGTACTCACTCTCATACTCACTCTCATACTCACTCTCATACTCACTCTCATACTCACTCTCATACTCACTCTCATACTCACTCTCATACTCACTCTCATACTCACTCTCATACTCACTCTCATACTCACGCTCATACTCACGCTCATACTCACTCTCATACTCACTCTCATACTCACTCATACTCACTCTCATACTCACTCTCATACTCACTCTCATACTCACGCTCATACTCACTCTCATACTCACTCTCATACTCACGCTCATACTCACTCTCATACTCACTCTCATACTCACTCTCATACTCACGCTCATACTCACGCTCATACTCACTCTCATACTCACTCTCATACTCACTCTCATACTCACTCTCATACTCACTCTCATACTCACGCTCATACTCACGCTCATACTCACTCTCATACTCACTCTCATACTCACTCTCATACTCACTCTCATACTCACTCTCATACTCACTCTCATACTCACTCTCATACTCACTCTCATACTCACTCTCATACTCACTCTCATACTCACTCTCATACTCACTCTCATACTCACTCTCATACTCACGCTCATACTCACGCTCATACTCACTGTCATACTCACTGTCATACTCACGCTCATACTCACGCTCATACTCACACACGCTCATACTCACGCTCATACTCACACACACTCATACTCACTCTCATACTCACGCTCAAACTCACTCTCATACTCACACACGCTCATACTCGCGCTCATACTCACACTCATACTCACGCTCACTCTTGCCACACATGCTCATGCTCATCGAAACATGAAAGCACACAGAGCTGGAGATGTTGTTGTGAAATGAAATTAGACTAAACTCTCTCCCAGGTTCATCCACCCGGAGGGTCTGCCGTCAGACTACACCATCACCCTTCTGTTCCGGCTGCTCCCGGAGACCCCAGCGGAGCCCTTCGCCCTGTGGGAAATCCTCAACAGCAACAATGAGCCGTTAGTGGGAGTCATTCTGGACAGTGAGTCACATGCCGGCAGCAACACAAGGGCAAGGGTTCGATTCTCAGGGAATGCGTGAACTGAAAATGTGCTTTTGAAATGAAATGAAATCTCGTTTCGCTTCATGTGAGGTCAGTTCACTTCTCTTCACAGATGCAGGAAAGACTCTGACTTTTTTCAACACCGATTATAAGGGCGATTTTCAGACGGTGACCTTTGAGGGGGCGGAAATCCAGAAACTCTTTTATGGCAGTTTCCACAAGGTCAGAATCACGAAGCGCAAGGAGATATAGTCTGTGAAAGTCCTGTTGTTTAATACAACATGTGTGTGTGTGTGTGTGTAGCTGCACATCGCAGTGAGCACGACCTCGGCTCTGGTGATGGTGGACTGTAAGTCAGCGGGAGAGAAGCCTGTGAACGCAGCCAGAAACATCAGCACTGACGGGGTCGAGGTGCTCGGCCGGATGGTTCGATCCCGAGGATCCAAAGACAACTCTGCTCCGGTACGGTGTGTGTGTGTGTGTGTGTGTGAGAGAGAGAGAGATCAAAGGGAAAGTCATGCATAAATGCAGTTCGTGGTTAGAATAACACGTCTCACATCTGTGCGTGTGTGTTTAGTTTCAGCTGCAGTCCTTTGATATTGTGTGCAGCACGTCATGGGCTCGACGGGACAAATGCTGCGAGCTGCCCAGCCTGGTGAGTGTGTGTGTGTGTGTGTGTGTGAGTCCCTGTGCGCATGTGCGTGTGCAAACATCTTTGCTGTCGAGTAGATTCAAATGTTGAAGTAAAAACACCCCTGAAATTTTAAGTTGATAATTCTATAATTTAATAAAATATTTGCATGTTTACAGTTGTCTTAATGGCAGTGTTATACATTTTTGTATACTGTTTTATAATAATTCATATTTTAAATGAGCTTTTATTAAAATTTTTAGTTTATTTTAATATTATGTGCTTTTATCTTTTGATTGATTTAATTGATTAATTGATTAAGGGAAATGATCTGAACGAACAGTAATGAGTCATTCAGAGATTGGAAGCGAGTTGTGTGTGTGTGCGTGTGTGTGTGTTGCAGAGGAAGGAATCCGAGTGTCCATCTCTCCCGCGTGCCTGTACCTGCACTCAGGACAGCAAGGGCCCCCCCGGCCCCCCAGGGCCCCCGGTATGAGCCCTTCATCATCATCATCATCATCACCTCAGACATCCGTCACTGACCCTGTGTGTGTGTGTGTGTGTGTGTGGCAGGGAGGTTCTGGTACCAGAGGAGCCAGAGGAGATCGAGGGGAACCCGGCCCTGTGGTACTGAATTACCCACAATCCACCTCACTTACTAACATTTGACAGAGGCTGTGATAGGAGTAGATGAGCACAGATGTTGTGTGTGTCCGCAGGGTCCAGTTGGTCCGGTCGGGGACGCTGGTGTTCCAGGAGCTCAGGGGCCTCCCGGTCCTCCGGGGCCCAGCGGACGCTCCATCAGAGGCCCCCCGGTAACATGCTCACACTCACACACACACACACACACACACACACACACACACACACTGAACACACTCTGCACACTCACTGCACACACACTTCACACTCACTGCACACACACTGCACACTCACTGCACACACACTGCACACACACTGCACACTCACTGCGCGCACACACACTGAACACACACTGAACACTCACTGCACACTCACTGCACACACACTGCACACACACTGCACACACACTGCACACTCGTCACTGCACACACACTGCACACTCACTGCGCACACACACTGAACACACATTGCGCACACACACACTGAACACTCACTGAACACACACTAAACACTCACTGCACACACACTGAACACACATTGCGCACACACACACTGAACACTCACTGAACACACACTAAACACTCACTGCACACTCACTGAACACTCACTGCACACACACTGAACACTCACTGCACACACACACTGAACACACACTGCACACACACTGCACACTCACTGCGCACACACACTGAACACTCACTGAACACACACTAAACACTCACTGCACACTCACTGAACACTCACTGCACACACACACACTGCACACACACACTGCACACACACTGCACACACACACTGAACACTCACTGCACACACACACTGAACACTCACTGCACACACACACTGCACACACACTGCACACACACACTGAACACACACTGCACACACACACTGAACACTCACTGCACACACACACTGCACACACACTGCACACACACTGCACACTCACTGCGCGCACACACACTGAACACTCACTGCACACTCACTGCACACATACTGCACACTCACTGCACACACACTGCACACTCGTCACTGCACACACACTGCACACTCACTGCGCACACACACTGAACACACATTGCGCACACACACACTGAACACTCACTGAACACACACTAAACACTCACTGCACACACACTGAACACACATTGCGCACACACACACTGAAACACTCACTGAACACACACTAAACACTCACTGCACACTCACTGAACACTCACTGCACACTCACTGAACACTCACTGCACACACACACTGAACACACACTGCACACACACTGCACACACACACTGAACACTCACTGCACACACACACTGAACACTCACTGCACACTCACTGAACACTCACTGCACACACACACTGAACACACACTGCACACACACTGCACACTCACTGCACACACACTGAACACTCACTGCACACACACACTGAACACACACTGCACACACACTGCACACTCACTGCACACACACTGAACACTCACTGCACACACACACTGAACACACACTGCACACACACTGCACACTCACTGCACACACACTGAGATGAATCTTTCTTCTAAACACACGTTATGTTTGTTCTAATATAGTCCGATGTCAGTGGTTCTAACAGAGTTCAGTTCTCTCAGTGCCTCCATCATCACTGTTCCCCGCTTCTGTTCATCTCGGTTGTTGTGGCACATTTATCTTTGTGCTCAGAGTTCTGTCATCTTTCCAAATACATTCTTTAGCTTTTAAAGTTGCAATGTAGCGGCAGCTCTCGTCCTCTGTGCTGACGAACATCAGCGGCGAGCGGATTATCCACCGCATCTGTTTTCTGAATGAGACTATGAGACGACACATGGCAGGTTATTGCTGAAGTGAAGAAAGTTTTAAAAAGTGAACTTAAAAAAGTTACGGAATTATACGTTTGAATAATAATAATAATAATAATACGTTTAATTTATAACGCACTTTTCATCCAAGGATCTCAAAGTGCTACAGGTTAAAAACAATAAAAGATAAACAGTTCTTTAAAAAGAGAGGGAAAAAAAAGAAAGAGAAAAAAACAAAAGAAAAAAAAAATAACATCCAAAGGGTATCAAAAGCTTTGCTAAAAAGGAATGTCTTGAAAAAAAAAGGAATAATGCGCATTCCTTCAGTTGAAAAAAAAGGAATAATGCGCAAAAACACTATTTTCAATTTTTACGTGAAATATACACGTTCATAATCATGTTGTACTCTAAAACTGCAAGAAAATCAACCATAAATCTAAACAAGTTGTGTGTGTTCAGGGCGCTGCGGGAGAGACGGGGCAGAAGGGAGACGCCGGTCCTCCAGGCCTGCAGGTAAACCACACACTCCTCACGTCACTCGCGTGTGTGTGTGTGTGTGTGTCGATGCGCTGACCTCATTTGTGTGTGCTCCTGCAGGGTGTTCCTGGTTCTCCAGGCTCTCCGGGACGTGAAGGGCCTCCAGGATCCCGGGTAACTGTCCGTCAGCTGTGTGTGTGTGTGTGTGTGTGTGTGTGTGGTGTGTGTGTGTGATCATGTGTGTTTCCTCCTCCGCAGGGTCTGCCGGGTCCAGACGGTCCTCAGGGACGAGTGGGAGCGCCGGGAACTATCGTGAGTAAATTCTAAAAAATTATAAAAAATGTTTTTATTATATTTCTTGAATACTCTAGGGATGTTACACACACAATAGTTATAGTATAATATATTATTGTTTTGTATTTTTGTTGAATAATCACTATGAAAACAATTATTATTCTTTTACAATCATATTGAATTCATCGCAAACATTCTGAATGAAAACTTAAGTGTGTGTGCGTGCGTGTGTGTGTACTTATAACAGGGAGGTCCAGGAGCTCCTGGGGCCCCTGGAGAAAACGGCCCTCCAGGACCTAGAGGAGAGCAGGGCCCTCCGGTACGTCACACACGCTTCACACGTGCACATGATATGGGCGATCGGGGCGATTTTAAACCCTCTCTCTCTCTGTTTCAGGGACTCGCGGGACCCAAAGGAGAGAAGGGTGAGAGAGTAAGTGTTCTCATCAGAGGTTCATCGACTGATGAACATCTGTGTGTGTGTGTGTGTGTGTGTGTGTGTGTGTGAGAGAGAAACGTTCTCTCTCCTATGTGTGTCAAGTCAAGTCATTTATAAGCTTTATTAATATAGCACTTTTTATAAAACAGATCTTATCAGAGCAACTTCATAGTGGTAACAGGAAAATAATTCAACAAGTTTGTTTCTAGAATACATTTTTTTGTTTTCAATAAGTTTTGGACCAGCTGAAGTTTGTTTATTAAGCGTGCAGGGCAACCACCCAGTAGAGCATTACAATAACCTAGCCTTGAGATCAGGAACACATGAACCAGTTAACAAAACGAGACGATGCTTATATAGACAGATCTAAATGAATAACAAGTGTGCTGGTGCTGGTGAGGTAGGAAACAGTTGATCAGTCCTGGTGATGACAATCAGCACGAAACATACACACACAAGCAGACCACGGTTAGCCAACCATGACAATTATGTGAGGAAGTTTTTCGTCCAAAAATTAGAATCACTGTTTTTGGATAATTAAGTCGTAGGAAATTACTAATTATCCAGTTTTTTACATCAGCTCTGCATTCCGTTCATTTTTGAATTGGTTTCGTCAGGGTGTGAGGAACTATAGAGCTGGGTATCATCAGCATAACAGTGAAAGCTAATGCCATGCTTCCTAAGGGTAGCGTGTACAGAGAGAGAGAGAGAGAGAGAGAGAGAGTGTGTGTGTGTGTGTGTGTGTTTGAGTAGCATGTACAGAATGAACAGCAGCGGTCCTAGTACTGAGCCTTGAGGTACACCATACTGAATTTGTGTGTGTGTGTGTAACGTTCTCTCTCCTGTGTGTGTGTGTGTGTGTGTGTGTGTGTGTGTAACAGGGTGAAGTCCAGTCCACGTCTTCCGTCCAGGCCATAGCGAGACAAGTGTGTGAGCAGCTGATCCAGAGTGAGTCCGCTTCATGACCAGTGCATGCTGGGATTGAGTGAGTGTGTGTGACATTGCTCTCTCTGGGTCCAGGTCACATGGCGCGCTACAACTCGATCTTGAACCACGTGCCCATCCAGCCGGTGTCGATACGCACGGTCCCCGGGCCCCCAGGGGAGCCGGGTCGGCAGGGGCCTACAGGACCTCAGGGAGAGCAGGGCCCGCCCGGGAGACCCGGATTCCCCGGCAGCAATGGAGAGAACGGGCAGCCGGGAGCCAGAGGTACACTCACACTTACTGTGCAGACACACACACACACACACACACACACTCTCTCTCTCTCACACACACACACACACACACACACACAGACGCATGTCTGAGAGGAAAACATCTCTAACATTAGTGTGTTGTTTTCTGCACTTACAGACACAACAGCTTTTTGTTCTGTTTACATTTATTTTTTTCATTTCAGAAGAAAAAAACATACATTTATTGTGGTAGAAATGTTTCTTCGCTAAGCTGCCAATACAGAAACGGCATCACAACCCGTCCGTCTAGACTCAGACTTCATCAGATGTGACTCAGACTTCATTAGATGTGACTCAGACTCCATCAGATGTGACTCAGACTCCATCAGATGTCTCAGACTCCATCAGATGAGACTCAGACTCCATCAGATGTGACTCAGACTCCATCAGATGTGACTCAGACTCCATCAGATGTGACTCAGACTCCATCAGATGTGACTCAGACTCCATCAGATGAGACTCAGACTCCATCAGATGAGACTCAGACTCCATCAGATGTGACTCAGACTTCATCAGATGTGACTCAGACTCCATCAGATGTGACTCAGACTCCATCAGATGAGACTCAGACTCCATCAGATGTGACTCAGACTTCATCAGATGTGACTCAGACTCCATCAGATGAGACTCAGACTCCATCAGATGTGACTCAGACTTCATCAGATGTGACTCAGACTCCATCAGATGTGACTCAGACTCCATCAGATGAGACTCAGACTCCATCAGATGTGACTCAGACTCCATCAGATGAGACTCAGACTCCATCAGATGAGACTCAGACTCCATCAGATGTGACTCAGACTCCATCAGATGAGACTCAGACTCCATCAGATGAGACTCAGACTCCATCAGATGTGACTCAGACTCCATCAGATGTGACTCAGACTCCATCAGATGAGACTCAGACTCCATCAGATGAGACTCAGACTCCATCAGATGAGACTCAGACTCCATCAGATGTGACTCAGACTTCATCAGATGTGACTCAGACTCCATCAGATGTGACTCAGACTCCATCAGATGTGACTCAGACTCCATCAGATGAGACTCAGACTCCATCAGATGTGACTCAGACTTCATCAGATGTGACTCAGACTCCATCAGATGAGACTCAGACTCCATCAGATGTGACTCAGACTTCATCAGATGTGACTCAGACTCCATCAGATGTGACTCAGACTCCATCAGATGAGACTCAGACTCCATCAGATGTGACTCAGACTCCATCAGATGAGACTCAGACTCCATCAGATGAGACTCAGACTCCATCAGATGTGACTCAGACTCTATCAGATGAGACTCAGACTCCATCAGATGTGACTCAGACTCCATCAGATGAGACTCAGACTCCATCAGATGAGACTCAGACTCCATCAGATGTGACTCAGACTCCATCAGATGTGACTCAGACTCCATCAGATGAGACTCAGACTCCATCAGATGAGACTCAGACTCCATCAGATGAGACTCAGACTCCATCAGATGAGACTCAGACTCCATCAGATGTGTCTCAGACTCCATCAGATGTGACTCAGACTCAATCAGATGAGACTCAGACTCCATCAGATGAGACTCAGACTCCATCAGATGTGACTCAGACTCTATCAGATGAGACTCAGACTCCATCAGATGTGACTCAGACTCCATCAGATGAGACTCAGACTCCATCAGATGAGACTCAGACTCCATCAGATGTGACTCAGACTCCATCAGATGTGACTCAGACTCCATCAGATGAGACTCAGACTCCATCAGATGAGACTCAGACTCCATCAGATGAGACTCAGACTCCATCAGATGTGTCTCAGACTCCATCAGATGAGACTCAGACTCCATCAGATGTGACTCAGACTTCATCAGATGTGACTCAGACTCCATCAGATGTGACTCAGACTCCATCAGATGAGACTCAGACTCCATCAGATGTGACTCAGACTCCATCAGATGAGACTCAGACTCCATCAGATGAGACTCAGACTCCATCAGATGTGACTCAGACTCTATCAGATGAGACTCAGACTCCATCAGATGTGACTCAGACTCCATCAGATGAGACTCAGACTCCATCAGATGAGACTCAGACTCCATCAGATGTGACTCAGACTCCATCAGATGTGACTCAGACTCCATCAGATGAGACTCAGACTCCATCAGATGAGACTCAGACTTCATCAGATGTGACTCAGACTCCATCAGATGTGACTCAGACTCCATCAGATGAGACTCAGACTCCATCAGATGTGACTCAGACTCCATCAGATGAGACTCAGACTCCATCAGATGAGACTCAGACTCCATCAGATGTGACTCAGACTCTATCAGATGAGACTCAGACTCCATCAGATGTGACTCAGACTCCATCAGATGAGACTCAGACTCCATCAGATGAGACTCAGACTCCATCAGATGTGACTCAGACTCCATCAGATGTGACTCAGACTCCATCAGATGAGACTCAGACTCCATCAGATGAGACTCAGACTCCATCAGATGAGACTCAGACTCCATCAGATGAGACTCAGACTCCATCAGATGTGTCTCAGACTCCATCAGATGTGACTCAGACTCAATCAGATGAGACTCAGACTCCATCAGATGAGACTCAGACTCCATCAGATGTGACTCAGACTCTATCAGATGAGACTCAGACTCCATCAGATGTGACTCAGACTCCATCAGATGAGACTCAGACTCCATCAGATGAGACTCAGACTCCATCAGATGTGACTCAGACTCCATCAGATGTGACTCAGACTCCATCAGATGAGACTCAGACTCCATCAGATGAGACTCAGACTCCATCAGATGAGACTCAGACTCCATCAGATGTGTCTCAGACTCCATCAGATGAGACTCAGACTCCATCAGATGTGACTCAGACTTCATCAGATGTGACTCAGACTCCATCAGATGTGACTCAGACTCCATCAGATGAGACTCAGACTCCATCAGATGTGACTCAGACTCCATCAGATGAGACTCAGACTCCATCAGATGAGACTCAGACTCCATCAGATGTGACTCAGACTCTATCAGATGAGACTCAGACTCCATCAGATGTGACTCAGACTCCATCAGATGAGACTCAGACTCCATCAGATGAGACTCAGACTCCATCAGATGTGACTCAGACTCCATCAGATGTGACTCAGACTCCATCAGATGAGACTCAGACTCCATCAGATGAGACTCAGACTCCATCAGATGAGACTCAGACTCCATCAGATGAGACTCAGACTCCATCAGATGTGTCTCAGACTCCATCAGATGTGACTCAGACTCAATCAGATGAGACTCAGACTCCATCAGATGAGACTCAGACTCCATCAGATGTGACTCAGACTCTATCAGATGAGACTCAGACTCCATCAGATGTGATAGACTCCATCAGATGAGACTCAGACTCCATCAGATGAGACTCAGACTCCATCAGATGAGACTCAGACTCCATCAGATGAGACTCAGACTCCATCAGATGTGACTCAGACTCCATCAGATGAGACTCAGACTCCATCAGATGTGACTCAGACTCCATCAGATGAGACTCAGACTCCATCATATGTGACTCAGACTTCATCAGATGAGACTCAGACTCCATCAGATGTGACTCAGACTCCATCAGATGTGTCTCAGACTCCATCAGATGTGACTCAGACTTCATCAGATGAGACTCAGACTCCATCAGATGTGACTCAGACTCCATCAGATGTGACTCAGACTCCATCAGATGAGACTCAGACTCCATCAGATGAGACTCAGACTCCATCAGATGTGACTCAGACTCCATCAGATGTGTCTCAGACTTCATCAGATGTGACTCAGACTCCATCAGATGTGTCTCAGACTCCATCAGATGAGACTCAGACTCCATCAGATGAGACTCAGACTCAGCACTGAAGCCTCTACTGAAGATCATCATTAGATCAGCTCTGTTGTCATCGGATGCGATCTATTAATCGATATTACTGAATAACGAGCGTCTTTTAAAGACTGAGATGAGAGTAAATCACATTCATGTTGATCATGTTTGAGCAGAGATGATGGAGAGACACTGAAAGTGTGTGTGTGTGTGTTTGCATCATCAGGCCCTCAGGGTGAGAAGGGAGAGAGAGGGAATCCAGGTGTGGGAGTGCAGGGGCCGAGAGGAGCTGCAGGACCTCCAGGTGAGCCTACACAAACACACAAATTCACTCACACACTCACATTCACAGCTCTACTTAGCCCTATCGCCTAACGACTGCCTGTGCCAATGCATTGACATTACTCACTGTGTTTGTTGACTGATCACAGTGGTTTGATGGACTTGTAAAAAGCGTGAGTGCGGATAGCAGATTAAAAGGCTAGCAATATGCTAGTGCATTATGCGAGTGATAGCTTTTTAGATTAAAGCTAGCGATGTCCGATCAATGTGACAGAGAAAATTAGATAATATCAGATAAATTGCAAAACAAACCTATACGGAGCAGGAAGGTTGCGTCCCTCAGGCAGACAGAAACCCGCTGTGAAACAGTAAAACACACAGTGAAATAACTTTAGCTTCCAGACTAATGTGTGCGTCTGAGGGAACCCTATTTGACAGCCTCATTACTCTATAGAATATGAACAGGAAGTTGAAGAGTCTGTTTCCTGTTGTCCACAGGACCCCCTGGTGAAGGCCGGACAGGAAGTACTGGTCCCTCTGGTCGCCCCGGTAACCCCGGGAGCCCCGGCAGACCCGGTACACCAGGACCAGTGGGACCCCCGGGCCCAGCCGGATACTGCGACCAGAACGCCTGCCTCGGGTACAACGTTGGAGGTCAGTGTGTGTGTGTGTGTGTGACAGAGAGCGTGTTACTGACCGTCACTGCTTCATTAGGATTCTCTGGTGCATGTGATAATTTTGCATGTGTTGCATGAGACGAATATAGATTCTCTCTGACTGTTCAGAATGGAATATTAACTCATACGGCTGCAGGATCAATAATGGCTCAGTGCTGTTGTTGAATATGTGAAGATGTGAATGTGTGAGAAGCGCAGCTCTGTGTTCAGACCGCTCAGGGTCTGTTCGCTGAGTCGCTTCAAACATCTCAGTTCTCTGCTGAAAACAGTTGCCGAACTGTAGTCGCTGTTGTAACAGGAGTAGTGTCCTTCAATCTAACTCTGTAGAAGAGGAGTGTGACGCCCTCAGTACTGCAGTAACTCAGTGCAACAGAGCAATCTCAGTGTGTCTCGCACTAACACACTAACACACCACACACTAACACACTAACACACTAACACACTACACACTAACACACCACACACTAACACACTAACACACTACACACTAACACACTAACACACTACACACTAACACACCACACACTAACACACTAACACACTACACACTACACACTAACACACTAACACACTACACACTAACACACTACACACTAACACACTACACACTAACACACTACACACTACACACTACACACTAACACACTAACACACTACACACTACACACTAACACACTAACACACCACACACTAACACAGGCTGAGAGCCTAACGGAGGCGGTCTGTGGGGGCGGGGCAGGGGTGTGGCCTGGCAACCAATGACAGTAATTTTTACAATATTTAATCACACATCCTGTCGGAGCTGTCTCGGAACTGGGGAAACTATATTACTGTATTATATAACTATACGTGTCCTGGGACGCGCCGGGCTCGCCTCGGGCCCTCGTGATGGGGAGTGTGTGTTCCATCGGTGTGTTCATTCTTCTGCATGAGTAACAGCATGCCTTTGGTATCAGTAATGTGTGTGTGTGTGTGTGCGGGTCAGAACCGGGCTTTGATGACCTCACTGACACTGATGTCCGTGTAGTTCAGCCGTACGGACCCGAGGTCGAGGAGGACGGTGAGCCGTATGGCAGCTACGGCCCCGACTACCAGCCCAACTACCCCCCGCCCCGGCCCGTGCAGGAGGAGCCTCGACCCGAGGAGGAGGAGCTGCGCTCGCCCGGCGTCCAGCGGCACACGCGGCACACGCGCAGCCTCGCGGACCCGCACGCACGCCGGCCCCGGAGACGCCAGGAGCGCACGTAACCGGCTCACAGGAAACACATCACCGCATCACCAGGTCACAGGAAATGCATCACCGGCTCACAGGAAACACATTACCGCATCACCGGCTGACAGGAAAAGCATCACCGCATCAGCGGCTCACAGGAAACGCATCACGGCACAATTTGTCAGTCAGCAGCGCTTTAAGCAGCTTCACAGTCATAAACAGGAAAATAATGATGCAAACTTCCATGCAAAACTTGTCTGGTAATACCGCATGTAATTATTTGTTTGTAATGTTCAAACTGAACTATGAAAATCATAAACTCTTTCCCGCTTATTAACATCCTTCCCTCGCGGGTCAGAAATGTTTTTTTTTTAAGAAAGCTTATTTTATGTCATTTTTATATTATTTTTATATTTTTTATGCATTTTTTGGGAGATTTTTGTGTTATTTTTTATTTTATTTACCATTAAATTAGTAGATTTAATCAACAAATAATAAATAAATAGTAATTTAAGCACATTCCTCACATTCTTTTTCACTTAAATTCAAAATAACTCACAATTTCATGCATAACCCTTCTAATTCAGCTCTAAATATCGTACATTGGGAGTCTCTGGCGAACTCTTGTGGAATATGATAACACATGATATTTCGTGCCTCTAGATGGGCTTAGAGCTCTAAATGGAGCAGATGAGCTTTTCCGCTGGGTCCTAAAGTCTGTTTCTCTTCAGATACACATGTAGACATTGTACAATCGCTTTTTGCTAAAGTTTGAGCATTTTTATTTCGAAATGTGAGCAATTTTTAGGTTTTTCTGTGTGCTGAAGCATTCCTAAGGGGGTCAGATTGACCCGAGGATTTGTAACTTTTTTAGATTTCAAACACAAAACTCCTCGAATCCGTTCAATTTTTGTGTATTCGTTGTTCAAATGCACAAAAGTCCAGGAGTCTGGAGTCTTGGACCATCTGATCAACATTCGATTTTTACAATTTTATTTAAAAATGAATTTCAGGTCAAAATGACTCGAGGGAAAAATGAGGATTAAAGAGCCTATATTATGTAGTGTCATTTAAAGGTGCAGTGTGGGATTTTTAGCGACATCTAGCGGTTCGGTTGCGAGTTTGCACCAGGTTTGCACTAATGGCTCCGCCCACAGCTCACCCCTCCCTTTCGAAGAAGCTACGGTGGCTAAAACTGGACAAACATCTCGTCGGCTGAGACGGCAGAGAATAGCCAGAGTAAGCCAAGAGTGTGTAACATTGTCACTGTTTCTGTACCACAGTCCATTACAAACCACATCGTGGATAAAGTTTACAAAGCCATAGTCAGGTTCAAGGGTTTTAATATATAATATAATATAATAATAGTAATCAGCTGATGTCTCACAAACGTAACCAGCAGCACATTTCTCCCCACATCACATAGCAAACCCACAATACAGCGAGGGAGAAGAGCCGCATGAAACTATGCAGCTGTATATGTTTTCTAACAGGGTAGTAGAAGTTTAGTTGGCTAATATGAGCTGTTACTGTGGACTGAACTGGTTAAAGCAGGGGTAGGCAAGTTTGGTCCTAGAGAGCCGCTATCCTGCAGAGTTTGGCTCCAACACTGAAAAAGAGTCTCCTTAGTAATCCTGAAGACATTGATTAGCTTGTTCAGGTGTGTTTGATTGGGGTTGGAACTAAATTCTGCAGGACAGCGGCTCTCTAGGACCGAACTTGCCTACCCCTGGGTTAAAGCATAGCCTTGGTTACACTCGACGCGTCCGAATGAGCCCAAAGGTGCACGCGGCAAAACTGACATGATTGTAACAGCGCGACCTCCGCATCCCATAGACACCATTTACTACACAACAGGCTTTTTATCTGATTCTGAAAACTCTTCGCAATCGACTTAGATCTCTTACCTTCAGATCGACCTTCACTCAGTCGTGGTGAATATGCGATTACTGGAACTCATGTGTAAGCGGGACATCGGAGTCGGTCCGCTTGCGTCAGTCAGTGTGTGTTTGCTTGATAGTGGAGGTCTATTAATATTATTACATATGATGATGACTGAGCCTCATTGTGTTTAGAGAAAACAGTCAGTGGAAAATATTAATATTTGTATTGTATTGTTGGTTTGACATAAAACATGTGAAACAATTGAAATAATTTAAATTTTAAAGTGGGTTATTTTGTATGTCCATATCCCCTCAATGTTTTCATGTTACTGAATGGTTTTGTTCCAAGCGACTTTTATTGACAATAAACCGACTTATTGATAGCCTAAGTTGTTTGCATTATTTTCCATAAAATACGCAAGGTTAATAGTAGAATAGCCTACTTTTGCATTCATTTGATTTCTGAAATCGGATAGGCTAAGTCGAAGGCGTGTACTTTTTGCGTCCATTCCTTTTCCCTTTTTTGAACTCGTAATTGAATAACGAAAAACATGCTTTCTTTATTCGTTTTTAGACTGGTGAAACGATATTCACAAACGTTTTTATTTTCTTCACATACAAGGCTTAGATATTTAACTTCACATGGGCATATAAAAAACAAAGCCTAAAACAAAAACATTTAAAAAACAGTAAAATGTTAAGTTACATAAAAATAAAACATTAATAAATTATTTTATGATACACATAGCCTATTACTGTCTTAAGTGAACTAATTTATAAATGCCAATAATACTTGTCGTCATTATTATTATTAGTCTGCATATAGGCTAGAAGACGCTTTTATCTAAAAAAGGAACAAAGCAATTTGTCAAATGTCAGTCATAATATAGGTTAGACAATAATAATAATACAAGGCTAAGATTATTACAAATGAACACAAGATTTTGGCGCATATCGTTTGTTTGTGCGGAGTGGAGCGCGCCTAAATCACCTCTCTATGGTCCCAGAGAGGCTCTTCTCATTCAGCACTGCAGGAAAAATATAATTATAGAATATAATTTCCAGGTTTGGCCAGAGCCCGTCTGCTACGGACGTTCTATTAGACATTCTCTGGTTTGGCCTTAGAAAACCAGTAAAATCGAAATTGTGTCCATATTAATTTGTGAATATTTTAAATGTTTAATAAAGGGCCAAAATAAACAATATGTTAATATTTATTTTTTATTTATTATATAAAAATAAATATTTATTATCTAGGCCTATTTATTTTATTTATTATACAATATATATTGTTCGTTTTTCAATAACAGGTTAAAATAGGAAAAACGAATGGACGCAAAAGTACACAGACCAATGGGTCATTTTAAAACTAGTTAATGATTCTAATGTGTTTAAACGAGAAACCATAGCGACAAACAAGCCATTCATTTCAAAAAATTTGGTTTTTGGTTTTTGACGAGGTTTTGGGCTTGAAAACCTTGCTGGCATCTGGCAACCCTGGGTCTTACTTCCTTGTTGGCTCAGTCTGGTTGATGGGTTTGTGAGGAGAGTGCCTTATTTACTGTCATGTGTGTGTTTGTGTAGAGATAGAGACAGCATGTCTCCTAGCAGATCTTATTGAATCATATAAACCCATTTTATATTTTATTGTCATACTTTAATGGGTAAAGGAATTTATTTAATGGACAAATCAGAAACGTGGAAGTCTTGTATTTGTTCACATAACATTGAAACTATATGGAGAGTGTTGTGGTTTCTTCATCTGGCTTCTGGCTGCTTTATTTTAAATAAGCACCAGATGGCGCTGTTCTTGACACTCGCACAGCTTTGAGTCAGGGAAAAGCTCTTTGATTCATTTCCCATCCCTGCTTTACTGACACACACGCATCATCAGGCACATTTGCAACCATATCTGATAGACAGTTGCGAGAAATCACCCGCTGAAGTCAGCCAAAATAATCCTACCACTTAATAAACTAAATTCAAGAAATAGAAAAAAAGAAAATAGGGGGTAATATATATTTATATACCACAGTTCAACAGCACCTCAGAGAGAGAGAGAGAGAGAGAGAGAGAGAGAGAGAGAGAGAGAGAGAGAGAGAGAGAGAGAGCTTGGTGATCTCATGATGGTGAAACATCGCGATGGATTTCACGTCCTAAAGTTTGTGCGGGTTTCCGTCAGTGAGTAAAGGATGAAGATGAGGGTCTCGCTGCTGCTGATGATGATGATCTTCTGTTGCGGATTCGTGTTTTGTGATCAGAATCATTCGGATCATCATGTTCAGAGAGTTTTTCCAGTCATATCGATTAATTACGATTATGTCCAGATGCCCTTCGAGGTCTCGCTCTGGATTCTGCTCGCGTCACTCATGAAACTGGGTGAGAAACTAAAACACTTTCATGATTATTATTATGTCGGTTAATCACGAATATTGTAAGGATTATTGTTAGTAGTGAATGTTGCTGATCTGCTGTTTGTTTTGGCAACAGGTTTATGTCTGAACTGTATGATGCGAGTTTATGTCAAACAGAGATATTTAAACGCATTATTCGTGTTAGTTAAGATAGTTAGTTATTATTCTTGTGCGAGCGGCTCTTTTTCTCTCTGACCTCATTATGAGAGTTTATCTGAGTCTCCTGCTGCATTGAAGAAGTGTGTGTGAGGAGATAGAGCTGAAACACACACGCACACACACCCACCCACTCTCTCTCTCTCTCTCTCTCTCTCTCTCTCTCTCTCTCACACACACACACACACACACACACACACTCCCCCTCTCTCTCACACAATGTCTGTGTGTGTGTGTTTGTCATGTCAACAGAATCACACGGGATGTGTCCAATCGGCTCTGTCATAGTCAAACATTGTTTGATTTTGTCACAAATTTTTCAAAATATTTGTATCTTGCATGCACAACCCTAACCCTCTGCCGTCATTACATTGTCCATTAAATAAACTATAATTCACATGCTCTCTTAATGTACAGTACTTTACTGACATTGTGTTTATATATGCAATTTTGATACAATGTTAAGAAAAAGAAAAGTGCAATATAGGCCAAGAACATCAAATCAATCAACAGTCTAGAATTAGATTAAGGTGCCAAATATTTTATAAAAGAAATACTTATTTCAGTCCAGCCCGAGAGGAAGACGATGTTAAGGAAGACCACTCTTGTCAAGTCAAGTCACTGTCATTTATACTGCTTTAACAATATAGATTTCACAGCTATACAGTGATAACAGAGATTGTTTGGCTTTAAAGCAGATCTAGAATAAACTTCTGTCTAGTTTATATCTTTGGTGACGGTGACAGAGCTCCCGGTTGGTCATGTGCTTGTGTTCTAGTCCCGTTAGTTGTGAGCTCATGTTTATCAGGTGTTTGTTTGTGCCATGTGCTCCCATGTCGTTTCCTGATTGGTTAATTTGCTCCACCTGTCCTCCCTCGTTTCCTGCTAACCCTAACCCTACATTGTAACTAAATCTTGCTGACTAAATGTCTATCATTAGCTATTGGCTAATAAATTCGGTTGGCTAAATTTTGAGATCACAATAGATGTGAAGGATTATCACAGGTGACGACGAAGACAGAGCAGCCATCAAGAGTTAGACAGTATTCTAGGTTATTAGAAGGTCACCTACAGGGTTGGTTGAGCACCCCCCACCATACACACACACACACGCACACACACATGCACACACACACACATGCACACTGGACCCCACAATGTTGGTGATTTTCAGGTTTTACTATACTTATGGGGACATTTGGTAATATATTCATAAACACGCACACACACACGCACACATCCAGGTTCCTAACCGACGACGAAGACTTGATAAAGCAGCCATAAAGTGTTTATTTAGGTTATTTTGTACAAATTAAAAAATTTAACTGTAATTAATCGTGTGTGTGTGTGTGTGCGTGTCTGTCTCTCTCTCTGTGTCTGCTCGCGTGTCTGTCTGTGTGTGTTTGTGCGTGTGTGTGTGTGTTTGTGTGTGTTTGTGCGTGTGTGTTTGTGTGTGTGTGTGTGTCTGTCTGTGTGTGTTTGTGTGTCTGTGTGCGTCTGTCTGTCTGTGTGTGTTTGTGTGTGTGTGTGTGTGTGTGTGTTTGTGTGTGTTTGTGCGTGTGTGTGTGTGTGTGTGTTTGTGTGTGTGTGTGTGTGTGTGTGTGTGTCTGTCTGTATGTGTGTGTCTGTGTGCGTCTGTCTGTCTGTGTGTGTTTGTGTGTGTGTGTGTGTGTCTGTCTGTGTGTGTTTGTGTGTCTGTGTGCGTCTGTCTGTCTGTGTGTGTGTGTGTGTGTGTGTGTGTATGTGTGTGTGTGTGTGTGTGTCTGTTTGTCTTTGTGCGTGTGCGTTTGTCTCTCTCTCTGTGTGTGCGTCTGTGTGTGTGTGTGTGTGTGTGTGCGTCTGTGTGCGTGTGTGTGTGTGTGTGTGTGTGTGTGTGTGTGTGTGTGTGTGTGTGTGTGTGTGTGTGTGTGTGTGTGTGTGGCCAGGCTTCCACCTGATCCCGCATGTGTCCGCGGTGGTTCCGGAGAGCTGTCTGCTGATCGTGGTGGGGCTGCTGGTCGGGGGTCTGATCCGTGTGCTGGGCGGGAAGGTTCCGGTCCTCGACTCTCAGCTCTTCTTCCTGTGTCTGCTGCCGCCCATCATTCTGGATGCCGGATACTTCCTTCCCATCAGGCCCTTCTCTGAGAACGTCGGCACCATCCTGATGTTTGCGGTGGTGGGGACGCTGTGGAACGCGTTCTTCATGGGTGCGGTGCTGTACGGTGTGTGTCGGCTGGAGGAACGCCTGGCCTCGGTGGACCTGCTGTCGTGTCTGCTGTTCTCCTCCATCGTCTCAGCCGTGGATCCCGTGGCGGTGCTCGCCGTCTTCGAGGAGATACACATCAACGAGCTTCTGCACATTCTAGTGTTTGGGGAGTCTCTGCTGAACGACGCGGTGACCGTGGTGAGACTGACGAATCTGAAACATTTCAAGAGAATATTTTCTGGGTGCACTGTAACTGTTTAAAAATACGTGTGTGGCATCTGAGATCAGAGAATGCTGTAGATCTGCCCTGTCACCTGTCGGATCTCCCATCAATCCCATCAGCCATCAGGGTTCAGCTGACATCACATCATCAGTGATGAAGTCAAAGCTCCTTCATTCAACTGTCTTTTTTTCTTCTCGTGATGTATGTGATTTGAGGGTGGTTGATGTTTATACATGAGCTACAGTAAGTGTGTGTTTCCTTCAGGTCCTGTATCATCTGTTCGAGGAGTTTGCGCATGTGGGTGAGGTGACGCCGCTTGACATGTTTCTGGGCGTTGTGTGTTTCTTCGTGGTATCGCTGGGCGGAGTGATGGTGGGTGGCGTGTACGGCATTCTGGCGGCCTTCACCTCACGCTTCACGGCGCACACCCGTGTGATCGAGCCGCTCTTTGTCTTCGTCTACAGTTACATGGCGTATCTGTCTGCCGAGGTCTTCCACCTGTCCGGCATCATGGCGTGAGTCTGGAGTTCCCACTGCGAATGAGCCCAGAGTGTGTGCTTGTGTCTCATACTTGGGTCTCTGTGCGGTTCTCAGGCTCATCGCGTGTGGCGTGGTGATGCGGCCCTACGTGGAGGCAAACATTTCCCACAAATCCTACACCACCATCAAGTACTTCCTGAAAATGTGGAGCAGCGTGAGCGAGACTCTGATCTTCATCTTCTTGGGCGTGTCGACGGTGGCTGGGCCGCATGCCTGGAACTGGACATTCGTCACCATCACCATCGTCCTCTGTCTGCTGTCCAGGATTCTGGGTGAGCATCTCCTCATGCTACGCTAGTTAGAGTGAGCAAAAGAGACTCTGTCGGAAACATAAAAAATGTCATTATTCCAAACTTTTGAACAGTGGTGTGTATCTAACAGATATGTGTGATTGGTGTCCTCCTAAAATTCTTTGAGAATAGGGATAAGCTTTTATTGGTCTGTTTTGCGTATTTCCAGGTCTAATCTGTCTTTGTAAGCTGTGAGTTCTGTGTGTTGGTGTGTCGCGCAGGTGTGATCGGTTTAACATATATCATTAATAAGTACCGCATGGTAAAGCTGAGTGGGAAGGATCAGTTCATCGTGGCGTACGGGGGCTTGAGGGGCGCGATCGCTTTCTCACTGGCGTTCCTGCTGTCCAGTGACGACTTTCCCATGAAGGACATGTTCCTCACTGCCATCATCACCGTCATCTTCTTCACTGTGTTTGTGCAGGTGAGAGAATTGGACTCTCAGTCCCTTTAGCTGAAGAACATTCATCCAGTTGTTGGAAATTCTGTAGCCGGTGGTTTCTGGCATTTCGACTTTCGTCATGTGATCACGATCAACCTGCCAATGTTTTTTAGGGAATGACGATTCGACCACTCGTTGACCTTCTGGCCGTCAAGAAGAGGAAACAAAGCAAAAGTTCAATAAATGAGGAGATTCACACTCAGGTAGTGTTCCTGATCTCAAAGACAGAGAAACACGTGATGTAGCCGAGAACCGCCCAGCTGGATGGTTAATGGACGATTCAAATGTTAAATGCTCCTGTTTTGTGTCTCCTGTAGTTTCTGGAACTTTTGCTAACTGGAATAGAGGGCGTGTGCGGACACTACGGACATCATCACTGGAGGGACAAGTGCGTATCAGACCAGCATTGAAGGAAAAGTCCAGCTGAAACTGAAAATCCTGTCATTGTTTACTCTTTATCCTCATGATGTGAATCAGTGTTCACACTCCTTTCCGTACAGCGACCAGATGCTCTCCAAAAAACATCAGATTACCGATATCGATTCTTAAATCCCAAGTACATGCAATTTGGTTTAATCTGCGAATGAGGGTTATGAACTGGGGAGGCCTTGATTCTCAGAAGCTTTGAACTGTGAACTTAGATTAGGTCATTTGGGCTTTTTCTTTTGTACCCTACACAAAAACAATGGCAAACATAGTGATGTATAAAAAAATCTGAAAAAAATGAATGTTCGGTTTTGGTCAAAATAGTTTTGAAGGCCAAAACAGTGACGTTTTATTAGCGTTTATCTGATTATTTAACTGTGCAGAAGACATAAGGGCAATTAAATGATGCCAGGTTTTCACAGCCTGAACTCTTGTATTTCAGATCTTGTAAACGTACTATTTTTTATGCGTGTTCTTCTGCAGGCTGAATCGGTTTAATAAGCGTTACATCAAGCGGTGTCTGATCACTGGAGAGCGATCGCAGGAACCGCAGCTGATCTCCTTTTACAATAAGATGGAGCTCAAACAGGCCATGATGCTGTTGGAGAGCAACAGTTCAGCCAGTCTGAACACGGCATTGGCCACACCGTGAGTTCCCACACACTGCACACACTCCTCACACTGCACACACTCCTCACACTGCACACACTGCACACACTCCACACTGCACACACTCCTCACACTGCACACACTCCTCACACTGCACACACTCCTCACACTGCACACACTCCTCACACTGCACACACTCCACACTGCACACACTCCTCACACTGCACACACTCCACACACTGCACACACTCCACACACTACACACACTCCACACTGCACACACTCCTCACACTGCACACACTCCTCACACTGCACACACTCCTCACACTGCACACACTGCACACACTCCTCACACTGCACACACTCCTCACACTGCACACACTCCTCACACTGCACACTGCACACACTCCTCACACTGCACACACTCCTCACACTGCACACACTCCTCACACTGCACACTGCACACACTCCTCACACTGCACACACTCCTCACACTGCACACTGCACACACTCCTCACACTGCACACACTCCTCACACTGCACACACTCCACACACTCCTCACACTGCACACACTCCTCACACTGCACACACTCCTCACACTGCACACACTCCTCACACTGCACACACTCCTCACACTGCACACACTCCTCACACTGCACACACTCCTCACACTGCACACACTCCTCACACTGCACACACTCCACACACTCCTCACACTGCACACACTCCTCACACTGCACACACTGCACACACTCCTCACACTGCACACACTGCACACACTGCACACACTCCTCACACTGCACACACTCCTCACACTGCACACACTGCACACACTCCTCACACTGCACACACTCCTCACACTGCACACACTCCTCACACTGCACACACTCCTCACACTGCACACACTCCTCACAGCACGCTTCTCACATCACGTGTGTTTGTGTCTGCAGACAGCACCGCAGCAGGAGGACGGTTAACATCTCTAAAGAACGAGAAGAAGAAATCAGAAAGATTCTGCGAGCAAACCTGCAGAAGACGCGACAGAGAGTGAGACACACACCATACTGATTGCATGTGTTCAACCAGTGTCAATGTTCTGTGTAGAATAACTGGGTCACATGGTACAAGTGTTGTAAAAGTGTCAGGTAGGCTGCTGTATCCCATAATGCAATGCACTCAGCCTTGAAGCGGCTGTAATTTTAACATCATCCTGACTAATTTTTTGGATTTAGATTATTTTTTTCTATTTTATTGGCATGACAAATAATTGTGTATTTGTGTTACTAAAGCTCTCGCTGAATTAAACATGCGTTATGAGGTCGCCTGATGTAGCATTTTGTTTGAAATGTTTAAGTGTGTACTGCACTGTGAGTTTAGCAGTGTGCTAGGATTCTGTACTTTTATTGTAGATGTAAGCACTGAGATGTGTGTGTCTCTTGCTCAGTTCACGGCAGTCTTATTTACTGGACTGTGTAAGTAACTCGTGTGTGTGTGTGTGTGTGTGTGTGTGTGTGGTTAGCTGCGCTCATACAGCAGACACACACTGATGCCTGACGCTGCAGAAGACGACTGGAGCGAGACGCGGATCAGGAAACAGTGCGTGGAAATAGAGCGGCGGGTGAGTAAGAAAAGAAAGAAAGTTATGCTTTAATTTATTTGTTTTGTATTTAAACGCTCAAGCCAAAGGAAAAGCCAGTAATTTAAGGTGTCACTTTTCCAGATGAGCCACTTTCTGGGAGTTCCTGCTAATCGCTCCGAGTCTCCTGCAGTGCGGAGAGGCCGCTTCGAGTCAGGTGACCTACTCAGGTGTTTCCAAGGTCATTCAGTAACAGAATGTGGCATGATGTGTTTGAAATGTTGTCTTCCAGACAGTCGAGGTCAGACGGCCAGGCCGAGTATCCTAGTGACGGTCCCCGGAGACCCTGAGAAGTCCGACGGATCCGTTCAGACCCAGAACCCGGACGGTGTGCCGGACAGCCGAGGACACAAGCTGAGCGTGACGTTTGCTCTGGGTGTGCAGGAGCAGAACCTACCTCGGTGTTTGAGTGATCCGGGCCCACATAACCTGCTGGAGGAGGAAGAGCTGTTTTATCATAAAGACTGAGGATCCTTGTTTGTTTGTATTTTATATCTATTTTATGCAGTGGAAAATTATTAAACTATTCTTTCTAGTGATCTGAGAGCATATGTCAAACGTCTCATGCTTTCCCTATTTTAGTCCACGTCCACCTGGTATTATCCTGCGTTTTACATGCGCATCCCATGACTCTTGTGTTCAGATCTTCAGAGGGTTTATCTTATAAGATCCACAGGGACGAAAACAGAGAAAGCAATAAAATAAAAAGAAAGCCCAGTATAAAGGTAAGTCTTCTCATCTCAGCCATTGAGGTGTCAAACGAAATAAATGTACTTAGTGTTGTGCACAGGCGTTTAGGCCTACTGGCCATCGGGACTACCGGGAGATTCCCGGTGACCGACGTGGGTTTTGGGCCGATACATCTCATAGCCTACTTTTATTTATTTTTTGTCTTAATGGCCCACAAAATTCATACTTCAGCAGCCCATTCGTTTTGTTTTGCTTAATTGGCGGCGCTGAGTTGCTTCCAAGTATAGCTTACTTCCAAGTATAAAAATTTGTACAAAAATAATTATGAAAGTTTCCTTTATTTTTCACTTCATTTGTTTAACAATATAGCCTATTATGTAGTAGTGTAATGTAGACAGTCTATGGGTAAAATCAATCTCGCCTAGGGCAACCAAAAGGCTAGAGCCGGCCCTGATTATTGTAGTGCTCTACTGGGTGGTTGCCCGGCACGCTTAATAAACAAACTCCAGCTGGAAGTATGACCATATTAGCCCGGTTCTGTCAACCCTGCATTGGCTGCCTATTAAACATCGTATACATTTCAAAATCGACTGCAGGAGGGAGATCCTTTTCCTATTTAGCACCAAAACTCTGGAACAATCTTCCTAACATTGTCTGGGAAGCAGACACGCTCTGTCAGTTCAAATCTAGACTAAAAACACATCTCTTTGGCTTAGCATACACATATCACACTATAGATTTCTATAATTCAAAATTAGGCTGCATAGTTTAGATCAGCCAGAAATGGGAACATGTCCCATACATCCTGATGTACTTGGTACATCATAAGAAGGGTGGCGTCTACACTGTGAAGTGGAACACACTTCAAAATGGCAGCAGGGATTCCACCGAGGGGAAGAGCTTAGGGAAGTTTGCAAGTGCGTGTCTAAAAGTGGACTGGAACGCAGCCCAATACTGCACCCCCTATAGACACACTGCAGTACTGCACCCCCTATAGACACACTCCAGTACTGCACCCCCTATAGACACACTGCAGTACTGCACCCCCTATAGACACACTGCAGTACTGCACCCCTATAGACACACTGCAGTACTGCACCCCCTATAGACACACTGCAGTACTGCACCCCCTATAGACACACTGCAGTACTGCACCCCCTATAGACACACTGCAGTACTGCACCCCCTATAGACACACTCAGTACTGCACCCCCTATAGACACACTGCAGTACTGCACCCCCTATAGACACACTGCAGTACTGCACCCCCTATAGACACACTCCAGTACTGCACCCCCTATAGACACACTGCAGTACTGCACCCCCTATAGACACACTGCAGTACTGCACCCCCTATAGACACACTGCAGTACTGCACCCCCTATAGACACACTCCAGTACTGCACCCCTATAGACACACTGCAGTACTGCACCCCCTATAGACACACTCCAGTACTGCACCCCCTATAGACACACTGCAGTACTGCACCCCCTATAGACACACTGCAGTACTGCACCCCCTATAGACACACTGCAGTACTGCACCCCTATAGACACACTGCAGTACTGCACCCCCTATAGACACACTGCAGTACTGCACCCCCTATAGACACACTGCAGTACTGCACCCCTATAGACACACTGCAGTACTGCACCCCCTATAGACACACTGCAGTACTGCACCCCCTATAGACACACTGCAGTACTGCACCCCCTATAGACACACTCCAGTACTGCACCCCTATAGACACACTGCAGTACTGCACCCCCTATAGACACACTGCAGTACTGCACCCCCTATAGACACACTGCAGTACTGCACGCCCTATAGACACACTCCAGTACTGCACCCCCTATAGACACACTGCAGTACTGCACGCCCTATAGACACACTGCAGTACTGCACCCCCTATAGACACACTGCAGTACTGCACCCCCTATAGACACACTCCAATACTGCACCCCCTATAGACACACTGCAGTACTGCACGCCCTATAGACACACTCCAGTACTGCACCCCCTATAGACACACTCCAGTATTGGACCTGCAAACTGAGTTTCAATGAAACACCTACATGCTTTATTTATGAATATAACAAAGCAGGACAACAGTTCAATCATCAAACTGTCCCCTATACTGTCCATTTGAAGACTTGTGACTACAAAAGTTTATATGAGACTAAAGATTGAAAATATGTTTTAGCGGGATTCTCAACTAACTGCAAGCCACAGTTTGGATGAAAGGGTTATTAACAGGACCCGGTTTATGTCTTTGAATCACGTTATTACTCAATATGTTTTAATAACAAATGGGTTGAGGTCAATCATTTTATTCATCAAAGGTCAGAATGAAGACAAAGCACAAACACATGTTATTTCAATCTCTAGAATAAGGGTTTTAAAACAATATTTTTCTCAAAACAGACAGTGAAAAGGTAACTGTGGAAAGTTTAGAATCCAATAGTGAAGTTCATCCGGTTGGATTAAACGCGGCGGCTTCTCCGGACGAGAGTCGCACTCCCAGCGGTGAGTGTCTGAAAGCAGAGAGAAAGAGAGATGACACCGAAGTAACTATCTCTGTGCTGAAATACAGGAGTACATGATTCTCATCTGACCTCGATCATCTCCTCGCCCTGGATCTCTCTCACGTGTGTGAATTTATCTGATTCAATCACGATCTTTCCATCGATGAGTCGAGCTGTTGCCTGAAACCACAAGAACAACTGATCAAATCTGATGAGCTGCTTAATATGACTGCAAATCTGTATTATATCTGTGCACACACACTCACATTCACACACACACATGTACACTCTCTCACTCAAGCACACACACAGGTGTAACGCAGGCCAGTTGTTGCTAGGTAACCACAGACTCCAGACTCTCTACAGACTAATTAACTACATTTTCTACCAATTACTGTTTGCTTAAATAAAACAGTTTTTCAATCTTTCGGACCTGACACTGAAGTCGCTTTATCAAACAGCGATCTCAACATCAGTCTGTGTGGGTAAAGTGCGGATCGTTTATCATAGTTTCAGCACGTATTACATTCAATAATGACATTTTTACATTTCCATCAATTCATCTCACGCTCGGACACAAACACGAGCAACACTCTACACACACTGGCCAATTGACACACACTTACATTCTCTTTTTCAGGGACACTGACTTGGTTTCAGACATGAATGAAGAGTTTGTGTCCTGGCGACTGTAGGACGGACTGACCTTGATCTTCTTGCCGTCCATGATGTTGAACTCGGTCTCAGTGCCGATGGTGAAGGTGTTGGTGTGGCTCCTGAGGGCCGTCTTCACACAGATGCTGAACTCCTCTCCGTTCTGCTCGATCGTTGTCAGAGGTTTCACTTCTTTCATCATTTTAATGTAAATCTCCGGAGCCGCTGCGCTCATAAAAACACGTCGCACCTCATTTTCAGTGCATACAACGACTTTAGAAAAGTTCAAATTACAGTAAAAGAAAAACAGAAGACTGGCATACTGGGTCATATTATGTCAAACTCACATATGGCTCTGAGAAACGCCTCGGGGTTCTCCTGTTCACACAGTTTCCAGCTTCCACTGAAGTCCATGATTCCTTTCTGTGACTGTAGATCTGAGATGTGATTATGAGGATCATGTGTGAGTCTGTTTGTGTTGGTTTATGTCTCAGGAGCTTCATGTTTGAGTCTTAAATTAGTCTCTCTGGGCTTTACATGCACATTAAAGATTAAACATGGCAGTAATACGAAATAAAGCATATCCTATAAAACACACGTCTATCCATATCCCTCAAAGCCAAAGTCGATGTCAGTCTGAATTAAAAGTTCTGTAAGATATTTACTGTTTGTGAGAGTCTCTTCTGCTCGACAAGACTGCATTTATTTGATCAAAAATACAATAAAAACAGTGACATATTATTCCGGTGTAAATGAGCTCTTTTCTACATGAATATACAGTAAAGTGTAATTTATTGGGGTGAAGTACTGGAGTGTGTCTGTATGTGTGCAGTACTGGAGTGTGTCTGTATGTGTGCAGTACTGGAGTGTGTCTGTATGTGTGCAGTACTGGAGTGTGTCTGTATGTGTGCAGTACTGGAGTGTGTCTGTATGTGTGCAGTACTGGAGTGTGTCTGTAGGGGGGTGTCGAACACTGCGGGTATTTCCGGTCAGTGAAGCCGAAGCGCAGCTGTTGTGAGGGTTTTCAGGCCTCGCTGCTGCTGTTGAAGTGAAAGCGACACGGAACCGCGTGGAGTGGAGAAGAATTCAGTCAGGAATCGTTCTTGATAGTGAATTATAATTGTCGGTAATAATCATAAGAGACTTTAATCATTATTATCATGTCTCGGTACATGAGACCGCCGAACAGCTCACTGTTTGTTCGAAATATTTCCGACGAGTCCCGGTAAGTGAAACTTTTCCATTTAATTTCCATTTGCTTTTACATTGTCATCAATTAAGCTTCTGTCTAGTTAAAAACGTTATTGTTTTCATTGATTATACTGTATAGATATGATGTTAGAAGAAAGGGTTTATTGTGGTTGGCGCGTGAATGTTGGCGTGAGCGCGCACAGCTCACGGGCATTGTTATTTTTAATATTAATTTGTCTATCATTATAATCCCGCTAGTCTTTTACAAATATCTGTTTTTTTTTTTCAGCTCAGGGACTGATGTATACTCGTGTTATTAATAATCATATGTTTGAGATTACCTGGTGTTAGTATTGTATTTCACTAACCAAAATTAACAGAGTTAGCATCCTGATATTCCGATTTTAAAGTTTGTTTATATCTTGACATATATTCAGTCATTAGTGCAATAAAAGCTGTTTTTTTTTTATTTAGTTAGTTATTTGACAGGGACAATGTACATTAATTGACATTACTGTAAATGCACCAGAATTAGCCAAAAGGCTATTTTTCATCTGTTGTCCCTGGACAGATCTTAAAATTGTCTACCTAAAATAAACAACAATAAAAGATTACAATGAACAATACAAATATAAAAAAACGTAAAACAGATATATTTCTTCAGTCCTAATAAATACAGTGTACACACTTGCTATAATAGACATTGTTAAAATTGATACCAATTTATAAAAATTATACTACACACTGACCCAGCATAGACACAGGTCGCAGTACCGTTGGATTAAGTGACGATACCTAGTCTTATTAATGCTCACATGTCTGATGTGTTATGATCCAGTTTTTCAGATGTTTTTTGAATAGAGAGTATGTGGTGAGTTCTCTGATGTTCTGAGGGACAGAGTTGCACTCCTGCGCTGCTGTGACTGAAAAGGCACTCTGACTAAATGCACTTTTTCGCAGAGGAACAACACAGTCTCATCGGGCCGACCCTCGTGTTACTCTCTGTGTGGTGTTTCTAATGTTTACAAACTGACTGAGTGGAGGGGATGACAGACCATGGATGATTTTGTATAACAGACAAAGATTTGAATACTTGATGACATTTTCCCAACCTAAAAGCTTATGCTTCTGTAAAATGGCACAATGGTGATAACTTGAGGGCTTTTTATCCAGAATTTTAATTGTCTGTTTGTAAAGTGACTCTAAAGATTTTAGTGTTGTTTTATTTGCCTGATTAAACCTACTAATGAAGTAGAATTACCAGAAAACTCGTAAAATTAGTACTTATTTCATATCCAGAATACGTTTCATTAACTGTGTTTTTTTAAGGAATATTCTGGGACAATATTTGTGGCACAATGTTGAACACAAAAATACATTTTCACTCCTTTTTTTTTAATTTAGTTGATATAAACAACGGAAGTGAATGAATGGGTCAAATTACCAAAATGTTGAATATCAGTATTACAGAAAACAAGTGTAATAATGTGTGAGTAGTGTGGAAAAATCACGTACTAATCTTTTTTTTTATGTATTTTTACAACTTAATTATTTTTTGCTATAAACCTTAAAGTGTTGCAATATAAATGCTAACAGAAGAATGAGTGAGATCCTCCAGAAACTGCCCTGGTTTGAGTGTGTGTGTGTGTGTGTGTGTGTGTGTCAGCATAATCGCCTGTTTTGCCTTTTCTTGAAGGAACTGAGGGAAGATCTGAAGCTTGTTTTTGTGTTAATCGACAGTATCCGCTGCTCTACCTGCGCGCGCGCGTGTGTGTGTTTGACTGCTGTGAGTGTGTGTCACTCGAGGGTGGCTGCACTTCCACCAATAAGAGCGTGTGTATTTCCCGGTGTTCAGGCCAGAGGACCTGCGCCGAGAGTTCGGCCGATACGGGCCCGTGGCCGACGTCTACATTCCTCTAGACTTCTATTCACGCCGACCCAGAGGATTTGCGTACATTCAATATCCTTTTCAGCCCGTGTGGATCTGCAGCGTGTGTGTGTGTGTGTGTGTGTGTGTGTGTTTCTCTCCGCAGCTCGCTCTGGTCTAACCCTTATTTCTCTGTTGTCGCCCCAGACTGTGTAAAGCGCCCAGTCGTGGAGCCTGGCACACACACAGAGTTAAAAGACCCGTGTAGAGTAGGACTAAAGCCAAGACACAGCAGCCAAGAAAGAAAGATCAAGCGATCGCTACTTACAGAGAGGCAAAGAGTCAAAGCAAGTTAAAGATCGAAGATTAAAGATCCAAGAGACAGAGGAAAAGAGGAGGAGGAGGAGGAGGAGGAAGAGTGACAGAGAGAAAACAGAGGAAAAGAGGAGGAGGAGTGACAGAGAGAAAACAGAGTGCAGACAGAGACGGAAGAGCGTAAAGATCCAGGTAACGGTGCCACCCGTATCCTCCATCACCCAGGACCTGCTCAGTGTGTGTGTGTGTGTGTGTGTGTGAGGGGAGGCTCATGCTAAGTGTGTGTGTGTGTGTGTGAGTGAGGGGAGGCTCATGCTAAGTGTGTGTGTGTGTGTGTGAGTGAGGGGAGGCTCATGCTAAGTGTGTGTGTGTGTGAGGAAGCTCAGTGTGTGTGTGTGTGTGTGTGTGTGTGTGTGTGTGTGTGTGAGAGGAGGCTCATGCTAAGTGTGTGTGTGTGTGAGGAGGCTCATGCTCAGTGTGTGTGTGTGTGTGTGAGGAGGCTCATGCTAAGTGTGTGTGTGTGTGTGTGAGGAGGCTCATGCTCAGTGTGTGTGTGTGTGAGAGGAGGCTCATGCTCAGTGTGAGCTGCTGTAGTGTGCACTGTGCCGTTAGAGCCCTTAATAGCACGGCACGTTTGAAGATGTCCGTGACGCGGAAGACGCTCTGCACAACCTGGACAGGAAGTGGGTTTGCGGACGGCAGATCGAGATCCAGTTCGCTCAGGGAGATCGCAAGAGTAAGTTCTGCTGGATCTGAGATGAGTGTGTGTGTGTGTGGAGTGTGTTTACAGTGTCTTGTTGTGTTTCTCAGCACCTGGTCAGATGAAGACGAAGGAGCGCCAGTCTCCGCGCAGCGAACGGGACGGCAGACGCAGACGCTCTCGCAGCCGCAGCGACAGACGCAGATCACGCAGCCAATCCTACGAGAGACGGCGCCGGCGGTCCGACAGCCCCCGAGAGTGAGTCGCACGATCTCCGTCGCATGACCCCGTGTCACATGACCGTATTGCATAACCGCGTTTCGCATGACCTGTCACATGACTGTGTCACATGATCTCCATCACATGACCTTGTGTCGCATGATCTCCGTCCCATGATCTCCGTCACATGACCTTGTCGCATGATCTCCGTTCTGTGTCACATGATCTCCGTCACATGACCTTGTGTCCCATGACCTCCGTCGCATGACCTCATGTCGCATCATGACCCACATGACCTGTGTGGAGAACGGTGGCTCTGTCAGCTCTGACGTGTGTTTCTCCCTGCAGCTCCAGAGGAAGGCCCCACAGCAGACGCAGCCGCAGTCGAGAACACGACAGGTAAATCCACTAACCGCTCTCAGAGCAGCTTCACTGTTGTTTTAAATTCTGGAGAACAAAATGACTAATTTCCAAATAGTTTGACAAACATCTCAGGAAGATCTTGGGGTTTCTAATCAAAACATGACTTTCTGTTTCGAAACCGGGCATTGTTTTCTTCTTGCCTGCAAACTAGTCGCTACAGCAAAGTTCGCCGTGTTGAATGAAGGGATGAAGTTTGATTGTAAACTTCACAATAATAATTGAACGAGGCTAATTATACTGGAGTGAGACCGTAGACACCTTCCGACGCTCTGTCACACAGATCTCTGTAGCGTCTCAGTTCAAGCAAACCTGTTCCGCTTTACAGCGCGACAGAAATCATGACTGAACACAGGGCTCGACATTAAAGCTTCAAGCCTTGTGATTCAAAAACGACAGATTTTTAAACCAAAGGCTGCTAAAGAAGTATTTTTGGTATGTGTGTGTTGTCTGAGACCGACACACACCTGAAAGCATACAGCGCGTGATACTGACACCTTATTGGGCTTGAACTGTGGAATACACACACACACACACAGTGTCAAAATGCCCTTCACTGCGAGGATCCTCGTAAACAGTCGTTAAGTGAACGTAAACCGTGTAGAAAGAAAACGTAACATTATCTTAGATCAGTGCATGCGGTCTTAAAGTGACCGCAGCCTAATAAACCCGCTGCCGTCTGTCTTTAATCTTGATCAAACACCGTCACTTTAGTAACTTTAATACAGTTAAAGGAGAACTCCGGCAAACAATGAACCTTTGGTCTAATAACACATCGGTACCTAGTCAATCGTTCTCTGAGATTTGTTTTCATGATAATCGAATATAAAGAGTTTTATCTGTAAAAACTGTTTAGCGTATAATGCTAGTAATGGGGGCATTGACTAAGTAAAAAGAAATCGCTAGTTTATACCACTAACAAGGCTCAAAATAGCCCCACACTAACACAGAAACATAATGAGGCTCCACACATGCAAAACGAAGCATTGAGAACTTTGTAAGTGTACAGACCGTTTAATAAGAAGATACTTTATGAAGACAGTCGACTTCGTGTATACACAACAGGAGCCATCTTAGAAAATAGTCTCGATAAGTCGATCCCTGAACGCCGTTCATACAGTTCAGATCACTCAGCACGACGTTCGTGGTTTGACTTATCATTCCACAACTAAGTTACTCAAAAACTATGTTCTTGTCTCCCGCCACCGGAGTGTGTGTGTCTGAGGTAAAAGGGGCGGAGGCAGTGGACCAACGCACTGTGAAGCAAGGGAGGGGGGTCTCAAAATGCTTAGAACACTTTTTTTGTTATTGCCCCGTTTGCATTTGTGTTATTTTATTTCTTAATTATTTTAAGACTATATCATTACATTATTTACAATACACATATTTTAAATGTTTTTTTTGGGGGGGACAACCCTCAGATAGGGAAATTCTGTCAGTATTTACTCACCCTCATGTTGTTCCAAACCTCTATGTGTTTATTTGTTCTGCTGAACACAAAGGAAGATATTTGGAAGAATATTTTAGTCAATCAGATCTCATTCCCCATTGACTACCATAGTAGGAAAAAAATACATACTATGGTAGTCAATGGGGAATGAGATCTGTTTGATTAAAACATTCTTCGAAATATCTTCCTTTGTGTTCAGCAGAACAAATAAACACATAGAGGTTTGGAACAACATGAGGGTGAGTAAATACTGACAGAATTTTCATTTTTGGGGGAACTAACCCTGTAAAGCTCATAACCATATTTAGTTGTTTCCTGAAGAGTGCAGGGTTATGCTGCATCATGCAGGATGTGTCATGAAAAAGCTACTGAGTACATGCCTGTATTACCTCAATAAATTTAAGGTCATTCCTATTTTATCTGTTTACGTTTTAATCATTAACTTTAAAAGCGCAAAACAAAAAACAGAATTTGGGAAAAAATAAAACTGATTTCATAGGGCCCTAACAATCTGAACTGTTTTATAACTGAGTGTTGTAGTTGGCGGATCAGGCACTTGCTGCATTCTTGTTTATAATAGGTATAGGTAATAGGTAAGTTAATTAAAGTTGCTTTTATTTTTGTTCTTTTAAAGTTAAAAAAATAATGTGTTAAGTAAGTAAAACTGACCCGGCGGTATCGGTCGACCACTCGCTGATGGCATTGGTGTTGCTGAAGCAGAAACTGATGCGCTGATGTGTGTTTAATGCTCTGTACATGTAGTGCTGTGTGTGTTTCTGTGGCACTGCAGTATTGTAATGGTCATGTGATCCTCAGGCACCGGCCGTCTGCGCGTGAACACCACCGCTCTCGGGTCGACGAGCGCTCCCGCAGCCCCTCTCACTCCAAGGCCCGGTCCGGACGCAGAGAGTCTGACGCGGCTCGGTCCCGCTCCAAGTCCATCAGCCCACGCCAAGCCAACGATTTCCACATGGAGAACCAGGATTCTGCTCTGGGCAAGACGCACATGCACTCCCCGTCCCGGTCCCGGTCCCCGTCCCGCTCACGGTCCCGCTCGCGCTCCTGGGCCGGCCGCAAGTCCTGGGGGCATTAGACCATACAAGTCCTCAATGGGTGGTTTTCTTTTTTTTGTTTTTTCGGTTTAGTGTTTGGGATGCAGTGTGAAGGCGTACTGGCGGTCATAAACCTGCCAGTTTCAGCTGTCGGTCTATTTCTTTTAATAAGGAGAAGAGTCCTCCTGCATCCAGTTTTAGCAAATGTTCACATGTCTGTTTATAGGCTGCCGGCAATGCTCATACTAGCATTGAAGTATTCAGCGAAAGACGTCTTTTGGGTTTAGTTCACAAGCGCAGCTGCATTTGAGACCGAATGAGAGATGTAAGTGGCTTTCAATATTTTTGTATGAGATTTGTGTTAATTGACCAGTAATGGCCATCCATTCAAAACGGTCTTCCACGAGTGTCTCGGATGTGTTTTTTACTTTTAAAATCTGCAGGCCTTTTACATGTAACCTCAAAATGAAATAAATTTCTTGTGCATCAGTTTGATGTTGATCTCATTTTATCCTCAGATCTTGCGGCATGATTTAAGGAAATTACTCCATTACTTATTAGCACATTGTGTACTTGTGTTTTTACGTCTAGACTAGATCGATCCCCTCGGACATGACGTCACACAACAGAGCTAAGTTTAGCCTTCTGATTGATTTTCCAAAACCCTAAAATTAACTTCTTATTGACTCAACCCTCATTCCATCTGAATCTCTGTAGGACTGTGTAACAAAAAAAAGATATTTTGAAAAATGTCTTTAAAAACAAAAATGACGGTCAAAATATGTTCATGCTGTAGGGCAGGGATGGCAACTCCGGTCCTCGAGGGCCACTGTCCTGCTAAGTTTAGCTCCAACCCTGAGAAAAAATAGTTTTAGTAATCCTGAAAACATTGATTAGCTTGTTCAGGTGTGCTTAATTAGGGTTGGAGCTAAACTCTGCCGGACAGTGGCCCTCGAGGACCGGAGTTGCCCATCGGAAAAAAAACTATTTGGAATATCATGAATAATCAAACAAGAAGTTTATCATAAAATGCTGATTGATTTATTCTGTCTTTAGCTTTGATTAGTCATGTTCTCTACACGAGTGTCCTTTGATGATGTGTCGCATAAACCGGCCGCTGACCACGTGACCCATCGGCATTACGTGATCGTATTTTGCGTAGAACAGAACAGCCAAATGCATGTAAAAGCAGCAAATCAATGAGGCTGTTTCACAACAAAACCCATCCCACGATCTATTGCCTCCCATGCCTCTGATTGGCTGAGAAGTGCCGAAGCTCCGCCTACTCAGAACATCGCCGTGCGCTCTGGCCATTGATTCTTCAAAGATGGGTTTAAAAACATTGACAGACATCGGCTTGAGGGAAAATCTTGATTGGACTCAGTTCATGTATGAAATCGGACATGACCGATTGATCATTAATGAGGATAATAAGTATCGACAAATGGAGAACTAGTTAATCTCACAGACTCAGTCTCCCTGTAGCATCACGCATGGCTGCTGTTTTTGCTTTTACATGTTGAGGTGAGCAGAACCTGAGCGAGTCTCTTCAGTTCTCAGCTGAATGCCACGAATAAACCGTAAAGCCTTCTCGCAGTGTGGTGAGAGTTGCGTGACTGCAGTGGCGCTGCCCGTCTCAGTGCCCAGATGACCTGCAGGCCTTTACAGCCACGCACGCAACACCGCATCGATCACTTGTTCCAGCATATAAAGTCACCAGCGACCTACTTTTGACAAACCAGTGTCTCTTTCAGCTCATAGTGAAGCAGATGTAGTTTGATTATGCCATTTGCTGGATTCAGTTTTTCTCATTGAATGTTTTTATATTTTTGAGAGAAGTGACTATTTCAAATGGTGAGTACTGCACATTTTTTATCATCTGTGAACTTCTGTTATCAGTTTTCAGGTCCATTTTAATAGACGAGCTTACAGATCTCAGTAAGGTTACATGCACGGCACGTGTTCGCTCTGTAACCCCTGTTAAAGCACAGATTGGTATATGTGGTGTTTGTGTGCGCGACTGAGCTGTTTCTCGGCCCGTCAGGAGGATGGGGGACTGGAACTTCTTGGGGGGAATTCTGGAGGAGGTCCACATCCACTCCACCATGGTGGGAAAGATCTGGCTCACCATCCTCTTCATTTTCCGCATGCTGGTTCTGGGCGTGGCGGCCGAGGACGTGTGGAACGACGAGCAGTCCGACTTCATCTGTAACACGGAGCAGCCCGGCTGCCACAACGTGTGCTACGACCGGGCCTTCCCCATCTCCCTGATCCGCTACTGGGTCCTGCAGGTCATCTTCGTGTCCTCGCCCTCGCTGGTCTACATGGGTCACGCCATATACCGGCTGCGCGTGCTGGAGAAGGAGAGGCACTGCAAGAGAGTGGCCCTGCGCCGGGAGCTGGACACGATGGACCTGGAGGTTCTGGAGCCCCGGCGCCGGGTCGAGCGGGAGCTCAGGCAGCTGGAGACCGGGAAGCTCAACAAGGCTCCGCTGCGGGGGTCGCTGCTCAGAACATACGTCGCCCACATCGTGACCCGGTCCGTGGTGGAGGTGGGCTTCATGCTGGGCCAGTACCTGCTGTACGGGCACCATCTGGAGCCGCTGTACAAGTGTGACCGGGAGCCGTGCCCCAACACCGTGGATTGCTTCGTCTCCCGGCCCACGGAGAAGAGCGTGTTCATGGTGTTCATGCAGGGCATCGCAGCCGTGTCCCTGTTCCTCAGCCTGATGGAGATCCTGCATCTCGCATACAAGAAACTGAAGGCGGGACTCCTGGACTACTATCCTCAGCTGAAAGAGGACCTGGGAGAGTATTACGGCAAGAAGAACTCCGTGGTGCATCAGGCGTGCGTGAGCCAGGGCCGTAAAGCCACCATCCCCACGCTCCCGGGCGGATTTGCTCCGCTCATGGAAAAGCAGGGCAACGGCCCCACTTACCCCGCGCTCATCAACCCCCTGTGCACCTTCGTCCCGGTGCAGGGCGAGCCGGGTCTGGACCCGCAGAGGCAGAACCGGGACCTCGTTCTCGGTCCGCTGGAGCGCAACAGCAACTCCAACAACACGAGCGGGACCCGCTCTCCGCTGGCGCTCGAGTCCGAGAGCTCGGTTCTGCCCGGCCCGACGGCGCTGCGCAAGCAGAGGAGAGTGAGCCCGGCCTGGAACTGCAGCACCGTGATGGAGGGCAACGGGTCGGACAGCGGAGACTCCAGCACCGGGCCTGAGGCCGACCCGAGCACGAGGACTCGCTGCGGACGGGCCGTGTCCATGTCCGACCTGAGGAGAGCCGGCAGAACACACACACCCGACTCCGTGGCGGAGCGGAGCTCTGGGTCACGGCACCACAGTTCTGTGGAGAGTCCCAGCTTCTCTCCGGGGCGACAGAGAGCATCCCCGGCCAGCAGCAGCAGACGAGCAGACCTGAAGATCTGACAATCCTCATGGTACTCTCCTGTGTCTTTAACACTTTAGGCAGATCTGGGGTCTTATTTATAAAGTGTGCGTACGCACCAGACGGGGCTGGACACGTACGTACGCCAGTTTCCGCGCAAAGGTTGTGATCTATAAAAAGCAAACTTGACGGGAGCATGTGCGCACCTTTAAGCAAACTTTGAGCCGTCCGTCCGCGCATTCTGGAGACAAAGGGAGTTGGCGACACCGATGGTGAGCTGGAGTTAAATGTCTTTTTGGTCACTTTTAGACTGAAAATCTGAAGAAAATTATGGCCTATAGGCTACAGAAAGATAATAGCCCACAGATATAGTATCACTCACTAAGCCGATCACTGGAAGCCAATATCCATCCCTTCTTAAGTGTCCGCTCAGCGAGCGCGTCGGGCCGTTTAGTGAAACGCACAGATATAGCCTATAATCTAACGGCAGATGAAGGAAAACCGTAAATCATCATGATTAATAAATACAGTGCGTGTTCTCAATAACAGTTTAAATCAATGAAAGAATGATTTAAACTATGCTTTACTTCTGAAATAAATAGATTAAATATGCCATTCTCATACCGGAGATAAACACTTAAACTACATGAAATCATTACGTTGCAATTGAAGACGTTGCAAAAAAATATATACACTACGGGTCAAAAGTTTTAGATCAGTAAGATTTTTTTGTTTTTAAAAGAAGTCTCTTCTGCTCACCAAGGCTACAATTATTTGATTAAAGAAACAAAATAACAAACAGTAATATTGTGAAATATTATTACAATTTAAAACAGCGGTTTTCTATGTGAATATATAGTGAAGTGTATAATATAGAATCAGTGTTGAGTAAGTTACTCTAAAAAAGTAATTAATTACTAGTTACTAATTACCTCTTCAACAGTGTAATTAGAGTACTGTACTAATTACTCTCTCTATAAAAAGTATTTAATTACTTTCAAAATCCCATGTCAATCTCAACCAGCTGAATAATACAAGGATAGACATGAATCCGTTTTAATTCTTTCAAAAAAATACTATAAAATTGCATTATCCTTAAACTGACCAAGGTGGAGAAGGTTATATTATAAAAACATACTTTTTAACACCAGAGAATACATTTTGATGTTAAACCCACTATTGTTTTATGTCTGATCTCATGACATTGCACACTTTTTTCATACATATTTTACAATAATTCATACGAATTTGTACGAGTGCGGTCGTAATATTTAGACACCTCATAAAATACGTACGAATCGCTTTGAGATCGGATTGATCTATACACAGTATTTACCTCAATTACATCAGAAGTAACTGTAATTAAATTACAGATAAATGAAGAGTAATCCCTTACTTTACATTTTCAAGTGAAAAGTAATTAAATTACAGTAACTAATTACTTAGTAAATAGTTACACCCAACACTGTATAGAATATATACTGAATTTACAGCATCATTACTCCAGTCTTCAGTGTCACATGATCCTACAAAAATTATTATAATATGATGCTCAAGAAACATTTATGATTATTATCCATGTTTTTATTTCAGGATTTTTTGATGAATAGAAAGTTCAAAAGAACAGAATTGATCTGAAATGGAAAGCTTTTGTAACATTAATCACTACCATTCAAAAGTTTGGGGTCAGTAAGAATTTACTTTTTATTTTTGGGGGAAAGAAATAAGAAAATACTTTTATTCATCAAGGATGAGTTAAATTGATCAAAAGTTACAGTAAAGACATTTATAATGGTAGAAAAGATTATATTTTAAATAAATGCTGTTCTTTTGAACTTTCTATTCATCATAGAATTTTTTTTTGGGGGGGGGGGGGTACACGACTGTTTTCAACATTGAAAATAATAATTTATGTTTTTGAGCATAAAATCAGCATATTAGAATGATTTCTGAAGGATCATGTGACACTGAAAACTGATGTGTAATCAGCAACAGTAATGATGTTGAAAATTCAGCTTTCAAATTACATTTTAAAATTATATTAAAATAGAAAAGTCATTTTAAATTATCATAATATTTCACAATATTACTGTTTGTCATTTTTTTTTCATCAAATAAAGCAGCCTTGGTGAGCAGATGAGACTTCATTTAAAAACATAAAAAAATCTTACTGATCTAAAACTTATATATTCAATAAATAGAAATATTTTTAACGCTTTCCCTCTGGCATGCTGTGTTTTAATGTTTTAACTCCAGATAATTGCTAATCATGATAATAGCAGATTGTCTGAGAAAATAGTTCCATGCAAATTAATTAAATTAATTAAAAATACTATTTGGCCAGTGGAACAGACTGAGAAAATCTTTTTCTGAAATGTATTTTGCACTATTTGATTTATTTATTCAAAAACAAGGATATAGGCTAATAAAAAAAGAATATTTTATTGTGACACGCACATCTGTATTTCATATTTTCCTAACGTCTTGTACCTTAACATGGTATCACGTGGATGACTAATCATATGCAAATGATATGCAGATGAGGATATGCATATTTAAACTGTTGTAAGGTCCATATATGGTTATTTTGGGGAGGAGATGCACGTGTGCACAATCTCCCACTGACTGGGGTTTATAAAGGGAATTCTGCGCAGGTTCTGGCGTATGAACCATTTTATAAATCTGAATATTTTTTGGCGTACGCCATTTTTGGCTTTCGGGCGCACATACACTTTTAGTAAGGATCCTACGCCCAGTTTTATAAATGAAACCCCTGAACAGACTCTACTGTGTGTTATTCCTTCATTTTTATTAAAGGAGAACTCTGGCGCAAAATTAATCTTTGGTCTAACAACACTTTGGTACCTAGTCGAACCTTCTTTGTTTTCATGATAATCGAATGTAAAGAGTTTTATCTCTAAAAACTGTTTAGCGTATAACGCTAGTAATGGGGGCATTTATTAAAGCAAAAAGAAATCGCTAGTTTATACCACTAACAAGGCTGAAAATAGCCCCACGCTAACACAGTAACATAATGAGGGTCCCTACATGTCGACTGTCTTCATAAAGTATCTTCTTATTAAACGGTCTGTACACTTATAAAGTTCTCAATGCTTCGTTTTGCATGTGTGGAGCCTCATTATGTTACTGTGTTAGTGTGGGGCTATTTTGAGCCTTGTTAGTGGTATAAACTAGCGATTTCTTTTTACTTAGTCAATGCCCCCATTACTAGCATTATACGCTAAACAGTTTTTAGAGATAAAACTCTTTACATTCGATTATCATGAAAACAAATCTCAGAGAACGATTGACTAGGTATCGATGTGTTATTAGACCAAAGGTTCATTGTTCGCCAGAGTTGGCTTTATGCACAGCTGCCCTACTTCCTGAACTTCAGCCAGCTCCTTGTTTCCTGTCTGCCATTATTGGACACACTGATTAATTCAGGTGTGCTTGACCTCAGTAGTCGCGGCAACAATAATCATCCACACCTGAATTAATCAGTGTGTCCAATAATGGCAGACAGGAAACAAGGAGCTGGCTGAAGTTCAGGAAGTAGTGCAGCTGTGCATAAAGCCCGTTCTCCTTTAATGCTATAGGTCACATGACAGGTTTCTTTCTCTTTTTGTTTTGCTTTGGTGAAGGGATAGTTCACCCAAAAGTAATCATTCTGTCATAATGTAAATGTCTTAGTGTTATTTTGTTGTTTTTGTATATAGTTTGTATACTCATTTATCACCCCCTTTCAGAATTTGTGCAAATATGAGAAATTGTCACACTGAAGAAAAAAGTCATTCCTCAATTTAAAAAAAAAATCATAATCATCTTGCAGATTCTGTAAGGGTAGGGAAACATACACACCAAACTATTGTGATATAAAGGGATTATTTCCCACAATGCACCTGTATCCAAGTAGCTGTTTCACCTTCAAAGACATTTGACAAATAAAATGTGAAAAGTTTTATCAATATTTTTCCAAAACCAACACAGAAGAAATGTTCTGAAGCATTGTTTTTAATAAAGTTTTATAATTAAAGCATCAAGGTCTAGTTTAAGATCTTTAAATATGCATTTTATTATATTCTTCAAGTGTATAACTGATGTTGTAAGTTAAACAGGAATTGTATGTTTGTAGTTTCATAAATGTCTACTAATATTACTATTCCAATATCCACAAATTAAGAACGGTGCAAAAAATACTTTTATTAAATATCAGGCACAAACTTGAACATAAATTGTCACTTCTTAGACATTGTATTACAAAACAAACACTAAGGAACAAATAATATTTTTTACAAATGCAAAAAAATACATTTCAAAATGGCAACGAGGTTTTATTCTGTTGCTTCTTCCTGCGCTGGCTCGTACTGCAGGAGCTGTAGATGAAGTTCACACACACACACACCATGAGCTGAGGCGCCTGTCAAACACTCATAACTCCAGTGAACACAAGCTGTGTAATTGTCTCACCCGGTTCCTCAGATCCGTGTTTTCGGCCAGGAGCTGCTCGTATTTCTTCTGTAAGTCGGTCAGTTCCAGACGCAGAGTCTCGGAGTCGTCCTCCTCCGGCCCTGCGACGCCCAGGTGATGCTTGATGAAGCTGGAGTTGGGTTAGTTAGGGCTTAGTCATACTGACTCCAGGACCACACTCATATCAGTCTTAGTTAAAACACATTAGGAAACATTTGTCATTTAATTCAGTGTCTTTAATTCACCACAAGCTTGGACGCAACAGTCAGAAGTGATTGAAATATATTATATATTTATACCATTGCATGCCCAAGCTTGTTCATAAATAAATAAAAATTATTGAAATTAACCAAGGAAGACATCTTTAATCAGCTGAATGTAAGTGCGGTTACGTTAAACAATGGAATCTAGTTTTGCTTTACATTAGTCTAAACAAGACAGAGCAGATTCTGGTCTGAGAAAAGCAGATTTCAGCACGTCCTGGTCTCAGATCAGCACAGAAGCGTTTGGTTTCAGTGGAAGTAAAGGATACTCCAAGGCATTGTTGGGTTTCTCCGTTTCCTCGTACAAAGCCACCAAAACTGAAATACAGAAGGTCAAATCAGCTGCATGCAAAATGTTTGATTAATATTGGTTTGAAGAGTGATTTTACCATTGGTGAGACTGTCGAGGACTCCGGCCTTCTCCAGATATCTCCTGAACTGCTCTCGCTTCGACTCGGAGGCCTGCAAACAACACACAAGAACACTCAAACTATTTCCACTTCAGAACAAAGTGTGTAAGTTAACTTTTCCCCAACCTCGAGCTAAAGTAGGTGAAACATTCACACACACATTCAGCCGCGAGTCTGAGAGGATTCACAGAAGAAGGTTATTAACATATTAGAGCAGTTGAATAACATTTACGTTAACGTACATGTTACTTTGTTAGATTTTGTATCAAGTGTCGTGTATTAGAGTCAGCGTTGTGTTTGTTAGTGGATGGTGTCTCTAGTTAATGAGATTCTGTTCAGCTGTGTGAACTTCAGGAGAACCGACATTAAAACACCAGCGGCTTTAACGAAGATAAAAGATCCAAACATACACTTTATCACACATTTATACTGTAAGTTAAAAGTTTACGTTCTTTCACGACGTCCATGAAAGATATATAGCTTATAAAAGCTAAACAACAGCTCAAATTCTTTCTGTTCTAGTAAAACAGTATCTTTACATGGATAAATGTCGAGTTTTATTTACTCACTCTGTAATGCGCCATCGTGAATGACAGTCACGAAATGTTTGTTCGTCAAATGCCTCGGACGGGCGACTCTTCCGTGCGCATGCGCTGAGCAAAGGCGGAAACACAACACACACGGTCGCCCAGGCAACGCTTAAAGGGGCCGTCATCCACACTAACAGCTAAAGCAGGGGTTCTCAAACATTTTGGTGCCAGGGACCCCTTTCAGGGGAAAAAAAATTCCAAGGACCCCCCCTCATATTTATAACAGTTATTGAGCACAAAGTTAATGTGTGAGAGGCAAATGAAATATTTTTGCACAAAATGAATGGTCTCCACCCAGGGTACTATGCAGGAATTTCTAAATAGCCTACTGAGGTAACGAAAGTGATCTTGCTAGGAATCACTTAGGATCCCTCACTTAGGAATTTTTGATGTTCTTGATCTACACATGTGCATTTTAAGGTGTTTTAAGGCCCCACAATTGGATAACTATAGATTTAGTAGAAGCATGTCAGTCAGTGGCATACATTTTTTTTTGTCAAGATGTCACGAAACACAATCACATATTCCAATCAGGAATGGCCTTAAAAGAGAAATGTTTCAATAATTAGGCCTATTCTGCACACAAATAAAGCCCATAAGCCTATAAATACAATGATAATGGCATTATGTTTAATAGGTGCGTGCGTTGTTAATTTGAGCTACTGTAATTAGCTAAAAAAAAACATACAGTATATGTTAAATATATGAATCCATAATGTTAATCTCATGGGCACAGTATGTTTCTATTGACCTGCTTTTTCCTTCGTTAAAGTTGAGCTTGATTAATACTTTGCAAACTGATTGTTTCAGTCGTTTTTTAAAACTTTTATCTAAAACAGCTGTTTATGTTAATTAAGGCCTACATCTTATCTCGCACTTTATGACCGTTGACTGAAACGTCGTGCGGGGAACTTTGAGTTCACTCCGACTCAAACATTTTGACATTGACGAGCTATCGTTGTTAGTCTGCTGAAGCACCTCAGACGAGTATCATCGCGATGTGCATCCTTGCAACCTCAGTTGTGGTTACGGCCCTGTCACTATGCACTTTTATTTTGATAATGATCAGACTTCTAATGTCAAATCTACAGTAGCAGTGCTAGAACTGACTATTGTGCGCGCACGCGAGACGCCGGCGCGCAATTACATGGGAATTTTTCCTCAGCAGTGGAAACAGGAATACTCTTATTTATGGTCATAGATAAGACAAGAGTGCATCATCCGAAACGGTAAAGTGTCCATTTTTTATTTGTGTATAGGCTACATTATAAATGACTACAAAATGTCATGCCTTTTAAAAATACAGAAAAGAACCGGATGCGGGTTCATCTCCTTTCTGGCGCACGTCCCGCAAAATCAACAGCAGCTAATCTACTTGACGCAAAGACATAGATTATCTATCTATAGAAAACTTTAAGTGTCTACTTTGTATTGTTTTATGTTAAATGCTTTATATAAGTTACTTAGGAATAAACAGCATGTTTTCAGATGATAAAGAAAACATGACTCATAGCATGGAAAAAAAACATTAGGTTGTAAATTATTTCGCGGACCCCCTGGCTTTAGCTCGCGGACCACCAGGGGTCCGCGGACCCCACTTTGAGAACCACTGAGCTAAAGCACTAACCTCCTCAGTTTACCCTTGAGCTGAGAGAACTAATGTGTTAATTACTGGCAAGAGTTAACACACAAGGAAATTAGGCTTTTATAGTTATTGCATTTATTCACTGTTCACGTTTTTGGTGATATACATGTGGGATATATTAATTAACAGACTCACGGATATTCCTTTTCATTTATTCATTTCATTTAGCTAGTTTGAAAACTAATTTCTCTCAACTGTGGTTACAGCGTTTACAGCTTAAAAATGATCTAAATGATCATATAATTATCGTCATGATTAAACGAGCTTCGTCTCGTTTTCGTTAATGAAGTGAACAGTGTTTTTGAGTAGTTTACTAGATTAAAAATTACACAGTTGAGTAATTCACCACAGCACTAATGACCAAAGACTTTCATAAATAAAAATCATAATAATATTATTGCAGATAATATAATATAAAATAATATTTTTGCAGAAATAATAATGCTGGAATGCAGAAATACTACACAGAGCAATAAGCATGTTAGAAAAAGTAATTAAATACAATAATTCTTGGATTTAACTGATTTCTCTGTAGAGCTATATTGAAAGTTCATCATACTTGCATTTATTTCCATTGAAAGATATACATTCTTTATTCGTTACTTGTTTCCCCTGATTTCTATGTTTATGTACCACTATCTCAATTTATTTTTATTGTTTATGTCATGTTTATTTGTACTTAACTGTAAAGCAACCTTGAGAACTCTAAAAGGCGCTACATAAAATAAACATATTATTATCATTTATTATTTATTATTACACATAGAAACAGATGAACTTAAAATATGAATGATCCTGTGTCTCCCTCTAGTGTTCAATATTGGAGTGTCTGTGTGTGTGTGAGTGTTCGTGTGTGTCCTAGATTAGGTCAGCCTGAACAGGGAACACTTCCCTTAAATCCTGATGTACTCATTACATCATAAGAAGAATGGCATTCACACTAATTTGAGTGTCTTTGTTTATCCCGAGGTTTTCCCGCAGGTTTTCCAGGCCGTATCCAGATCTGACGAGGATCTTAGCCTGGACCCGATGACAGTGCTGAAGTGCCAACTAGCCTCTCCTTATGGAGGATCCCTTTCCCACTCTACAGATAAAGCGTTGTGAATGACAAACCTGCTCACATATAGACCATTTCACAAGATGTAAACAACACTGGTCCAGAAGCACTTCCTGTTTCAGTTTGCAACTGTTTTCTTTATTTCACATGTAGAGAAAACCTCTTAAAGATGTTTGTTTAACTTTTTGATTCAGTTTTAAATGTTATGTTGGTTGTATTTTATCCCAGCTTTCTTGTAGTGTTAAAAAACTGAAACAGGAAGTTCTTCTGGACCAGTGCCGTTTACATCTTGTGAAATGGTCTATATTCAAACGCACATAACCAGTGACGGGCCGTGCATTTATAGACCTTCTGTCCTACCTGAATTAATAACTTTTAATAGTGTATCAGCGCAAAGACTCTGTATAATTGTTGTTTTTATTTTGCACCGGCAGTTATTGGATTAGTTCGGGAAAGGCCAGTGGAGAGAAACGAGTGCGTGAGTTCGGCTGGTGCGTTCGTACAGTGGTTCTTGCGTTCCAAATCCGATTATAGACCTTATGCACCAGAGAAACGTGGGCGCCGTCATCTTTAGAATATTATAATATTTGAACATTTGTAAAGCAGATGTCTTAACAAATGTCGAACGGGAATTTTTTACGAGCAGTTCATTCATACCTATGCAAGATCGCTGTGAAAATGCAGACCGGAAATCAAAAGACAATGAGCTGAAAAGGGGCGGGGCTACATAAGGTCTATAAGTTGAGAAACGGAGCCTCCCTTATCTTGTCCTTCAAGAGTTACAATAGTCCCTTTCAGACGTTACAAAAGTATGAATGTTTGAAAAAAATTAAGTTTCGATCATAAATTTATAATAAACATTAAGAAGAAATTCATATTCACCACGGGGAAGGGTTAGAGACCATTCCTCCATACAGACTCTCTCCAGATCCTGCAGATTCCCAGATCCATGTTGGTGCTTCATCTCTTCAGTTCACTCCACTCATCAGGGTTAGCAGTGTAAGGAAAAATCTGAAATGTTGGGTAAGATGTATTTAGTATTATAAACTAGAAATGATGGTTAAAAACAGAAATGAAATACAAAGCTAATACGAGGTTTAGACGGAGTGTACAGCTTTGGAGCACTCCTGGTTGCGTATGCGTATCCCTTGAAAAGGAGGGACCAGAGGACGTAGTTGACGTCGACTGGAATGGGATCACGCTAGGCAGCCTTTTTTAAAACAAGCCAATGCACATTGGCGTTCGAGATATGCATCTCACACTCCACCCAGCGGCGCGGGTTTAAATACAGACGTAGATGCCACTAAAGCTGCTACCTTCCAGTGCCTAGACAAAAGCATCGTGATCCTCCTGACATTTTTAGCAGAAGAGGCTTAGGCCAAGAATTCACTGCTGTTCCACAAGACCCACTCAGTTAGACTTGGATAACACTGGGAACACCGAACAGTGATGGCAGAATGACAGCGAAAGACACAGACTCGCCATAGGGAGCTGTACCGTGGAGAATACACATATGGGTTCACCGTAGGGATCGCAACATATAGACCCAGCCTAACACAGGATCCACACTGCTGACGAGTGATAGGCCGAGCACCAGACGCTCCGCCATGTCCAACACTGAGGGGTGTGGAGGAACTCAACAGAGTCCGGACAAGGAGAACTCAAGGGGTTAATTAATAATAAACGTTCTATGGGAGGAAAACTACAGACAAGAGCTATATATAACACAATGTGCAAAGTTTTATATTAATGGCATTTCCTATATATATATATATATATATATATAATTATTTTAATTTATTTGAAAGGGTTTTGTCTCTAAATATTTAAAGATAACACTGTGTGTCACATTAGTAGGGTTAAAAATATAAGAACTGAAAATAACCATAAATGTATTGGTTATGGTACAATCACAAAATAAATGGACAGTTGATTCTTCAACAAAACCACAAAGTTTCACAAGAGCAAGTTTCATCAATATCAAGATATTTTACAGATACATGAATTAAATCTGTCGCTCATATCTTTTAAGTTTTTGTGCTTGGGATAACGTCAACATGGCAGATGTCCAGATATCATATACTTAATGTGATCAGGCTATAAAGTACCTACACTTTTAGCACTCGTCAAGTTAATTGGAAATAAGTATGTACCCAATGAGTATGTGGTTTAGAATAAAGCCATGGTCCAGCCATATCAAGGCAAGACAAGTTTACATATCACTCAAAACTGCAATTCCCAGAATTCCTCCTGCTCATCACCTGCACTTAATTACCCAGCCATCATCCTCACCTGCACCTGATCAGCACACTCATCACCACAGTATTTAAACACACCTCAGACACTTTGTCTGGTTTAATGTGGATTACTCACCGGTCTGCTAA